ACTACAGTTTTACTTAAATAATACAAAACACCCAGCAAGTTCTGTTCTTATTTTCCAACCAACTACTGAAGACGAAGTGCTTAAGGTTATTAACGCTATGAATTAATCTACAGCCACTGGAGTAGATGGTATTAATTTAAGAATTATCAAACTTTGTGTACCGTATCTACTTAAGTTTATAGTACACATGATCAACTTTTGCTTAAGAAATTCGCTATTTCCGGCACAATGGAAACTTGCTTATATTATCCCTGTAGCTAAGAAATTATCTCCATCTAATCTAAATGATTTTCGTCCAATCAGTATTCTACCAACTTTATCAAAAATCTTAGAAAAAGTAATTGAAAAACAAATTAGAACTCATTTGTCCTTAAATAAGTTAATCCCGGATGTCCAATCTGGATTCAGATCACAGTTGTTGCACTGCTCTTTTGAAAATTGTAGATGATATAATTTCCGCACTGGACCAGGGTAAAGCAACTATTCTTGTTTTGCTAGATCTCTCTAAAGCATTTGATACGTTAGATCACGCCATGCTTCTAGCTATTTTACATTACGTACGTTTCAGTCCGGGAGCCATAGCCTTGATTGACAGTTATCTTTCCAACAGGAAACAAGCAGTTAAAATCTCAGGTAAAATATCGACTTTTAAAAGTGTTACCCGGGGAGTACCACAAGGGTCCATTCTTGGACCATCGACTTTTAAAAGTGTTACCCGGGGAGTACCACAAGGGTCCATTCTTGGACCATTATTGTTTCTTATTTACACATGCACCATAGTAAATTGTCTTCAATATACCACATTACATTCTTATGCTGATGATACGCAGATCTACTATTCATTTCCAGCTGCAGATGTAGGTAACGCTTGTAAACGCATAAACGCAGACCTAGATGCTTTGCAAAACACATTTCAATCTCACTCTCCACATTTAAATTCAAGCAAATCTATTGCAATATTGTTCAGCGGCGCAAATCAGCGGGAAATGCTAATGTCTCAAATCAATATTAATATTAGGAATGAAGCGATAACTTTTAAAGATGTTGTAACTAATTTAGGTCTTAATCTTGATAATAAATTGCGTTTTAAAAACCATATTTCTATTTGTCTCCAAAAAGCCTACGGCAATCTTAAAAAGATTTACTCTATTAGACACTCTTTAAATACAAACATAAAAACTCTTCTTTGTGAATCTCTAGTCCTTTCTAAGTTGAATTACTGTGATATACTTTATAATACTTGTCTAGATACTAATGATGAACGGCGCATTCAAAAGTTGCAGAATGGTTGTATGCGATTAATTTTCGGCATAAGGAAATATGATAGAATCACGTATAAATTGAAATATTTAAATTGGCTCAATATGAAAAATAGGCGACTGCATCATAGTCTTGTGCTTTACCATTCTATCATCCTAAATAAGACACCGGCGTACCTCCATGATAAAATAACCTATAGAACCGACGAATTTAAATTTGAGATTTAGGGGTTTAATAAGTCCGCCACTCCATCAAACAGCTTTATTTCAAAGATGCTTTAGTTACAACATCTACAAGAGTTATAACCCACTCCCTCTAAATCTCAAATCACTCTCTTTAAAACAGTTTAAGAGGAACTGCAAGATGTTCATACAACAAAAGCAAGCACAGTAGCCAGGTGATGTTGCAATTGTTATCTGTAGTTCAAATGTGTGTTTTCTATTTTTTTTTCTCTTCGTCTTTTCTTAAGATCATCAGTAGTATAGTTACTTTCTTTTTCTCTCCGTAAGTAGGGAGTATAGTTACGTTGTTTTATTTTTTTTTTTTATTTTTTTTTAATGGTATCATCATTTAAACTTTCAATTTTGGGTTGAGTGGAAGAGCAGGGAGTAATAATTTTTATTACAATCTGAACTCCGCCCTTTGAGTAGTGAGTAGTTGGTAATAAAAACAAACTTTTTTTTTCGTGTAAGGTGTAGCTCAATAAAGGCATTATTATATTATTATTATTATATTTAAATATCACAAAAGGTGACCGAGGAAAATCTTAACTATACTACGTCCTACGTCCAGGAATAGTCTTCATTAGGCCGCGTGCGTAAACTATGAGCGGACACGGTTGGATTTTTTCCTTCGCTCACGAATTCCATATTAGAAAATAGGGGCAGTTTTGTAATTTAGGTATTACATTCCCATATTTGAAATGAACTGTTTTTCTTCGGCGTTGATTTTCCATTGAAACATCGCATATTTATCTAGCAAACCTGATTTATATATAGAATGGAAAGTAATCTTGAAACGTTGTTTTTGTGCGAAATTGAGTTTAACTAATCCGAAAGCAACTTATCTATTTGCCATACAATTTAATTTAACTCTTGAAACTTTGCAATTCCGAGCGTCGCCGTATCCGCGAATTTAATGAGGGAATTCGCCGGCTTCTCCTGTATGTCATAATCATCGACCGTTACAATAAATTTAGGTCGTAAAAAAGTTAATTAAAAAAGAATTAGTTTGAAACGTTATAAAATATTGAGGCTTAGAAAGTTTTAAAATTGTAATGGAGCCGCTTTGTCATTTATGAAGCTTTTCGTTGTATTAAGCTAAATCTGGACATAAGCTAGAAATGATTGCAATTTTATAAAAGTCCGAATCCGACCTCTATTACAGTTGTTATTTACTTTGATGCCAAATTTTAATCAGGACGATTGATCTCAGTCGCCGAGTGTACCTTCGATCCGTTTTGTTATATACAATCGACAGCTCTACCTTCACCTAAAATTCTATTTCCTATCAGCAATTAAAATTTATAACATAATCTAACCTTTGCGCCATTTATTTTACCGTTTTCAAATATTAAAGATTTAGGAAAGTCGTTTGTTTTCGTATTCGGGTTATCAAAACGGAATAAGCCGCCATCCCTTTATGGAACTGCAAGGATGTAATAAAGATCAAAGCTCGTGTATGTACCTTAGAAATTTCTTTTTTTCTGTTTAAGTCAAAGATACAAGCACCCGACGACGAAGACCTATTAAACGGCCGGTTCAAAGTGCCGTTGCAACTGGGTACAAAGGTAATGAGCGTACATTTGAAAGGCTTTTGACTATAAGAAAGTTTAGAATTTATAGAGACAAAGGCCTTTTAGATCCTTTATGGTGCAAGAGACGAGATGCAATGTTGCATGTTTGTATTTTAATCACAATCAGCATCGTGTATACTAACTAAACACACAACGAATGGGTAATTCGTTGATGATGATATTTTTGCTGTCGAAACGTTTCAATTTGTAGGCGTTTGATACAATGTGACTTACGGACCTTCTGTGTGAACAATTGAATCTGATCGCTGTTCAGATTGACTTTTAAACAATAAAGTTTAATGATGCGTGGAACACGTCAAAATGGTCAATATTTTATTTCATGAAGTCGAATGATCTCAATTTATTATTTTCAGGTAAAAACACCACGATTTGTTCCAATCTAAAGTGATTCCTAAAAGTATGAAATCAATAGGTAATTTTGTTTGTATATTACAAAGTTAAACTCAAATTATCTGGAAACATTTTCCGGTATTCGCATTGTGTACATTCCTTTGTCGTCCCGTCCTTTTGCAGTTCCCATTATCAGTATGCAAATATTTATAGTCGATTTGCATTTTGCGAGTGGCAATTACACAGTGGCTTTCGTTGAGAGTAAATTTTCGCAATATTAACCACGGAACGTAAGTGTGATGGCCGCCCCATTAAAAGTTTTCAAACTTTTGAACGAAAAACTTATCTTTCAGGAGAACTGCACCTACTCCTCTTGTACATGTCCAGAAAACCAACCGTGCGAGGAGTGCCTCGAGTGCCCAAGACAAGTTGGCGAGCCCTGCAGTCCACACAAGCTGTGCGACAGTAGAAGAGGCATATTTTGTCGATACCGTCACGGTGACATCGACGGTATTTGCCAAGGTGCGTATTTTGCACGTTTCATGAATATTTAAGTCTCTCGAAAAAGTTAATTTAAATAAATCTAAATGTAACCAGGTTTGTAATAATGGAAATGGAAAACTTACAGAGACTGGCATTAACTAAAAGCCGCCCCAAAAAGTTTCATTTAAAGTTAAATCGGTATAAAAGTTAGTAATCTTTGTTCACATCACGTTGTTAATATCAGAAAACGTCCCTGCACTCGCTCGTAAATTATAGATTGACTAAACTGTCAATAGTGCTAAACCCATTTCAGAGCACAATCGTTTTAAGGTAAAATATATCGATTCGCAAAACATCGCCGAAGTTTAGAGGACTCAACAGTCAGAGGGGAACAAGCTTTTCGTAGCGAACAGCAGGAACTACCTAACTATTTGATTGAACTATCCTGAAACGCATGAATGTTCATGAAACAATAAGACTCTGGAGATATATCTACCAAAATGAAAATGAGAGATACGGATTTTTATAATACATTTCAGTTTCAGCTGTTAGAATTCGTTTACTAACGGATTGATCAATTCATAATCGAACATCCTGTAACGTGATTTATTTGTATACAATTAATTGAATTTATAACAGCCCTCAAACACATAAATATATAACAGTTAATTATTAACGAGGTCCTAAAGCAAGTTCATGATTTGGACTTAAACGACAGTTGTTCTAGAACGATTCAAGATGTTCTACAAATAAAGACGTCATTTTTCCCGATGACTAATCTATCATGGCGCCTCGATGTCTTTCGGGATTTCTGGAACGTTCACTACAGTATGTACACAGAAAATTTGAAGTTTGGCACGCATGTTGTTTGCTCTAAAGGTGTTTTGTGGCTATCGCGTATGAGGTTGTGGTAATGTCATTCCATCTGCTATATTTTATACTGGCTGGTTGCTTTTAGGTAAGGTACGTTAATTCTTTAAAAACCCTTTAGAACTTATTCAATGTGTGGTTAAATAAGATTTTCGTGTAGTTTATTTTTGATCCTTAAAGTGAATTTTATCGCGGTTCTCACCGCCGCCGGCGGGAGCTTTCTAACAATGTTTCCGTGCGTGTTATTTTCAAACGATTTCTCGAAATCCGCACGCCTTTACGATGTAGAATAACTTTCTCGGCCTAAGTAAACGTCCAAAAATGTGAAACATCCATCATTTTCACGTATGTAAACGAAACTGCGTTCTTTGTTTATAAATCCCTTCCATTTGCGAGATTACAAAATTTTAGGACCGAAATTCATTAGGTACCTATCAAAATGGTGACAAAATCGAATGAGGTAACGTAATGAATTGTGCTCTGTCAATGTTATTAGGTATACATTTTAGATTATAGCGTATGACGATAAAAAAGAATCACTAAACGAGAGTTTACCATCGTTGGTATAAATGCTCCAACACTCCAAGGTAATTCCTACGGGATCTCAGCTTGAAGTTTCTCTGGTTACTTTGCATATACTAAATCTTTTTGATGCTAATGGAATTTAAAACTTTATTTCGACGTATTTTCGAGATTAACATTAGCGAACCGTTATGGAAAACTCTCCCTTTGTCTATTATTTTCTCTCAAAAGTGGGACTTTGAGAACTTGTATGCGTAGAACAATAATTTCTCTATTGACTTATTGTGTTAGTATAGCCAGTTGAAAACAAGGAAAAAATAGATACTTTCAGAAATAGTAGGTACATTGAAATATAAGTGCGGAAACGCTTTTATTGAAAATGATGGAGTATGAATGTATTATACGAGTTTTTCAATGATCGTTTCGGTATGCGAAATTCTAGAAATTAGAAATTTCAACTAGCCAAATAACGGCAGAAAATCATGTAGTCTGATTGTAGTTGGATGTTTCAATATTGTAAATGATCAAGTAAGCCGGTTGCCATGACAAAACAGGGTTGTTTGAAAATCGTCACTTGTTACAGACAATTTGTGGTGTACCTACTACTGTAGAAGTGTTAGGGTGGATTTTGACGACACTGAAGATGAAAAAGGTATATGTACCCCACCGGACGTTGCGGAATGGCGGTTTCGCACGAATTGATACCCCAAAATTCTAAGAAGCGAACTATTTTCTTGGCTTGGTGTAAGGACAAGAGACCGAAAATGGATTGCTGGCTTACTTTATGGAAACAACACTGTGCACTGAAAAAATGACTTCAGTTCGTCTTGTCAACTAAGGAGGGTGCAGACCATAACGACATGGCTTTAGCCCGATTTAAAAAGAATGATAGAATTCGTTTCTTTTTAAACAGATACCTACCAATGGTTACACCAATTAGAACTTCGTAGCAACCCAGCGATAAGATTATATTTTAAGTATTTCTTCAAGTGGCTTTATCGCGAGGACCGAGGATCGAGGAACGGTATAAATTTGAAACGGAGACGATTGAAATTCTTACTTTTAATTACGATGTTGCTAGTAAAGTGCTTATATTTTGCAACACTCGTGTGTTTATCATTGGCCGATTATTGGTTAGAACGAAAAACACTAATTGAGGATGAATCCTCGCAGATGCTTGGTAGCGATGTAGTGCTCAATGCAAGGGAACAGGTTGTTAATAACTATTTGATGGGAATCAAGTTGGCCGAATATGATGCTGGTATAAGTGAGCCTGCCAAGTTCTTACCGAGTCGTCTCTTTTTCGATGTGCGTGCGAGTGTGGAAAAATCGAAAGTGTTTGAGTTCATACGAGCGATACCAAAAGGTGGCTTGCTACATGGGCACGAGACTGCAATGCTGTCGTTCGAGAGGTTGTATAATATGACATACGAGAAGGGCTTGTACGCTTGCATTGTCGATGGCAGGCTAAAGTTAACGTTTTCGCACTCGCAGACTCGAAACCAATCGTGCGATTGGAAACTGCTCGAGGATTTGAGGAATTCCAATGATACCTACGACCAATTGTTACGGTCTCAGTTAACGCTACATCTTGCAGATGGAGGTTACAACGATATTAACGCGGTCTGGTCAGCTTTCCAAAATATTTTTGGAACAATTACCCCAATGATTATGTACCGACCTTTCTTGGTTAAGTACGTATATGAAGCGCTTAAGGAGCTCTACGAAGACAAAGTAAACTACGTTGAAATAAGAGGGGTCCTTTCGACAGTATACGAAATAAACGGCAAGGAATACTCTGAAATCGAAACTGCGGGCATTTACCGATTTGCTGTGGAAGAATTTAAACGAGATCATCCCGATTTTATTGGTGCAAAATTTATATATGCCCCGATGCGAATGGCCACAACTGAAGAAGTGAAAAAGTACGTGAACACGGTGAACGAACTTAAACGCACATATCCCGATTTTATCGTGGGTTTCGATCTAGTCGGGCAAGAAGATCTAGGACAACCTCTCTCAAACTTCGTAAATGAACTTGGAAATGTATCTAGTGGTATCGACTTGGTGTTTCACGCGGGCGAAACGAATTGGTACGGTGCCAGTAGCGATTTGAACCTGTTTGATGCCGTGCTACTCGGGACTAAGCGAATCGGACACGGTTTCGGCGCAATTAAGCATCCCTTGGTAACCAAATTGATTAAGGACCGCAATATTGCAGTTGAAATCTGTCCAATTTCAAATCAGGTGTTAATGTTGGTGGCAGATATGCGCAATCATCCAGCGGGTTCGCTCATGGCAAGAGGCGTTCCGGTTGTGGTCGGTAATGATGATCCCACATTTTGGGGAACTAAGGGTTTAAGTTACGATTTTTACATGATGTTTATGGGCATTGCAAGTAGGAATGCGGACCTTAGGTTGTTGAAGAAGTTGGCCGAAAATAGTTTGACCTACAGCCTTCTTCCGGAAGAAGAAAAGGCAATTGCTCTCGAAAAATGGAACGCCGCATGGAACCAGTTTATTGATTCAACTTATGCAAACGTTGTTCGGAATGTAATGTATTTCTAGTGACATTATACTTTTGTTTTTCCAACAAATCTTGTTATTTTCAACTTTACCTATCTCTATCCAAAACTCGAAAAAAATAAATCCAAATTTAGAGCTACCGTTACACGGCTTACTTTAAAATGGCCAAAAAATGAAAATTGCTGTACTTCAACGGTTTCACTACTACAATAAACAGGGCATACAGGATTAGCCATAGGATAAGAATATTGCTGTGGTCGCCATCAGGCCTTCGAGGTTAATTAAATTTAATTCAACAATTTAAGATGTCTTTTAATATTTTACTTTTCATTACTTAATTTAAAAATTGTTCCTGATGCTTTCTTTAATATTTGCTAACTTCGCCTTTGAAAGGTGTAAATCATTATCAATATCTAACCCAGAAGATGACATGACTTTCATTAGTCGCTTAAAAGTTACTAATAAAATAGCAAGTATGGGGACGGTTTGGTGAATTCTTCTACAAATACATTTACTAAAATTGTAATTATTAAAACAGAAATGTAAATTGTATCGCAATAAAATTTTACTGTTACAGAATCGGGAGGTCTCCCCTGTTTGGTGTATAATAAAACGTACGAGCATGGTGAAACATTCACGTTAGACTGTCGTACACAATGTACATGTCAGGTAAGCAATGCCAGAGAGATTTTCTTTTAAATGAATAGGTACATGAAAGTATTTAGGTAACGAAAATGGCTACAATCTATATTAACATTTAACACTTTATTTCGAGTATACTGTGACATTTTTTGTGACCAAATTTTCTGATAAACTGACAGCTAGGAGATGAAATCTAATATTTCGTTTTTTTGTGTGTGCGTGTTTAATTTAGAGATTACAATAAATTAAATATAAAATTCAAATTTTGACTAAATATTTTCATTAGGTCACCTAAAATATGCAACTGTTGTCAATTTTAAAAGTCACATCTTAGGGAAATTACGTAAATCTGTATATAGCCTATACGGTGTGATTGATTTTACGTGTCCGAGCGTATATTTTCTTTATTATTGGAGATAGGAAAAAAGTGTAAGAAGCAAAAAGACTCTACTTTCAATTTCTGATAAAGCTGCATATTCAAAAAAACAAGTGATATTAAAACAAAAGAGCATCAGAAAACAAATTAATTTTTTTAAATAGAACGATTACTTTTTTCTGTAATATTCTTAAAGAGCTTGAAATTCTTTTTAAATGTCAATATATCAATATCGAATTACCTTAGAAATTAAAGTTACAGTAATGTATCTAGAACCAATCGCAGTAGCTGTGGAAATTTAAACAAAAACATAAAATTTACAACAGGAAGGGAAGAAAACAAACGAAAAGCAGTGACAGAAATAATTATTAAAACTTAAGACATATGTATTATCCTTCTTCATTACACATTACATTACACCTCTTAACAATTATCATCATTTGTGTAATTATTATTTTGTTACATTGTGGTTCTTATAAATTATATTGTTCACTAAACTGATTTTGTGACAGAGATGACAAGTGAAAAACTCTTTTGTTCTTGTTTAAATTTCCACAGTTACTGCGATTGGTTTTAAAAACATTACTGCAGCTTTAATTTCTAAGGTAACTATAACCGTTGTTTAATATTTAAACAATGCACTACTTTCCTATATGGGATACGAAAAATTATTCACACTGTAAGTATATGTCTGAATATTTGACTAAAGTATCTGTGCTGGACAACATTTATTTCAGTTTGATTCACATTCGAGCACGTGGAGCCATTTAATCAAGGAAACGTATAATCTGTGTTCATCACAGACAATAATCCTTGACTGTTTTTTAAATTTACCGAACGCGGAAGCCTATCGAAAATTGTCAGCACGCTATTAGGATTGCTCTTAGAGGTTGCCGATAGCTTCGTCCAAAAATAATACCTTCGCATAAATCAATGACTATCTATGGAAAATTTGAGAAACGATTACCCTTAGCTCCCTAGCGATCAAAGTTTAAAATGAACACACTTTTTCCAAACGTTGGAAACAAACTAAAAACCACGTGAGCGAAAAATGAGTAGGTATAGGTAACGATTTTTCTGGGAACATGAAGAAAATGCGCAATGAACGATTTACCGATAAAAATTTCTGTTCCTAGATGCTAAAGTATGGTTAAAATAAATCACATCAGCATCCAGAATGAAGTCGGGAATTTACGGGATAAATAACAAGGGACCGATGCGATATATCAAGCGCCTTTCTGATACTGTAACAAGTAAGATGTTTGCCCTTCAGTATATCGATTTCGGCACGGGCACCAGCAGTAGACCAAATTAGCGTGAATTTATAAAGTCAATTCTTGATTAAGGTTAAACGACAACTACTGGAAGAATCTCGCCCTTTAAAAAAGCAATGGGGTGCTGTTCTTCTGATTAAATTTTAATTAAATTTAGAATATCGTCGCTTGCAACAGGTGGCAAGTAGGGTCGGCGTTATTTGTAAGGGATCGATGCATTAGCCTTTTGACTAAATCAACATTTGCAGGCACGAAGTGCTGGAATAATGTTAGTTCAGGGATGCTGGATGTCATCATGTTAAAGGGACGATTTTCTTTTTTTAGAACGGCACTTATGGTTGCTCCTCCTTGTGCCCTCAAGAGCGCATATCTCCAAAAGGAACATGTAAGCACCCACGACTGGTGGACGTCCCCGGACAGTGCTGTCGTGAGTGGATGTGCGACAGCCAAACAGGTAACATACACACTTTGTCAATGTTATAAAATAGGCCTGTGTGTTTAGTAGAAGAACCACCATCTTGCCAGCCAATCTTTTCGAAATGGTCAACGTGCAGCAGCGATTGCGGCGCCGGATTGTCGAGCAGAAGATCGAACCTGAACGCGAAATGTGAGCCGTCTACGGAAACGAGAATATGTCAGACGAGACGTTGTGACGATTTCACGCCCGATGTCGTCCACAGAAATGAACACCACGTTAGGGTAATTAGAGCACCAATTTTCTTAAAAAATACGAGATCAGGTTGTCAAAGTCATCATCACGTGGTATCAGTAAAATTTCACGTCCCAAATGAGATGAGAAGCTGTTACGATCTGGGGTAGTGTTCTAAGGGTTTAAAAATGTCGTAACTCGGGCTCCTGTGAGCACTTACATACCTTTAAGTAAGTTTTACGACTACTCCGACTGATTTATGGCTTAATTATTTATGGCGTTGCGGTTTTTTACTTTCAAATACGAATGTAATTAAGTGCCCCATTCATATTAATTAAAATAAATTTAAAAAGAATCAACTTACACCTTCTATTCGGATCATAAGAACCTTCTCTAGATTTCTAATATTCCTAATCTTAATTTGACCTCTATTATGTAAATGTAGGCTTAGTGGTAATGTACGGTTCCAACATTAATTTCTGGAAAATCGGACTCGCATCCATCCTGAATAGGCAATCCAGCTCCGTACAAATAAAAAGCTCTTCAAATTCACAGTAAGTAGTCAATTATTGACTGCCTTTGAATTCGACATACTAAAACCAAGTTAGTAGAAATTGAAAACTACTACCAGTTGAAATATTTAGACGTAACTAAACTCTACGGAAGCCAAATGACTCATCTTAAAAGTTAATTTATTTTGAGCAGTGCTGCCGTATTTGACATTGTCATGAAAGTTATTTGGGAACTTATTTGCTATTCAACCGTAATCCGTAAATTTCGAATTTCAGTTATAAGTTTGCGCTCCAAATGTATTCCATTAGGAACAAAATAGTCGGAAATGGGGTTTCAGTCCCGAGGACACTAACAGATTTTGTATAAGAATTGAATTTTCAATTTAAAGTTCAATTTACCGATAGCAGCCCCAGGGCTGGGATTATCGATTTGTCTTAATTTGTGTCTAAGATGTTTCATTTTTCCAGAGGGGACACGAGTGTAAAGCGACGCATCGCATTGGCACACCAGTAACGCTTCGATTTGGTCCGTGTAGAAGCCGGAAGCGTTACAAACCCAAATATTGCGGGTTTTGCTCAATTCCAGGGGTGTCGTGCGAGTCGCTGCTGAGTACGACGGTTCGAATAGAATTCTTCTGTCGAGGTTCGCCATCACTGTCGACGGAGAACCTTCCGGAACTGCTTCCCGAGTTCTTAGAGCCCGGTGAGGATATGTGGACGGATGAGTCGTCGTCGAGGAAAGATCCTCATATGAAAATTTTAACAGTGTCAGTGCAGTGGATACTCAAGTGTAGATGTCAGAGAATTCCGATGACTCCCACTTTAAGCACTGGTGAAATAATATTACATCGCGTACATCGAACAGCGGCGCCTTAAAGGTTCTTTGCGTAATCAAGGCACGGCATATCAATACTTCCGTAGAACGAAGAGAAGTGGTGTTTGATAGACGGTGACAGTTTTCGTGGCACTTAACTTACAGAAGCAGGTGCGGTTATCTGTGCCTTTTGTGTAATGCGATTCGAGAGTAACTGATAAGACGAGAAATATGTAGACTTTAGTATTATTGCTTTTAGGCTTTAGAACGCAATGTTGATGGCCGAGGGCTCAGTGGTGTGAGTTGGAGGAATATTTCTTTTCTTGTGTGCCTCCAGTAGAGGGAGCGAGCATGCTTTAAATTTTACACACCCTAAGTGCACCTTCCAACAAGAGTAATCGCATTAAGATGAATGCTAGAAGAAAAGCACCATCCGGCTGTGAGGCCGAGATAATAAAAATGTATTTTAGATGTGTAGGTACATACATTGCTTATTTTATTAACTCGAATGGGACGTTCAAGTTACACTAGGTATACATAATGTTACTTATGAATTATTCGCGGTTGATATAGTAATCGATTGTACATATTAATATACTTAATAGAGCCGACAAATGATTCGTGTTTTAGTAAACAGTTTGAATGAAATTGTTGCAAATAAACAAATACCTATCGTAACCAGTAACAATAGAGGATGAATTAAAATTACTTGAAATTGTTGTCCCAAAGAGGTGGTTGATGAGGGTATGTACTGAATACAGTATGTGGGTACCTACTCTCGTGTAGAAACAAATTCGAGGAACCGATAAATTGTCTCAATAGCATACTAATAATTAGTGTTGTAGTATGCTATTCCTATTTGTTGATTGTGCCAAAGATGTATAAAAGATTCAACGTCTATAATTTGCTCGATATTGTTCCCTATTGGTTGATTGCGTAATTTCAAAAAAAGGAACAGACGTAAAACTTGCTGATTATTTCAATTTTACATCGAAAACACATGTTTGCTATGGTTCAGAGACTTGGAGAGAAAAAAATGTGATAATTCTGTATCAAAGATCAGCATCCATTCATTTCATAATGCTTATTTGCGCTTCGTAAAAGTTTAGAAAATGAAGCACAAACTCTTTCGACCACGTCAGTGGCCAGTTGCTCCCAAACTGAACTCTAAAATATTGAAATCGCGGAATCGTTTACAAATGGGGATAACTCGACCTGTTCGGTTAAATTGACAGAAGTAACGTATTACATCATTACAGTCCCAAATGCTGTTCGCTGTTGTTATTGTTATTTTAATTCCAAGTGTTACCAATGGCAATTTTTGGAAAATTCGCGAATCGCTTATAGCGCAAGAGCGAAACCGTATGCTAGGTGCATCAATTGTATTAAATGGGAAAGAAGAAAAGGCCAACAACCTGTTAATGTCCTACAAACTGCAGGAGCTCGATGTGGCTTACCATAATCCGGAAAATTTCGCACCGAGTAAGTATTTCGTGAGAGCTCGTGCTCAGATTGAAAGCTCGCCAGTGTTCAAGCTAATTAAAACAATGCCAAAAGGTGGTGCGCTACATGGGCACAGTACGGCACTAGCCACTCCCGATTTTCTGTACTCCCTCACTTACAGAGATAACCTGTTTGTTTGTATGCAGGGTGGCACATTCCAGTTACGATTTATGCAGTACCCAGACGCGAAGTGCAAATGGACACTCATCAGCACTTTAAGGGGAATAGATGCGAATTTTGATGAGTGGTTGCGTTCACAATTTACAATGTACCACGAGAATGATATCGACATATACAAAAACAAGACCCAAATTTGGTTGGTGTTTGAGAAAACTTTTTCGGCTATTAAGGGGTTGGTAACTTACAGACCCATTTTTGAAGAATATTTTTACGAAGTCCTCAGGCTACTTTTTGAGGATAACGTAATGTATTTAGAATTTCGAAGTACACTACCTGAAATGTACGAGCTTAACGGATCTACGTACAAATCGGAGGATACGGTGCGATTTTACGATGATGTCATTGAAAAATTCAAGCGTACGCATCCAAAATTTGTGGGCGCACGCCTTATTTACGCCCCTGATCGAGACAACAATAATCAAACATTTAACAATATCGCCTCTATCCTCCTCAATGTGAAGGTCGGCCACCCAAAGATTTTGGCGGGCTTTGATTTGGTCGGCCAGGAAGATCTTGGAGCGCCTCTACTGTCATACTTGTGGGAGGTGAAGAGGATTGCAAAGTTAGGTATCGACGTCTATTTTCACGCCGGTGAGACAAACTGGTATCAAAGTAACAGCGATTATAATGTAATTGACGCCATTCTGTTGGGCTCGAAGCGTATCGGTCACGCGTTGGGCTTAATCAAGCATCCGGTTGCATTGGAAATGATCAAGGAAAGAAATATCGCCATTGAAGTATGCCCAATCTCGAACCAAATGCTTTTGTACGTCGACGATCTGCGGAATCATCCGGCGTCATTTCTAATTGCGAATGGATTTCCAATTGTAATAAGCTACGATGATCCCAGCCTTTGGAACGTTACGGGATTAAGTTATGATTTCTACATTACATTTATGGCAATAGCCGGAAGAACGGCCGATTTGAGATTATTAAAGCAGTTGTCGATTAACTCGATACTGTACAGTTCATTAACGGGTGACGAGAAGAAGTTGGCATTACAGTCGTGGGAGACAGACTGGGGCATTTTTATTGAAAACATCCACTCAGTGATAGTGTAGAGATGACATTGGATGAATACCTTTGTTCCTATTGTGGCTGTGAAATTCGTGTGTCATCCATTTATGTAATAAAATGGCAATGTGTGAATAAATGAAAGGCCTGTACTTTGTTAGTAACGCACATACCTACTGTAATTATTTCATATCTCTCCCTAACTCACTTTCTCATTTGTAACATTGTCACAAACCGCTTGTTGCAGGTTCAATATTATTAGAATCTTCTGGGAGTATTGTCTTTGCTTTTGGAGATTTGGTAAACAGATCAAGAGCTGTGGAGGATGCGATTACGACCAACACAATGGAATAAATATGGCTTACTCCAGTAAAAGCAAAAAGACTAAGTAGGTACAAGAGAGCGGGCTATGTCAATTATTTATTATTATATTAATAACGCCCTCCATAATTCCCCTTTAGATTGTGGAGTTCGTGTGTTACAATTACAAAATAACTTTCATCTGGTTTTCATATTAATTAATTGGAATATTATTGCTTTGGCTACCGTAATTATTTGTATTTTCGTTCGTATGCGATGTATTCAACTGATGAAAAAGTTGATATTGTTAATTGGTATAGTGCCGGTAACAGTTTAAAGAGCATAAGAGACTTATTTTCTGTGTTGATTACTTTAAAATTAGTGGTTGTTTACATCCGAAGCACATAAGACATCGTAAACCACTCTCAGTTTTAACGGAGGATATGAAACTGAACATTTTAATTTTTGTGGAAGAGAATTCCATAATAAGGGCAATAGCGGCCTCTTCATCATAACTTAAAAGCATGCTTTACTATCGCTTTTACTAAAATTCAGAATGAGAGTGCAGGATACGTGCGCATGTTATTTTGGTTGCATAAAATTAGGCGTCTTTCAGAAGGTTTTTATCATTTAAAAGTACCTATAAATAGGAAATCAACGAAAATTGGGTGGTAGAGGAAAGTAAAGTATTATTTTTTTGCAAAATGAACAGAAAGAAAATATGCCCAGAAACCCTCACACTCAGTTTCTTCTTTAGTTTTTCTCAGCAATCTTAATACATAAAAAATAGTTTATAAACCTCTCGCCAGGAAAGATTGCCGGTCACAGAACACTTGATCCCGATCTACGATCTATCTTTTTCTAAAGATGTAAGCGACTTCCGGGATAGTATCGTGTCAATGTTGAACAAAAAGACTTTTCGTTCAACATTAGCACGATCCTATTCTGGAAGTCGCTCGCATCTTAAGAAAAACATAGATTGTAGATCGACACAAGGTGTGCTGTGACCGGTAATCTTTCCTGGCGAGAGTTATATCTAGGTTTTCTGGTATTTCCCGTAATCCTGCGCATGCAGATTAAGTTGCCTATCCACCGGGGTTGATAAGAGTACATTGCTACAACAGTTACAAAGTTCTCGATAGTATATTAAACATTGTTATTTGTTTAAAGCTTAAAAGATAATAAATAAATTAAATACTCTTTTATCACGTCATCTTAGTCAAAAATAGAATACAGTAGCGTTTATTCCGATTAATGCGGTATTTCATTTCCGTGTCTACTAATTGTCGCATCAATAAAACTTTCCCATTCCTTTTCCCAGACGGCTATAGCTGCATCCTTTTCGTCTTTTGATAAGGCGCTGTAGGTTAACGAATTGAGTGCTAACTGCTTCAGCAACCTTAAATCGTCGGTCCTTCCAGCAATACCCATAAAAGCCATATAGAAATCGTGACTTAATCCTTTCGCGCCCCAGAAGGTGGGGTCGTCGTTACTAATTACAATCGGAAATCCGTGGGCCATTAACGTCGCGGCAGGATGGTTACGCATGTCATCAACTAACATAAGCACCTGGTTGGAAATTGGGCAAACCTCAATAGCAATTTGTCGCTCCTTGACAATTTTCATCACTTTGGGATGCTTGGTGATGGCGTATCCGTGTCCGATACGCCTGGTTCCTAATAAAATCGCGTCAATTAAATTAAAATCGGTCTTGGTCTCGAACCAATTGGTCTCGCCGGCATGGAAGAAGAAATCCATTCCCATGGCTTGAAGCTCCTTCAACTCATTTAGGTAGGCGATAATTGGAAAACGCGTATCTTCCTGACCGACCAGATCAAACCCAATCACAAAATCTGGATGATTTTTCCTTGCTGCCTTGGCAACTGCAATCGAACTTTGAATGGTGGCATTATCGTCCTTATGGGGAGCGTATATGAGACGGGCGCCTAGAAATCTTGGGTGATCGCGCTTAAATTTTGCAATCGTATCTTCATAAAAGCGAATTGTTTCAAGAGGTTGGTAGATTGTACCGTTGAGTTCGTATAAACGTGGTAAAAATCCGCGAAATTCCATATACATCACGTTATCATCGTAAAGATCTTTCAGCACTTGGTAAAAGTAGTCCTCGAATACTGGTCTGTAAGTGAGTAAGTCGACCACGGCGAAAATCATATTTTGAAAAGTACCCCAAACATCGTTAATGTTTGGATATCTCTGCTTCGGATGGGCGGTGTAGAGATTAATTTGTGATCTCAACCAACGGTCGTATGAAGGGTCGATGATCCTCAACACGTTCAACAGATTCCAATTGCACGTATCATCCTGACGGCCATTTTCAAAAAACTTTAATCTTAAATTTCCATTCGAGCTGCACGCGTATAAATTTTCTTTGTATGTCAAAGCGTAGAAATAATCGCTAGATACCAGGCAAAGGTCGTGACCGTGCAAAAGTGCACCCTTCGGCATCGTTTGGATTAGCCTAAACACTTCCGACTTTTCAATTAGTCGACGCGCTTGGAAAAAATGTTGACCGGGCGCGAAATTGCGAGAGTTTTGGAAAGCGGCGTCCATTTCCCGAAATTTATACTGCATTAAAATCCGATTTACCTTTTCTTCCTTTTCGCTCAGTTTGATCGACCCGCCTACGGTTTCACTCGCCTCTTCCTTAATGAAAGCATCTCGATCAGCCCAATAATCACCTCGTACACTAAGAACCAGAAGCACAAATACCACCCCGTAACGCATGTTTTAAGCACTCTCGTGGCAACTCGAATTGTAATGATGCTGTCTGCTGTCTTTGTCTGCCGTTTTATAGAGAGATTACGATGAATAATTTAATGGGGATACTTCTAGTTGCACGAAATTAGATAATCGCAGCTTTCGGATGTGGTAAACTTGGTTCACTCAATCCTCTTTGATAACCTATCAGATAGCGTCATCGTTTTTCCCATGCTGAAGTATATCTAATAAATTTCTGGAGACCCATTTTATCAATGAAAAACATTTATAGCAATTATACGCACGAGGTCACGTTTGACCCCAAAAGGATTCGATAAAAATGAAGGCGGAATAATATCTTGGGTCATTCCCCAAGAACGTAGGTACTTACCCGAGGCTAATGTGATTCTCCATCTGGGCATAAAAAGATTCAATAACAACTGGCGGTATCGAGAAATCAATGACGAATTGAAGAATGAGTAAAACCCAGATTGTGATTCGCTAAACTTATTAGTAACAATTACGAACTTTAGGAGTAGGTAGGTAGGTACTGTGTACTGTTTACTGATTCATTGATCTAACGCTAATCACCGACAGTATTATTTTACAGAGTACCCAAAGATAGTGTTATTGCAAGAACATTGACGCTTCTGTTTTTTAATGTTATGCTCATGAAATGAGTACGAAGTCATCTTCTTTGTAAACGACAAGTTTTGACAATCATTAAACCATCTGGTTCCCGAAAGGTGAGAGATCTTCGTCTTGACATCCTTGACTTGCGTTTGCCTTGAAGAGGAATCTACCGAAGCCGACCTCTTTTTCACGGGCAATTTGCTCCTTCTTGATACTTTGGGCGAATGGGGTCTGCTGCAAGTGAGGCAGTTATCGATCGAATTGTTCCGCGAGTGCATCGTGGATGGTTTCAGCTCACTCACACCATCGATCGTTGAAATTTCAGGAGACTTTGCCTTACTACAATCAGTACCTTGTGGTTCTTCCAAGTCTCTCATAACAGTCTGATGCGAATTAATTCCGGATGACGTCGCATCTGTACATCGATTGTGAGACACCAAGCACGAGATTTTTGCAGGAGGTGTCTCCAGACGAGAAATAATAAAATCTCTAGTCTCTGCACCGTAATCTTCCACCTCATTTAAATCGTGAAAAAATAAATCACTTTCGTACCTGGCATTCCACGTTTGAACACTTTCATTTTTACGCTCTAAGACTGCGCTTAACGGCCAAATGTCGCAGGCGGAAGTACCCTTCGTAGTGCCATCAGTTTTGTCTCGCCGAATTTCAAAATCGCACTTGTCTTCAAAATAAGGACAAACATTTCGTAGCACCTCCAAGCTGTGTAATTGGGTGGGCTTTTGATATACCAAACTGGAATGGAACCTCGGTAAGTGCGGCGACTTTTGCATATTATTAGACATGAATAACTAAAAATTTTGTTGTCAAACGAAATTTCAGAAACGTGCCAACTGTCATGAAAAAAACTGTGTCCCAAATCCAGTCAGTTCATTCATGATTGCAAAATGAATTCCCAAACTTACGATAAAAAAAAAAGCAAAAGTCTTGCCTCTAAAATTCATAGGAAATCAACATTGATCACAGAAAATTGAATATTTATGTAGGATTATTATAGCGTGGAGAACTGGTCGAAGTGAGAAAAAATATTATGTTATTACGATTATATTAAGAATTAATATCCACTCAAACCGACGCGGGAATACAGACACGGGAGCGGTTCGCAGGCGGGATTATATACAGTGGTATATGCGTGCGAACCGCCGCATACATTTATGCATACTTTTGCATATGTCGCTGTACAAATACAGGGTGCCCATTATGTATGAAATATAGCATATATCTCGGTAAATATCTAATGTATACAAAATTTTTCTATATAAAAGTTGTTTAACATTGTATTTCCCATAATAAGGCGGCACTCAGTTGTTTTTATTTCAGAAAACAAATGAGTAACGAAAAACAATTGAATTTTTTGCACCTTTTCATTAGGCTCATTTGATAGAGATGTTTGTTTTCTTTCGCAAACTTCCCATTTCGTTTCGATATTTTGGGGAGTAAACGTGCGAGTTATATTATATTGTGGCATGTAAATGAGTCTCCTGCTTTTTAATTTTGTAATTACAGTTCCTGAAGGTCTACCGCTGACATACGAATAACATTTTTAAATTGTTAGGATTGATTCTCCGATTCTCAGCTCATCAATTAATTTGTGGTAGGCCCCATACTTTTCTCTTCTTGAGATGCATATCTCTCACCCAACACTTCTTTTGTGTTTCATATTATTGCATGAAACGACAGCCGCGGCAACACAAAGATGTCCTATTGGCGCCATAACGTGAGATAAGTTCTCGAAAACAGCTGCTAGGAGTGCTAGGTATCAACCATGGTGTAGGTATCAACTGACAGCATTTACGGAAGCTAAAAGTGCTGCTAGTGTAAACACTTTTGTGAGAACTTGCGACAGCAATGGCTCACCCAACTTGCCCAACAGTTTATCGCGACACTTATTGCTCACAGTGTAAATACATGTGAAAGTTTCTCCCGCGAGATTGTCGCAAGTAAATTGCTACTCTATCTGCGTCTTAAGAAGTTAACGCGAGATAGGAAAAAATGGAGCACAATAGTTTATAGTGACTTATCTGATAGAATATGGTAATTTATTTTTCGTACACCATGATGGTAGAAGGGTTTTGATTATAATAAATAATAACGTTACAATTCTTGTTGTTTATTCCATATTATGCAGTAAAGGATCATGACGGTTGTTGGGGCTATAATGTAACTGGAATTCACAGTGATGACCGAAGCACAGCTTACTTAAGCTGTGACCGAAGGCTTTATCATTGAAGTTATAAATTCAATGGCTTTATTCATTCGAGTGCGTTAAAGCAAATTCAAATTTAACAGCGCTTGCGTTTGCGCAGTACCGAGGGAGTCAGTGTGCAACACATCTGCAAGTGTATAAATAGACAACACACAATACACGGAGTTCTTGATGGCGCATGACATATCGTTCCAAAAAATTCAGTGGTTTATTAATTTTTTATCGTAGTCTATCATTTGTAGGACATTCTAGAAACTACCCCCGTATCTCTACTAATCTGCTTTGGGGGTTGAAGCTGTAATTTTATCAAATGTAAATTTGCCCTTACATTTTTACGAGTTATACGCCATCTAGTGATAATCGCATCAAAACGGAGAGGAAATGAGTAGGTTTCGTATCAAATGACGTTTTAAATTTTCTCATTGTTAAGGTATACTAACTTTGCAATTCTTAAAGTTGCAAAATTCAATAGAAATATTAATTTGCAATTTTAATTGTCATGTCGATTTATTTTAAACACTGTGTGTAGTTTCCACTTCTGCTGCGCAATCGGAAGCGCGGATTTGGACTTTAGTGTAGACGCCAAGGGAAGTGACGCCTCCGCCATTTGCCAAACCATTAGCCAGTTTATAGTCGTCAGCAAATTTGTGATTGCCCTCTAACTTTCTGAGTTATTTTGCAATATTTTTAGGTAAGTAGAATTTTATTCATTTCTTTAGGTACAGACAGAGTACGTTAATTCGTGTATCGATCTACTTTCTTCTTGATGGTATCAGTTTTGCTTTTTTAATGTCGACATTGTAATTAACGCCATTTCTTCTTTTTATCATCATTTAGTCCGATTAAAATGGCGAATAGAAGATTTGGTGGTGGTCCACCTCAAAAACTAGGTGGTTTTGCTCAACAAAACTTTCAAGGCAACAAAATGAGCCCCTGGCAGGGGGGCGCGGCACCCAACAATTCCGGAAATAGCGGTCTGCTATCTCAACTGTCAACTCCTCAGCAATTAGCTCTAGCTCTCACTAATCTGTTACAAAACCAGCCACCACAGAATAATAATCCTCCGTCGTTACTTTCGTTGCCTACAACTCCAGGCTATAATAATCAAGATAATTTCGGTTCTGATAATCGCTTTAATCGCGGTCGTGATTTCAGGCGACCCGATCCTTACAATAAGGTATGAGTATTATTTACGTTTATTGATATTTTTTCCAAAACCCTTTATGGAAATGTTTCTTAATGTTTTTCTTATGCAGGTATGACACACTTCAACTGTGGATTTGGGCTTTCTGTTTTGAAGCCGTCACTCAAATCCACAGTGCTTTCACAGGTACCTAACGTCAAATATAATGTGGCAAAATTGTCCTTCAGGCAGTTTCACTTTCTGCTTTGTATTATTATTATTGTTGCTAAAGATTAAATGAATCCATTTCTCATTCTCACTCGAGTCAATCCTGCATATAATTATTATCTACCCTTTTTTATACTAAACGAAAACAATTGGAATTTCAAATTTATCATAGAACCGCACCGGTGGTTGGCGTGACAATTCCACTAGACCGACGGGAACTTTCGGTGGTAGGCCTGCTTCAGGCCGAAGTAATTCTCGATCTAATTTCGGAAGCAGAGATCGCAAGTCACCTCTAAGAGGAGGTAAAGGTAAAAATGATGGTAAAATTCAAGGAGGCAAGGGTAAAGCCCCAAAGGCTAATGATTCTTCTAAAACGCAACAAAAGGATGGCGATATTTCTAATGACACTACCAGGTAAGAGTTTATCTTCAGTTCATTAAATACTTTCTTCCACTGGAGACAAAGATAATAAACTTTTATGTATCAGTTCCACAACAATTCCAACTAACTAAAATATGTAACGTATGATTCTATCAATTCCTCTATTATACAAACTGTTTAACTCAATTTGCTAGGAGTGAAGAAATTGTGGATGGGGAAAACAAAGAGGATGGCGCAAATGAGAGCGCTACTGACTGTATCGACTTATCCGACGATAAGGAGACTGGTGGTGAGAAAAAGGAGAAGAAACCGCGTGAGGGCCGCTATCATGGTGTGCCGCCCAATCTCTTACATTGCTTTGTGTGCAATAAAAGTATGTGGGATGGCGAGTCGTTTCAGAACCATATAAGAGGTATGTAACGCCCGGGTGTAGATAATTTGACCAAATTTATATTTCTGTGCACAAGGTGTCTCGAGTAGAATTTGCACCCTCTTATAAATAAATTTCCAGAAAAAAAAACTGCTTCAAAACATCATGTACCACCAGACAAAATTTAAACTCATTTTCATCTCCTTAACGTGATCAAACCCTTGAAGAATTAATGTATTTTGATTATCATCACAAATGCTTCACAACATACATGTACTCCGCCATTAAAATTTTTTAAGGGGCCAATCACGCCAGAAATGAAAAAATTACTATTGAAATTCAAGTCGCCACCCTGTGTATTGTTAATGGAAAGAAAAAAATTCAATTTATATCTACCTAAAAATATTTCATAAATAAAAATCTGATCCTTTTCTTGGATTTGAATTATTTCAGGCAAGGCACATAAGCAGATGATGGACAGCCTTGGTCAAAGTTTTCAAATTACGGTTAACATTTTGCGTGAAAATATGCGTCTCGTAGAAGAGAAGAAAATGATCGAGTTGGAACGGATGAATCGTAACAGTCGCAATTTCCATCGCCATCCACAAGATCAAACAAGCCATTGTAACATGTGTGATTTGAAATTCCTCGGTAAGATTATCGCCCATCGTAAAACTGACGGACATCAACGTCTGAAACGGTTCTTACATCCAAAATGCCACTATTGCTCTCAAGAATTTCCGTCACGTATGGAGTGGGTGGATCATCGCTTCACTCCGGATCATTTAAGAAAAATTAAAGAATATTTGGACTCACGCACAGGTGAAGAAGGTCAGTTGGGTGCATTGCTTGTATTTCGATACTAAATTATCATTTGCAGAAGGCGCTCCAATCGAAGAGCAAGAGACTGAAATTGACAACGATCCTCTACTGGATGAAAGCTTACAGACCGAAGATGAGAATCCCATCCTCGAATTGACCGACGATTTGAAAGACTTGCATAACCGTATACCTGCATATAAACCATCTAGGCCGATTTCTACAAACAGCGTTCAACCGTCGTCAGGATTTTATTGTGACATTTGCATTAGATTTATGACCACCGAAACTGCGGCTAAGGTATGATTAAAGTTGTCTCTATCACTGTTTAAGGAGTTGTTCCAGGAACATCTAAAAACGGAGAGACATTATCAATCATTTGTGGAGACTGCTAAACGTCAATTCAAACGCATGGCAGATGAGGAGAAGGAGAAGGAAAAAGAGGAGGCACGTCGCCGCAAAGCCGAAGAGGAGGCAGAAGGAAATGAAGAGGCCAAAAAACCTAAGACTGACGATGCAAATGGCGATGGTAAAGAAAGGATACTATTTCGCAAGTATTATTACAATTGAGTTACAGAGATGTATGATCCCGAAGAAGCCTGTCAAGATAATGATACATCAGAGAATACACCTATGGAAGAAGAAGATACACCAAAAGAGGAGGATGACAAGAACACGTCGAATGTTAAAGAGGAGGTTGTAATAGAGGAAGAGGAGGAGGATAAAAAAGCTTCTGGTGGCCCACCTATGGGAGGTGGTCGTGGGCGACGTGGGGGTGGAGCAGTTAGAAATGGTGCGGGACCTAGAAGTAAAACCCGACGTGGGGGAAAGTGAAGAAACCTCTATTCTATTCGACTCTCATTGTGTAGCGCTATGCAAGTTTCATTTTGAAACTGCTTATTGTGTAGTTTTTTAATTTTACGTTGTAATCCAACATTTGACGTATTGCTATTTGAGTTATTTGTAATTGTATGAATGTTTTATGTACTTTTCACATTTTTAGTGAATGAACAAAGATATTTTGTTTGAGTAATGAATGTGTCATGACAGTGAATTATAAAATATGATTATGTAGGCTAAACATTTAATGAAATACATCTTCAAGTTGAACCAATTTTGGCAAATTATTAATTATTGATCCTGACATCCCGCAAACTAATTTTTTTCACTACTAGCGTCTGATGACATGATTATTAACCTTTTTTCCACTTGTAAAGTAGGCTTTCTCGGCATTTGTTCAAAGTGGTTAATAATTTTTTATTATTAACTAGTAGTCAATAATGAGAACTGTCACGCTGTCACTTTTAGAAAACACAACCCGAAATTTCGCTCAATGAACGTTTAGACAAGTTCTCTAAAACGAATAATTGCCACCATTCGCAATTTCCAGAGAAATTACATACCTAAAATTATCACATTTTGAAAAAATTCGAACGAAATTACTCTTTGAAAAATCTCAATGACAGAACAAAATACGGCCTGTTTGACTTGTACTTCCACGTACTTGATTGACATGTTAAATTAAGAAACAAACAATTCTGTCCAACCGTTAACTCTCTTATCAATATAATATGTTAATTTAGAGGATTTCAAGTGCTAGTAGTGAAAAAAAAAGTATATATACCACGGTAGAGAAGTCTATTATTGCCTTCGCACCTTACACCCCTCGGCGCAAGCGCCTCGAGATGTAATCTTGGTGCTCAGGCAATAATAATAGTTGACTTCTCTACCTTGATATATAATGTACTATTTTTGCACAGTGGTCAAATTTCATTAATTTTTCCCAAAAATCATTGGAAGTAGGTGACTTCGCTATTGTTTTTGAGTGACTAAATCGTGAATGTTGATTACTCAATTATGGGATATTAAGGACTTTTATGAATTTACTTGATAAACTCTTCGCCCTCATTAATCGAACTACAAATTCATGAAAAAAAGTCACTTAAAACTAGTAGGGTACAAATAACTATTTCGTAAAAGTATCCAAAATGTGACATAAAAAAAAACTAATCCAGGAGGCTAAAAAAAACTGGCCGAATGAACAATGATGATGCGTTTTTACTTTTGTGTTAATTTATGCCTACCATTCAGGAGTCGGTAATCAACAATCAAAGATCAATTTTGGGGGGTCTTCTTAATTTTGGAATAAAGTTATTAATTTGTGTACAACTAGCTTTGTTCCTTATTCTGTAAAAGCGATAAACCTCGTAGCTTGTGTAAGTATCTTTTCCATACCTTACAGAAAACTGGATAAACGTTTATTTCAGAGTACTTTTGAATCTCATTCCACATAACCTTAAAATGGAAACCAACATAATAAATTTCATTGAAAAAATTGATGTAACAAACTTTGCTCTTGTTATACCAAGTGTTGCAGTTGGAAATGTGGGGCAATTAACTATTGATATGCTAATTACGTCTTATCATTTCAAGAAATATGCGACGGTTTGGCATCCTGCAATTATCCCCACGGCGGGAGGAGATCCGTTCTTTGAAGACCCGGTGGCTGTGTCAACAGCTTGTGAGCTGTTTGTACATGAAGATCTACAGTTAGTTGTAATGCAGATACGATCAGGTCTCGAGAGTAATCTGGCCTTAAGTTTCATTCAAAACTTAAAAACAGCCTTGACTCCATTTCATTTCAAGCAAGTGATCATTCTCAGCAGTGCATTCGCCTATGAATTACACAACGTCACATCTAGTCATTTTCGTTACGTATCGGACGATAATGTAACCAGGTTTCAGGATTTAAATGTGCCACGATTGGAGAAAGATGCAGACGGAGAGTATACAATATATGGTGGCGGCTACGCTACAAGCTTGTACAATTCTTTAAGAGACAGTTACTCGTGCACAATACTATTCAAGTATACATCGGAAGGTGATAATCGGCCGGACGCATTTGAAATGCTGAAGATTTTATGTAACTATTTGCAATTTTCTCCGACTACTACAACAATTGTATATCCTAATAGTTGGAAGTATGCATTCGGTAATCCTCCCCCTCTGGGAATTTATTAATGTTTATAATTAGTAATTAATGAAATAACTTTCTAAATAAATGTGATAATCTAATTGTTTATTAATTGAATTACATGTAAATATTTGAAACTATTAGATTGGTTCAAATCTTGAGATAGGATGGATGTGCAGCTCTCTCGTATGTGCGTATCTGCAAGCGAAGTAAATGCTAATGTGGAAAGTTGGATACTGAAGCACTTCAGTTGCGGAAGTTCGTGGAAGGATGATAAGGTAAGTCAAATTCTGCAATTGACCAATTTTGAATTCTGATTGTTTATAGTGCTCAATTTCAAAATCGAATGTGGAATATCACAAGCGCTACTATCTCAACGAACGACTTTATTGCATTCTGCATCACATTGAAGTTGCAAATGTGTCCATGTATTTAAATCAACTGCGAGAAATGGAGATTTATACTAGAGAAAACATCGACATCTTCTTAGATTTTATTCTGGATGCTGTTTCAAGAGATACAAACTGTGCTGTCCCCTACGCTCGTTTATGTCATGAAATTGCAATTGAGCAGGGGTCACAATTTAAGCAAGCTCTTTGTAAAAAATGCCTACAACTTTTCGAAAAAAAGTCCCTAGGGTACACGGAAAGGAGGCTAAAGATGCGAGAGATAAAAACTTACAATGAAGCGTCAAAGATTGCCAGTTTAAAACTTGAATTAGAGCAATACAATAATCAATTACGGTCGGAATATACCAAGTTTATTCATTTTATTGGTGAGCTGATTTTTATTTTGTTTTTAAGATTTGCTTATTTTTAACGTTGCAGGTGAGTTGTTCCTGAACCAGCTTCTCTCAAATAACGTAATTGTCAACTATATACATGGTTTACTGAGCCGGAGAGATGATGAAGGTTTGGAATGTGCTTGTTTACTTTTAAGTAGGGTAGGTGGCTTGTTGGAGACTTCTGGCTGTGGCTTGCATCAAATCTTCTACATACTGCAGTCGTTCGTTAACTGCAGTAATCAAGGAAATGTCAGCTATCGAGTGTGGTAAGTTGTCTGAATTTAATTAGCAGCGAGTTTGTCGGTTGACTAAATCATAATCAATGTTCCCCGATTTATTTTCAATAAAACTAGACCGATACAAGTATTCTGAATGAATGAATTAATTAATGATCAATTAATAGCTCATAACCACTTGGTGCCCTAATTAAACGAATAAGATCTGTTTCACAAAGGACCAACGACCAGTACTGATGTCGCTGATACAACAGTGAATAGGACAGATCGTCAGTGCTGATCATCGGTCCTTTGTAAAACGGCCCTAATGAATTATGAGTGTTTTAAAAACACAAGCTCTAGCTTAAAGCAACTGAACTGCCGTACTATCTACCTAATTGTTCAAATTGTTTAGTAGCCTTGTAATAACACATTTTCTTCTAACAAAAAATAAATGAAAAACCTGGTTTACAATTTGGTCATTGCTCTCAGTTGTGTAGATCCTACTTTTATGAATATTATTTTATTTCAGGAACATGGCTAATGAACTTTTGGCCCTCAGGAGTTCACATTGGTTAAAAAATACAAACTGAAACGCGGGGAAAACTAAGCTTATTTGGAACGTATAGCAATCCTAAATTCGGGAACCTCAAGCTCAGAATAAGGCCGTACAAGTTATCTGCCAAAAGACGTTATTTTGCATTATTGAGTATGGGCTAAATATCGTTTTCTACTACAGATAACCAGCGCGTTAAGTTTAACGTTACAGGGCTGATCCAAATCAAAAAAATTATATATACCTATTTTGTACATATTAAAACGAAAGACTACAATAATGACGTGTATGGTGTGTTGTCTATATTAGTTTTTCCTGTCATGAGTTCATTACGCTAGGGAATAAACATCTCTATGGCTATTGGCTAGGGTAATTTAGCATCAGTTGGGTGCAGTGAAAATTGTAATTTATTTGGATAATAAAAAAAATACCAATAAAATCTAAAATCTGTTTCTTTTGTAAACGATCAAGTCCAATACATTATTGTTGGTGGATTAATTATTATAATGGATAGTGTTGATTCACTTCTTAGCCTTCCGGAGGTCGCTTTAGAGAAAATTCTTTCGTATTTAACCTACGACGAGATTGCCAAAAGTCGCACGGTGAGTATTAAAACAATTTTCATTTAACGTAATACACGGAATCTAATGCTCTTTTGCACCATACGCACAAGATCTTGTGGTTTTTGTGGACGAAATAACAAAAAAAAAAGTATGTACAGTGTTGTCAAATCGGCACTGTATTAAAGGGGAAAAAGCGCGGGATTTGTAGGTGAACTGCAATGTCTGACAATGAGTTACTTGATTCTTTACTTGCCGTAATTAATGAAACCCCCGAACCTCAACCGTCCTTCGATAAAGCACTAACATCATTGGACAATGTGCTTGTTCAACCGGCAAAAGAAAAACTGCAGTCTGATCGTAGCACAATACACAATGGGGACACCGATTCCTCGGAGGATGAAGATAATCGTGACTTTGAGAACAGACAATATACTGAATACGGACGCAGTATTAAACATCTACTGCGTACGCAAGCCTCCACTTCAAAACAAACCTCCAAGCAACTATGGACTGCGAAACCCAGCACTAATCAATCAGAATCCGTTCGTTGTGAAGTCTTATTTGGAATTCAAGTGGCGAATCCACTAGTCACAGTGACCGTTTTAGAGGAGCGCATGGGTGATCGTACGTTCATTCCACTTAGTCGAATTAAAACTTTTACAAGGAATGTATCTAAAAGCGTCGATTGGGTAGTTGCGGGCGCTATTGTCCATAAAAGTCCGACGAAAGTATCTAGTAAAGGGAAGAATTTTATGGTGTGGACTTTAAGCGATTTAAAAATGGAATTAAAGACCATTTCTCTATTTTTGTTTGGTCGTGCTTACGACGAATTATGGAAGACGACTGTCGGAACAGTTGTCGGTATCTTAAATCCGTCCTTACTGGATGCACGAGACGGTAGTAAAGATGAGGCTCAATTAAGTATAAATAACCATCAGCTTGTGATGCTTTTGGGTAATTCTAGAGACCTCGGCACATGCAAGAGTGTAAAAAAGGGCGGCGAACGTTGTACCGCCTTTGTAAACGTTAGCATCTGCGAATTCTGCGTGTATCACATTAAAACCGAATACCAAAAGTGTAGTTTACGTTCCGAGCTTCAATCGAGTTTTAGCGGACGTGGTTTGAATGCCTTACGGAACAAAGTATTAGGGAAGGACCAGGTTTTTTACGCCGGCAAGTTATATTCTGCAATACCTAAAAATAGACAGACAGCGCGAGACCAACAAAGACTAAAAGTCTTGGAGGGTAACAGTCAAAGTGTTGTAAAACGAAAAATGCCACCCCAAAAGAAGGCGGCATCGCAATTGGAAATGGATGCAACCCAACGGTGTCGCGACCTGGAACGCTTAAAAAAACTTGGTGTTAATTCTCCTGTGGATCTTGACAATAAAATTGTAAAATTTAACGCAGACCATTCTCGTGAAGTGAGCTGCACTTCTGCCCTCGATGCCATTCAAAAGTTAAAAGAATCAAAAGCTCCAACGCTCTCTTCCTCCGCCACCATAGACTTAAACCTACCAATAACTAGAAAGGAGACAATTAAAGCTAGACAAAACGCCTTGACGTGGGTTCAAACAAATGGCCCCATACAGAAGCAGGATCCGAATAGCGTGCGTGGAAAAGGAAAGAAGCGTGCGCTCGATGTTGAGCGTTTTCAAGAACAAGACAAGAAAGCAAAAGTGGAAATCAACAGTTTTTCATCTGACCGATTTAGAAAAATAATGACGGCGACCTCGGCTCACAACAATTTACTCGCCGAGATTGAGAACGAACGGCAAGAGAAGTACTTTCAAAAGTTAGAGATGAAAGAGAGGATGGAAGAAAAAATGGCTACCACATACAAAGTTCAATGTAAAGCTGTTCGGTGTTTAAAGTGTAAATATACAAATTTCTCCGCGTCGGATACGTGCAAGACGGAACGGCATCCTCTAAAGGTGTTTGATGCGGTTAAACGCTTCTTTAAATGTGGCGAATGCAGTAATCGAACCGCTTGTTTAACGGTTGTGCCCACACTCTCGTGTAAAAACTGCGGCAGCAGTAAATGGGAGAGGACGTCGATGATGAAGGAACGCACAGAGAAAATTGCAGCACCGACGCTTTCTATACGAGGGGGCGAACAGGTCTTTACAAATTCAAATATTTCAAATGCAAATTTAGACTTATTGGTACCTGAGTAAATTGTAACTACTTAAGTACCTAGTACCTTTAATAAAGTTTTGTTTTAATTTTAATTCTTTCTAATCACAACTCGGCTCCCTTTTTTTCTTTCAAAGTTCTGGACAATTGTAGAAAAATAATCCCTCAAGGGGGAATTCTCTGGAACAAGTATTCAGGGAAAGCAGAGCCCGGAAGCCTTTGCAAAAGTAGTTGCAGATGGTATAAGCTCAAATTCGGCAAGTAGAGAAATAGGTTTGGAATTCCAAAGCTCATTAAGAAAGGCTTGATCTGTACAAGCCTGAAGCTCAAAGTCCTTTCGGATGTAATTGAAATCCTTAAATGATAAATTCTTTAGGCAAGATTGATACACAAAGTTAACAAAAGAAGCATTTTTAATTTTTTGTTAGTTTGACTTTGTTTTGTTTAATCAGGTAGGTATCTAGATACCTACACGATGTCTATCAACAGCAGACGTACAATACGTTTAAGTACATTGGATATTGTTCACGTATTTCACAGGAAATTGAATCCAAATGCACCGTAATGCCAGTAAACGTAGTGAAGAAGTTGGTAGATGTTAGAAAAATAGTATTCAGATTTTAGTTTGTTCGTGCTCTCTTTTTAAAAAAAAATTGAAATCACATGTTTTTTATGCAATTAACTTTGTAGGTATGTCGTCAGTTCAACCAAATTGGAGGCAACCTGTTATCACGCGGTTTCTTTCAAATAGAGAAGAGACACAGCGCTATATACAAGAGAATGAAATCGATGTTGCCAAGGCGCGAATCGGAACGTCGATCGCATCCATTGTCCCGCCATTGTGATATACTTTCAGCAATTGAAACTCGATTGAGCATGTTGTCCATGACGTACTTAAAGTACATTGAAAGTAGCACTTGCTGCTTTATTCCCGGAAAGGTACATCTAACACCTCGCTTGCATCTAACCATCGCAATTAGGTTTTAGATGAAATTGATCGTATTTTAACTCTTGTCGATAAGGTTAAGCCAGCTCCGAGAACGCACGAATTGCTTCAGGAGCTACGTGATATTAGCAGTATGGCAATGGAACACTTTGACGAAATAATACTTCCTCGTATGAAACACAAAGCATCGGATAGAAATACAAGTAAAAGAGTTTATCATTTGAATGCCACATAAATGATGTTTGACTTGCAGTCTCTGCCACAACTTCCACCTTAAAATCGACTAAAGCACTCTATGCGCAGGTTATATTCGATGAGATTCAAAAAGTTAAAAAACAAACTAAAAGTAATAAGCAGCAAGTGTCGTCATTGGTGGAGGTTCTACGAAACCTAAGTGCACAAGTAAGTCAATCTTAAATGGCAATCTTTATAAAAAATACCTTTCTAGATTAAAAGGCAGGCAAAAATGTTGCGAGAAAAATCATCAACAATCAAAGAACAGGAACGAAAATTACAAGAACAGGCCATCAAAATTCAGGAGCAAGAATCATCCATAGCGGACTTAAAAAAACACGTAGAAGAATGGGATCAGAAGTTTTCCGATTTAACGGCGGAAGTAATTCGAGCCCGTGAGGATTTTTCAATGAAAACGTTACCTCCAGTCAGCCACCCTGATCTATCAAAGTGTAACATCAAGCCGCGAACGGGTCTATCAAAATTCTTTGAAATACCACAATTTGATTTGGAAAGGAAGCGTAAGGCCACATCCATATCCGATATTCCCCAAAAGGTACCGAGGATGTTCACAACTGGCAGTATATCGGACGATATTTGTAACAAAATTAACGAAAACATAACAAACAATATATCAAAAAGCATAACGGGCAAATTACCTGTAATTAATGAGAAGGAAAAATATGCGGGGTGTCTTAATCATAAAACTGGATTTGTACCATTTCTCTCTAGTTCGATTGAAATGTTACTTAAGGCACCAATTAACAGTATTAAGTCTCGTAAACGAAAAATTTGTGAGGGGATTGAAATGAAGTAAATATGAACTATTGTTGTTTTTATCTGAATGTGCTTGTTTCATTACTGATAGTGTGTTTCTGTAAGCAAACTGTGCAATTAAAGTTTTTTTTAATGAATGGTATACCTATAAAGCACATTGAACGAGAGAGAACAAAGCATTTCAGGTGTACCCCCGATTCTGATTTGGTGGTGACCTCTAGACCCACCGGTGCCACGTTCTTCCCCATAAACATTTAGTGCTGGGACTTTCGTGCAAAGTTTTGAGAAAAGTCTGTTCTCATTGTGTTACATCATTTGGCGATTGTATTTTACCTGGGAGAAGGATCTCCTAGAACCAATAAAAACTATTACCTGCCGTATAATGTACAATATTTTGTTTATATTGATTAACAAATAAAATATTATACGTCAGGCAGTATTATTACTGGCTCTCCTGCAGTATAGTGGACTGCAAAGTGTTAATAATTTCAAGGAACTTAAATAGGTACCACCTATTAGCCAATGGCGTTTAAAATGAAGTTTGGAACTCATTTTTTTAAAGACAATAACGAGGCAATTACAAATAAGATTAGGCTTTATTAAAAAACAAGTGTGGACAAATCTGAAAAACGCTTAAAGATAAGGGGCTGAATAGAAGAGTAATATTAAGAATGCTGTATTCACTAAATCCATTTTATTATACCTACTTTTATTTAGATACTATAATATGGAACTTTTTAAACATAGGGATGCATTAACAACAAATACCTAACAGCAAATTATCACAATTAGTACATATAGCACTAAAATAACTTTAAGTATTGTGGTACCAATTCATCAACAGAGAAACAATTAAAATCCATCTTTAGGGAGTTTCTATGCTGCGTAGCTAAATCTGGTACTAAACAATATTGCTTTAAACGAAGATATAATTCAGTGTCGTCAGAGTAGATACATTGAGAGGGATAAATTTCAGGATACACCAATCGGTTGGGAACTAACGGGAAACACCCATAAAAACAAGCTTCTAACCTGCAACCAAGTGTACGGTTGAAAATGAAGGCACAATGCAAATAGTACTCACATAGAGACACCATAAAACTCATGTCGTGCTGTTGAAATGGCTACATGGCAATGTTGCAGAACTTTGTAGTATTCGGCTTTATTTTCGACAAAGCCGAAATGCACAATTTCATCTTTCAACACTTCTTTGGCTTCATCAAATATTTCTGGTACATCAGCAAAAGTTTCTCCGAGTAATGATACTTGGAAGGTAATATTTTCACATTTCAGCCGTTTAAGTAAATTAAGGAAAGTATCTGGATCCTTATCAAACTCCCAACGATGTGGCCATGCGATGTGCAGAACACTGTTAGCCTTAGGAACAGCTTCCCAATTCTTTGAGAGCTCTAACGGAAAGTATAAAACAATACATTTAGGTTCTATTTTAGTTTTAAGATTCTTCGGTTTGTTATCGGGAAATATTTTTGTCACATTTCCCAAGTTGTTTAAAAATGACATTTTGTTATAATTTGAGTTGAATATAAGAACATCAGCGGCTAAGCTACAATAGCAATTAGCTTTCTATAAGTCAGTATGCACTTTACCTACCATGTTGTCATTTGATTATACGCAAATTGTATGTCTCTTTGTTTTATTTCCCTGATTGGATAAACCAATTGATTTTCGTGAAAGTAAACAATTTTTTTTAATTTCTGCAAGTCAGGTCGCATACCTAAAAGTTCACAAAGGCTTAGAACAGAGCTACAAAACAATACACTTTCAGTTGAAATGGGGGGAATTAACGACTGGATCATTAATGAACCGCACCGAGCACGCCAATGCCACTTCTTTGCCGATAACGTAATAACGTGACTGTTGGGAATGTCTGTGCTGCAAATGATTTCGTAAGAATACAGTGATGCAATATGTAAACTTGCATTTAACCAGTGTATCAATTAACTGTTTGTGTGAACCCCCATAGAATGGTTCGATGAAAATGGCTTGTGGATTGTGTACAATTACTGCAGGGGGTACATTTTCAATTGTCTCTAATTCCTCTTCTTCCTCTGGATTCTGGACAGAATCTATAATTGTTTGAGTGTTTTTACAATTACGTTTTCTGGGGCTCTCCATTTGATGCTTGTTTGGATATTGTATAAGACGAGGTATAAGATATTTTACAGTGCTTCTTATACTTTTTTATGTGGAAGTTTATTTGTAAGTTGAAAAGAGGAAAATCCTACATTCTACACTGAATCTGAAAAGGCACAACAAATTGTGATTTGTGTAGGGCTATACCATTGAATTTATAACTATTATAAATTCAATGGCTATGCTATACCTACGAGTTAAACCAGAGTATATCTCTGGACAAAACGTAAAACATAACCCACAAAACAGTAAACTGCATAACCTTCTCTTTCCTTCTCTAAGGCGTAACCCTTTGAATTATAACCATTGAATTTATAACTATCAAATTCAATGTTATAACGGGTTTTATATTCAAACGCGTAACCTTAAATCTTTGATGGTGTAACAGAGTATGGTGTAACATGAGTGTAACCCATATATATGTAACCGTGTAGGTGTACCCAAAAAGTAGAATTTTAGGAATTTTTTATTTAAAATTGGTACTTTAAAGAGGTATTTTTGGTTTTGTGTGTGGCTTGACTGTTTGTTTACTGTGATTGCACTTCCCGTACACGTCAAAATCGGTGTGTTGGAAAAAAGTGCACTTTATTAATTTATTTGTACATCCATTCACTGTGAAGAAAATGGATATGAAATCTGAACTAGATTTAAGTGGTAAAGTTATAATTAAAGTTCAATTGGGTGACGATATTCGGAGAATTCCTATTCATAATGATGCCATAACTTATGATGAGTTGGTGTTAATGATGCAAAGAATATTTAATGGAAAACTGAGTTCATCGGATGACATTTCTATCAAATATAAAGATGAAGGTAGCTACCTATACATGGCGAGCCATTGCTTACGTTCGCCAGAGGAAGCGCTTCATGAGTGCTACCTAAAGACGGGAATACTCTAGTAAGGGTTCTGGCGCGAGTTGTTGACTGATAGCAATGTCGAGGTGTAAATATCACTGTACGTCTGACTTACGGTGGTATGTACACCTCGGCAGTACTATCAGACAGCAATTCGCGCGAGAAACCTTGCTAGAGTATTCACGTCTTTAGGTAGCGCTCAAGAAACGCTTCGTCTGGTGACTGTAACCATTGTCTCATATTTATTTATATTTTAGATGGTGATCTTATAACCATTAATGACAGTTCTGATTTATCTTTCGCCATACAATGCAGCAGAGTTTTAAAATTAATTATCTTAAAGCAATCTGCAGTTAATCCTGAAATAACTTCCACAGAAGCAAAACTAAACAGCACCTTAGAGTACTCAGAATTGAATGAAATAAGAGTACAATTACGAACTATTCGAGATCACGTTAATAAACTTTTGGATTCATTGGACGTGCCATTTACAGCTCAAACTAATGAAAAAGGTAGTATTTCCATACACTTATCCTTGACCATTTGTATAATTTTAGGTAGTTCAGATCCAAACTCAAATGATGTTGTTTTGCCAAACAAGGACTGTGGCAATAAAGTGAATTCTAAGGAATTTGATCCACTACAAGACAAGGATGTGCCCAAGGATACTGCAGTGCAGAGTAATCACGAATCTGATAGTCGTCCACGATCTGTTCCGGTTCCATCTACTCCACCAACGATACCTGGCCCTCCTGGGAACGCTCCGACATCTATGCCCGACTATTATGGACGTACTTCAACACAAAGTAAATATTCCTGTTCCAAAAAATTGGCTGTAGCTCATAAGATCAGTTTGTTCCATAAAGTATTTGTGTGAGGCAGACGTGGTGCTTAGTGATTGTTCTTTGAAACCGAAAGTGTTGTATTTTCTTAACTTGTTCAATGTTTTATTTATATTTAAAACTGTTTTTCTTTTTTTATAGATTATCCCCAGATGACGCAATACAGTTCTCTGCCTTATCCCCAACCACCATACACATATTCTACTACCGAAGGGTAAATTTACTAAAGACTATGATTATCATTTCTATAATGTCGGTTTATAGCTACGTTCCTGCTACAGATCAGTCGCAAGTACCTCACAATTCTAGTTCGTACATTAATACATCACAATCTAGCATGCCCTATCATTCTCAACAGCCGCAAGGATATAATCCACCACCGCATGCCAACTACCCAGTACAACCTCAAGGAAATCCCTACTCAAAAAGTTACAATCAACCACCTTCACATGTATACATGCAACCGCGTTAATTTGGAATATATGCATTGCTTATATTATTTGTATTTTAATGTTTTTCATTGTGTAACTGCCGTTAATCCAAACATTTGAGTGTTTAGCAAATATTTTTCAATATACGTACCTATACTAAGTCTGTTTTAATAATCCACAATAATAAAGTGTAACTACCAGAAAAGTAGTTGCAATTGCAAAGGATTTGAAATTTTCCATCAAGGGCATTTTAGTTTTAAACTTAGGGATATTTGCTGTTGTAATGTTTTTTCTACTAAAACCTGGTTTTAACAACTTTTAAACCAAAAATAAGGTTATTTCTCAAATAAAAAAAAAAGTAAATTATGTCTTCACCGTCTCCAAAATCGCCGGAGCAAAGTGAAAAGAGTCGTAAATATGATCGTCAGCTAAGGTTCGTCGTCCGGTCTTTTTGCATTGTCCATTACTTGGTTAGTGTTTCAGACTGTGGGGAGATCACGGGCAAAAGCTACTCGAAGGCTCAAAAATTTGTTTAATTAACGCAACAGCATTGGGAACAGAAATATTAAAAAGCCTGGTGTTGCCTGGAATTGGAGCTTTCACGATTGTCGATGGGGAAAAAGTGACCGAAGAGGATGTCGGATGCAAGTAAGTGCTAGCGATTCAGTCTATTTTTTATGTGGATTTTAGTTTTTTTCTAGATGAGACCCATATTGGTATGTCACGTGCGCAGGCTGCAACTGAATCACTGTTAGAATTAAATCGAGATGTTCGTGGTGATTATATAGACGATTTTCCCGATCATGTTATGTTGCACACTCAAGACTTCTTTAACAACTTCAATGTTATTATTGCTACGGCATTACCGGAGAAGTACATTTTTTAATTGAGTTGTTTATTTAATAATAGTGAGAACATTTCTAGGGTTTTAATGCCCTTATCAAAACAACTATGGTCGGCAAACATTCCTTTTTTGGTATGTCGTAGTGTCGGCTTTTTAGGATATGTAAGGTTACAAATTAAGGAACATACCGTTATTGAAACCCACCCCGATAATGAAACCCCAGACCTGCAATTGGACCGGCCGTGGCCTTCCTTGATGGAACATCTAGAGCAGGTGGATGTATCGAATTTCGGGACAAAGGAAAGAAGCCACGTTCCAGCGTTAACCATTCTCTATCACTACTTGCAACAATTTAAATCTGAAAATGGGGGATTATTACCTAAAACGCATGCAGAGAAGGATAAACTGCGTAACATTATTCGTAACAGTTTACCTAGTGAAAATGATATTTTAGAAGAGAATTATGAACAGGCTGTGAAGTTTGTTAACGTCTGCGTTAATTGTACTTGTGTACCAAATCACATACAGAAAATTCTTGATGATGAATTGTGTATTAATTTAACCTTTGAGGTGAGTTTCATTAAATTTTCCAGGGGGTAATTTCGAACATTTATTTTAGAGTTCTCCTTTTTGGGTAATGTGTGCCGCATTAAGGGAAATGGTTCAGAGTGAAGGTGCATTACCCATCCGTGGAAGCCTTCCAGATATGGCCGCAGATACGGCCAGTTTCATATCTTTACAACAATTATATATGCGTCAGGCGCATTCGCAAATGGAATCCCTTTATAGAAGAGCCGTGCAAATCAGCCGTTCATTGGGGCAGTCAACTGATGCCATTACTGAAGCTGAGGTAATTTTGGTTAGCCTTTTTGCTTCTGGTTCAGTCAGGCTGGAATATGGAAATAAATATCCGTTTCCTAGCTCGCTTGAAATAGGCTATAATGGTATTAAGGTGAATATTTTAGGCGAAGCTGTTTTGTAAACACGCTTCGGAACTGCATGTTTTTCGTGGCAAGTGCATTGCGGACGAATATCAAAGCAATTCTCCAAGTGCTTCTTTACACCTTGAAGATCCCGAAAGTTTAATGTTTTATTACGTAATACTACGAGGTTTAGAAAGTTTTATTGACGAATATAATGCGTATCCTGGCCAATATGATGATCATGTCGAACCAGATGTCCTGAAACTAAAAACTTTGATTGGAAAATTGTTAACCGAATGGGGTTGTCCAACTGTAGCTATTAGTGATGATCGTGTTCATGAAGTTTGTAGGTACGGCGGTGCAGAGTTACATTCTGTATCTGCCGTGTTAGCCGGTTGTACAGCACATGAAACTATTAAACTTATCACTCACCAGTTTAAACCCATTAATAACACTTTTATTTATGATGCGATTACTTCCACGTCGGCGACATTTGTTTTATAAGTGCTTTCAGTTTATAATATTGTCTTCAATAAAAGTAATGCGAGTAAATTAAATTCTTTATTGTACCATCACCAATACCACTATCTCGTCACCTTTATAAAATGTTTATTAAGTAAAACGACGAGGTTTAGAAACATTATTATTTTTAATATTAATCCGTAAAGTTAAAGCATAAGAAATATGTATTTATTTGTGAACTTCTCCACAATAATTGGACGTGTTTATCTGTTGTGGGGTATGAAAATCAATAAAAAAAACTATAAACAATTGAAGAACCTGTTCGATTTAGTCCATGCTCACTTATTTATTTATTTATATCAAAGTTGGCATAGATTTAAAAAGCATCTCATTTAATAGTATATTAAGTATGGAGAACGGTAAGGGATTTTTACCGTTCGAAGACAATTGTTTGGAGGAGGAGCGAAGCGACGACTCCAATTATTGTCTGAGAACGGTAACCCTTAACGTTCGACGTGCTTATAACATTTTTTGCGCGATCGAAATTAAAATTATGCAACCAATATAAATATGCACTAAGAAATTAACGAGCAGAATAAATCGAAATGATCGAAGTGGTATGGTGTACATCACTAGGTAACCAGTTTATTTGTCAAAATTGAAATTAATAATTTCATAAAAATGTGCATGTGTCTGATGTAGTTTACTAGCTTTGCACTTCCTTTATGACTTTATGAGCGTCTTGCTATAGGAAACAACAGCACAAATTGTACGTTTAATGTACCTAACAATAATTAAAGATTAAATGTAATGTAAGACTGTTGATTTTTAAAAAGGCGTCGGTAAGTGTTTTTGCTGTTCTGTTTTTAGATCGGTAAGTAATTTTGGCGTCGTCGTAATCATAGCAACTGGTAAATTCTACGTACTGTCATGGAAACACCCATGGTAAATAGTCAGAAATGACCAATCGCGCAAAAAATAAGTAACTTCCAACATAATCAGATTAGTGTAAAACTGAAAATGTTTTATCAATTGCTTCACATTAGTTTCCCGGATAATATACTCGTCATTGGACATCCTGTACCTACCTATATGAATGAACCCTACAATGCCTTTTCGAAGAATGAAAAAATTGTTAAGAGGGTAGCGGCGCTGGTGGGGGAAGATGTGGCAAGGATTTCTTTACTTGAGAGAGAAGTGGTAAAATAGATCGTTTATAACCAAAAGTTAATTTATAATTTTTTTATTGACACACATCTAATACAGATTATAAATAGGTCGCTTAAATAAAAGAACATCTTTTAAAGCAGTAGGCAGCATCAAACTTTTAATTTTATTGTGAAATTTGTACGGTACACCGTTTGCATCACGCAATAAGTTTCTAATATTACTTCGACATAATTCCTGCAAAGATGGAAAGTCAAGAGCCTTTGCTATCGTGAATTCAAATTTGTTTAAACCAAGTTTTAAAATTAATTCGTGCAACACACTCTTCATTTCATCATTTAATGTAAAATATGTTAAAGCGTTTAATATAACATTATGGTCTACTGTTTCGTCACGATGTATCAGTTGGAGTTCATTAACAAACCCTTCGAGAGTTAACCTCGCAGTATTTGATGCGACTGGTTCTTTTCCAAGAATGTGAAGCATAAGTAAAACGTTACATGTTAATTGTACATCGTGGAATGTAAATGTACTGCCACAATGGATCGCAATTTCCAATTCATCACCAAAGCCAAAACAGTTATAGATTGCCATTAAATCTTCAAATTCTAACGTCATCCCCAAAGTTAAGCACAAACTAAAAATTATTATTCTATCCTCAAACGGTATAGCACGTTTCTTAAAAGCTGCATATAAACAACGGCACAATTGCGAATAATCAATGTCTTCCATCAAATCGATAGCATTTCGCGATGAAAGAATAATATGCAAGCATTCTAACCACTCCATTGTCGAAAAACAGCAAAATTTTACGTAAGTTAGCAAAAATGGGGAACGTAAGTACAGTAAGTGGCGATAATTTCTACTCCACATTAACTTAAACACATTGCTATCGGTATACATTAAAGAAAACACAAATGGATTGAAATCACAATCGGCAAAACTATCTAAAGCGGCACCTGCTTCTATCAAAGTTACTGCAATGGGGCTTTTCTTTTCTGTAGCTAGCAATAAGGCATCAGATCCATCTTTGTCGACCTCGGAAAAATGTACGTAAAAGTCCATTAAAGTAGAAGCCATCGTTTCATCGCCTATAGTAATAGCGTACATTAACGGAGTCATTGAATCGCGATTCACCACATTTACATCGGCACCGTAACATAGTAACATGCACACAAGTTCGTGATTTTTAAATTTGACGGCATGATGTAGAGGCGTTCCTTCGAAAATTTTATCTTGCGCGTCAATATTCGCACCTCTAATAATCAATTGCTCCGCAAGACAGGTCAGAGAGCGTGCTATAGCAAAATGCAAAGGTGTCATGCCGAAAGTATCCGTCGTGTTAATGTCACAACCCGACTGTATTAACAGTACAACTTCTTCGGTAACGGTTTCATTGGTATATTCTGTGCGCATTATAAGATCGTGGATCGGGCAGTGGTTCGTTAATTCCATGTTGTCCTGTAAATAAAAATATATGGAAAAGGTTACTATTGTACAAAATAATGCAATATCAAGTAAACACCTTTGGAACAATTTACCAATTGCTGAGGAATACGTTCAATCAATAAATAGCTGGTTCAGCAATTTTCTCTTCACAAAATCGGCAAATATTTTGAAGAGTGGCAGGAACAGGAACCAGGATCTCACAAAACACAAAATTGTTTTTTTGTGAACGGGGCTCCCTCTTGTAATGATTTTTTACTTTTTTTAGTCTAAAATCGTCACACCGTACCGTACTATTTACTACGCATGCGTAAAGAAACATCATTTGACCTACGAATTATTTTGATTTTCCTCCCTTCGCTGACTACGGTGATGTTTTTGAATGAATTTGCTTTTCAAAAAAATTTGAGAAGGCAATCTAAAAAAAGCCAATAACGTAATATCTAACTCCACTGAATTGGGTACGCATTTTTTTGTCAAAAAAGAAATACAACGAAACAAGGTGTTTTACAGGTACTTTAAAACTCTGCCCATTAAAAACTCACTCGGTCGCTCGTAATAACAATAACAAATTGTAGAAGATGAGTGGCTTTAGCACAAATTATAAGAAATGATTAGTAGGATAAATGAAATGTATGCGATGCGTACGTTATTGTAGTGCCAACATTTTTTTCCCGCTATTTCACATCTACTCTGGCATGGATTAGTTGACATGTTGAATAGAGGTTGATAAGGTAGAAGAGAAATCGTTATTAAAGTTCCGTTAAATTTCGATTGTAAAATATTTTAATCATGTCCGGTAGAGGAAAGGGTGGAAAAGTAAAGGGCAAAGCGAAGTCGCGATCAAACCGTGCCGGTTTACAATTTCCTGTGGGAAGAATTCATCGTTTACTCCGCAAAGGAAATTATGCAGAACGTGTTGGTGCGGGGGCTCCCGTATATTTAGCGGCGGTCATGGAATACTTGGCGGCGGAAGTTCTCGAATTGGCGGGTAATGCGGCTAGGGACAATAAGAAGACGAGGATCATTCCTCGACATCTGCAGTTGGCCATCCGTAACGACGAGGAGTTAAATAAGCTACTCGCGGGAGTAACAATCGCTCAAGGTGGAGTGTTGCCCAACATACAGGCCGTATTACTACCGAAGAAAACTGGTACGGGATCTGGAAGCACTTCTAAAGGAACGAAAAGTCAATCGCAAGAGTATTAATGGTACATGAAAACGTTCGCATGTTGTAACTTTTTGTATTTTTAATTCATAAATAAAACTACTGTAAATTTTGTTGACTGGATGATATGTATAGACCTGCATCTCTGTATTTAAAATCAAATAAAATTCTCCAGGATGTTCTTTAAACTTTGAACAGGGTCCTCATACGATCAGGCAGAAGTAATATTATTCATTTCAAATTTGCTTGGCATGTAATGCAGACATTGGTGTTGTAGTCGGCTGATCTGGTCATTGCACGTTACTATAAACACAAGATACTTAATTCTCAACTTGTCCTATTTTAATATTTGACAATAAACTGTACGTAACAGTGATGAACACCAACTATAAAGTAATATTATTGAGACACAGTGCAATACAATAGCGATAGGAAGTGGGTAATTACATTACTCAAAACAATATGGAAAAATGTTTATTTTCATAATATATTACAATCAATCTATTTCCCACCAAAACTATTCATAAGGTTTCCCAATCCTCCCATGCCACCGGCCGCTCCTGCTTGTAGTTGTCTCATCATATTTTGTAATCCGGCCATACCGCCCATTTGATGTAAAATCCTTGGGTCCATCATCTTTGCCATCTGTTGATTAAGCTTTGCCAACTGTGCTGGATTAACATTTTTTGCCATATCGCCGCCTTTAAACAAACCCTTAATTCCTCCCATTTTTTTAACAACAGCAGCAAATTTGGTGTACTGCGTTATTAATTCCTTAACTTCTTTTTCTACAATGATCGTATTGCACAAAAACGAAAACAATAGAACTATAGATAATACCAGTGACTCCAGATCCTTGTGCAACCCTTGTTATACGTGATTGCTGCTTGGAAAAAATTTTAGCTCCGTCTCGATTATCTAATTCTCCCTCATTCATGCTATCCATTATTGTCATAAGACGTTTAAGTCTGGCCATCGACTCCTGTTCACTGCCTTTCGACATAAAATCTTGACTAAACCCGGGAATCATTCCCTAAAGATACAATAACTTTACTAATTCATTTGCGTGCGAGGTTAATTGAGTAACACAAAAAGGAATAAATTCTAACCATAATCTGCGAAAAAGGTCCCATTTTCATAATATTTTGAAACTGCTCATACATATCACGTAGAGTAAATTGCCCATGCTTAATCTTCTCTAACAATTCCTCATTATCTTCTAATTTCAATTCATTCACTTTATCAATTAAACCTTCTATGTCACCCATTCCTAACAATTTGCTAATAAACGGTTTCGTTTTAAATGGTTCCAAATCGTCTATATGCTCTCCCGTACCTATATATATAACGGGACTATTTGTAGCCGCCACTCTAAAAATAAAATATTTAACAATTATAGTCAATATTTTACAGACAATTGTGTACTCACGCACTAAGTGCACCACCACCCTTGGCATGTCCATCTAACTTTGTAATGATAACTGAACCAACATCGACTTTATCTTTAAACGCTTTTGCCTGAGCTTCACAAGCTTGACCAATCGTAGCATCCATAACAAAAATGATATTATCCGGTTTCTGAAAATATAAAGTAGTATTTTTGGTTATTTAATTCAAAATGGTTTTTAAACAGTTCAACAATATCCAGTGCACCTCCACTAAGGAGTTTAAAATTTTACTGATACGATTTGGTATAATAACTAACAAATAATTTTGAATTATTTCTAAAGCTTCTTTTTTATTTAAGAAATATTACCTATATGCTGCTCTTATCTTTGTGTTTATTGTATACGATTTCACATGCGATTGTAATGTATAAACTATACAAATCCTTAACTTAGTGGTTTTAGGTCACTATTTATACATTTAGTTGATGTTGCTTTTACCTTGGGAACAAACCATAGGAAAAGTCAACTTAATAGTACATTATATACTAAGGTAGAGAAGTCTAGTATTATTGCTCGAGCACCTAAATTATATCCCAAGACACAAACGCATGAACAGATTACAGTGTTAAGGAATTTATTCGGAGAGTAAAGTAACTGAGAGGTGGAAAAACCGGACCGAAGAAAATTAATAGTTTGACAGAATTTTTTGTTTATTAATTTTTTTCACTACTAGCATCTGATGACATGATTATTAACCTTTTTCCCACTTGTAAAGTAGGCTTTGTCAGCAGTTGTTCAAAGTGGTTAATAATGTTGTCATCATTAACTGCCTAGCCTAGTAGTCAATAGTGAGAACTGTCACCCTATCACTTTTAGAAATCACAACCCGAAATTTCTCTCAATAATCAACCGCTCAAACCAAAAAATTAAATATGCCTAATATAAATAACATTATGTTGGTCACCAGAACTCTATATGCTCATTTTATCACACTTACAACAGCATTTGAAACAGCTAACATTTCTTCAAAAAGCGACTCTTCCTGCTTATGTCTTCCGCTAGTATCCACAATTATAATTTCGAATCCTTCTTTTTTAAACATATCCACGCCATCTTGAGCAATGATAACTGGATCCACTTCCGTATAGCTAGAAAACCAATTACAAATAAAGAAACAGGAAGTTTTACATTTAATACCTTCCGTAGAAAGGTATTCGGGCCTTTGTACAATTCTGTTTGACCTGATCATACGCGCCGGCACGAAACGTATCTGCACATACCAAGCAAGATTTCCAATTCTTTTTCTGATAATGATATGCCAATTTTGTACATGTGGTAGTTTTCCCCGAGCCTTGCAAGCCAACAAACATAATAATATTAGGTTTGCCTTTATGAGGTTGATAAGGCTTAACACCGGGATCGACCAGCTAAAAATTAACACTAACTATATCCAAGGTCTGATGTAATTTAACTACTTACTTTAACCAGCTCTTTAAACACAGCGCTTTGTATCATACGTCTCTTATTAAGACCACCGGCCATCTCATCAAAGTCAATAACCGCCCGAACATTTTCACGCAACGTTTTTACCAATTTTATATTTACATCTGCTTCCAATAGGGCTGCACAAATTTCCTTGAGCATTCCATTTAAAACCTGAAATTGTGCTTCAGTAACTTATCACATACTCCACATCTGGTCCCTTTTACCTCCTCATTTATAATTGTTGCCTTACTTAACGATTGCAGGGCAGTCGTGATTTTACGACCCAAATCTGCTAACACCATTTTTGTGCTTTAACTTTTTCGTGTATTTACAAATGTGTTGTCATAATAAACGAAGGGAGCACTTTCTACAACCTACAAATTACTGCGTGTTCTTCTCTTGCTCACTCGTTGACGTCCGGGACGTTCCTTTCGTTGGTGTGAATGGGGAATTTGTTTACGTTTAACTTCCTAGTGATTTTTGAGTTACATTTTTGTTACCAACTTTAAGATTTTATAGGGACTTTTATATCATACATGTGACCCAAAAAGTCCTTTCAAACTGCTATGCGCATGCGAAAGAAACGTCAAAACTCAAAGTTGCAAATTGTTGCTAAGTAAAATGTAGGTTAGGTAATTGTGAAAAATGCAATAAATTGTTTTTTTCTCAATTGTCACGACCATCTTGGATTTTAAAAAGTAAAAATTGGGTTAAAATTCTTTTCACATCAAGCAGGCCTGGATCCCAAAACACCAGAACCACTATACTACCGACCTACACAGGAAGAAATCTACAGCCGCTTTCACCTCTTCGTCACTTGAGAATTGCATTACCCCAAGTGTTGTTTCAGGTTGGGGACAAATAGTAGTCACTGGGGCCCAATCTAGGCCGGTGGTAAGTGATTTCCGACTCAAATTTGGCGCCGAGATAGGCTATGTGAGGGCGGGCGTTGTCCACGGTGCAAATACCGAACCCCCCTTGTCAGTCGGCCCTTCCTTTTGCTCTGTATAGCTCGGTATAGCCGTGTTAGTATCTTGCGTCGATTATTGTACTTTTTTTCAGATATAAACCGTTGTCCTTGTGCAATTTGAATTGCTGTACTTCCCGTGCAAATATTTCTAGTGGCATTTTCTCCTTTAACGAAATGCATAAAAGCGGTATGTTAAATCACACCAAACACTAACTCCATTAACCTATGTTTATCAAGACCTTTTGACTTCTTTTCATGGTACTATACGCGTGATATCCGATCATTTTTTTTAAACACCCTGTATACCTCTGGCAGTTATGTGTATCTTTAAACGGACACATCAAAGCATTAGAAAATGTAGGCAACTTAAACCTCATCTTTTAACAAATGCAGTGCAGAATTCTTTGAAAGTGCTAGGTATACCTAATAGGAGGTAAGGACTAACGGTTTATGAAATTTCCAAATTTTAAATGAAATTTGTCGATAAATGCTACAGCAGTTACCTAAAATGATGTAGTCCATAGGGGAATTGTATGTAGTTAGGTCAAGTACTTGACACCATCGACCATATGGTCAAATTAAAAATTAAATTTTATATATAACTGCAGAAACATCACATCAAACACTTAAAATACTAGGATATGGGTATATAATGATTTCAAATGAACTTCGTGGTTATTTCCAATAGTATTTAGGCCATCAGTTTCTTGTCTATCAGTTGAATATTTCAGGTTCTCGAGTCTAGTGGCACTGCGGACAATAGAAAACGCTTTTATTGAAGTGCGTTGAACTAAGCGCTCTTGACAAACTTTGCGAAATATTAGCAGCAGAACGTGGAAGTGTTTTTTTTAGGTAAGATCAAATACAAGTTTCACAAAGTGCAAACGAAACATTTACCTGGCCATTTCCTTTTTATGTAGTATCATTGTGTAAACACTAACTTCAGGAGATAATCTATCAGGTGTTAAATCATATTTCTGTAATCTTCTGCAAATAGACTCTTAAAATGATTCCTTCTGGAATAAGCCAGACTGTTATACTTAAACAAATCGTCATCTTCCCCTCCCCATCCATAAAAAAAATTAGACATTCCATTAATTTTTCTAAATTGTGAAGATTGTATACTAAGCACTCCACCGCACAATTCCAAGTATGGTAGATTATACCTAAAAATGATTTCAAGAAATTTCACACACCAACATGTATACCTACCTAAATGTGTCAATACTACTAGACATATGTCTCGGTTTGTTGGAACAAGCGTAAATATTTTGAAGATTTAGTGGTAGTAAGTCAACGTCATGTAATATTAAACACGAATAATTCATTTTCATTGCTACTAATGCACCCACATTCATCATTTTTGCACGATTAAATGGCAGTCTGTCACTTTGTTCCACGATGAATAAACGATAATGAACCTTCTGCTCTTGCAGAAAGTAATGCATATAGTTCACAAACATTTGCAATTGAGCTGTCCGGTTTCTATAAGGAACAATAATCGCTACACTAAACATTGGATTACAGTTATCGTTAGCATACTCTCCACCTTAAAATACACAATCCATGAATAGTTGCATAAAGAAAGGACATTACCAACCATGTGCTGGAGATATAAAATGTTTCGAGACGTAAATATTTTGCAGAACTGCTTCTCTTTTACTTTCAATTAACCGTTTGTAAAAATCTGCAGAACATTTGCTCACATTTTTGTTGATCTCAAATGAATTGAAAAAAAGTTCCTTATAAGTGTCCACAATTGCAATAAACGTGTAATATTTGGAATGCCTATCGGGATGAAAAATCAGAACTATCAGCATCAGCATACATGTCAGACAAATTGCTATTTTTTTCATGGCATGATCTGAAAATACTGATTTCTAAAATAAACCATAAAAGGCAATGGTTGTCTTTATACAATTACGTAAAACCATAGTCTGTAGGTATCTAAACTAACGTCTCGTAAAATTTTCCTGCTTATATCAGCACAGAACAATATTTTTTTTATGGTCATCACGTTAATTGTTTATGATTTAACAGCTGAAATACAAATATGGAACCATTATGGAACAGCCAATCACAGACAGACTATTAATGTGGTGGCGCACGACAGGAGTGTACGGTGAGTTGCCTATCTACCCGGGTTCTGCTGTAGAAAAAAAGGAGTGGATATTCGCACTACAGTTACCAGTTACGGATCTCCACCTAAAAAAAAGAGGTCCATGACTACGGTGTAGTGTCGCTGCATTCTCAGCAAGGTAACAAATTATATTCGCACTGCAAAAACTGCAACACTGCAAAAAAACACCTAAAGTACTAATGTTAAAATACATGTTATTTGCATTTAACGCCTTCAAATTAGTTCTTAACTTTTGTCATACCTCCTAATAACGCGACAGAATATTGGCTGCTAGTATTGTTTATTAAATTAATAAACAAAGCTACTGGTAGCAAGCTTTTCAACAGTCTGAAGTTATATGGAAGCAATGAACTGAACTTCTTACTACACAAACATCTGTACTGCAACGATATCATGGGAAATGACCAAAACAAGATCTAATTCACGGATTTTTCGAATTAGTCTTTTACTTATTAATAATAAAAGAAGTAAATCACAACTACACTTAATTTCCAACTAAACTGCAAACATCTCATGCATATGGCTGGCAGTTCAATGTTGCTCTCGTAGTAGTAATGGTTTATGGAAGAACTGGCAACGTTGACAACGCTGTATGTCATTGACGTGGAGGTGTTTTGTGGTTGGTTTTTGAATTGAGCACGCGCAGTATGACCTTACGTGGCATTAATGGTAGGTGTTGCATATTTGTGATGCCTTTTCTTCTTTAATTATTGATATACAAATAAATTATTACTTGTATATAGTTTCTAGTTTAAAGGATATTTTTTAGATTATATTCATCGCGTGTGACACTTACTGGAGTGCGATAAAAAGGTTTTAAACGCATGACAATACAAACAGATTTACTGATGATTACTCTTTTTTAGATTGTATATAAACAATGCATCCACAATTCCTTCCTCAACAACAGTTTAATCTCCCACAACCTCCACAAAGGATGCCACCATCTCCTACACCTCCGGGTGCTACAAATCTCTCACAAGGGCAGATGAAATCAAATATTCTTCCAAACAATTTTGGACCATCTCCATTAGAAAGTGGTCCACAAAATGTAACACACGCAGGTGGCTTTATGCCACAGTCTCAAGATATATTACCTCAAATGCCGCAAGTAAATCAAAGATCAACGTCATCTATTAATCAAAATGGTCCAGAGGTAAATCAGTACGGATTGCATTCAGCTATAAATGGTCCCACAAGTTTCAAAACAAACCAACCGTTGATGTCTGTACCCGGAAATTTGACAAATAATCGACAACCTCCGCTACCGGGCCAACTACCTGTTAGTAATTCATCATTGCCTGGTCAGACAGTTCATGGTAGTTCTTTGGTATCAAATCCTGTATCACCAATGCCTATCATGCCACCTATGGTCAATCAACAACCACCTATGGCTAGTCGCCCACCAATTTCATCTTCGCAAATGCAACCCCCAATACCAAATCAATTTCCAGTTATGGGGCAGAATCCTATGCCTCATTCAAAGCTACCACCTCAAGCACCTTTAACCCGACCAACTCTGCCTGGACATCCCCCAATGCCTAATCAACCTTATATGCCACAAGGTCCTCCGATACCGGGTCAACAACCCCCAATTTACAATCAATTGACTAATCAAATGCAAGATCTCCACGTGGGACAAAGACAGTATCCCGGTGGTCCTATGAAGTCTGCGGTTCTGAATGGTGAAGTTGGACCGCATATGCCGCCACCTTTAAATCATCCACCTTATGTAAATGGTCAAGGTAAATCTCCAGGTTATCCTTCCGTACCAGGTCAACCACCAATGATGGGCGGTTATCCTCAGCCCTCGTACCAACAGCCGGCACAACCTCAACCGAGATTAGATCCAGATCAGATGCCTAGTCCCATACAAGTTACTCAAGATGATCAGATAACACGTTCTGGAATATTTTGTACCAATCAAAAAGGTTTAGTTCCGCCTTTGGTTACAACAAAATTTATTGTACAAGATCAAGGAAATGCCAGTCCTCGCTTTATACGTTCGACAATGTATAATGTTCCCGTTACACAGGTATGCCATAGGTTTGCTATGTAAATTGCCACATGTGTTCTTTCAGGATCTTATGAAACAAACATCGGTACCATTCGGCCTTGTGATTAGTCCAATGGCACGCACATTAGATCAAGAGTATCCTCCGCCTATTGTAAATTTTGGGGAATTGGGGCCAGTACGTTGCATTAGATGTAAAGCTTATATGTGTCCCTTTATGCAATTTATTGATTCGGGCCGCCGTTTCCAATGTTTATTCTGCAAAGCCGCAACCGATGGTAATGCGACATTTATTATGCATTAATGATTCATATTCGTATTATAGTGCCGGCGGAGTACTTTCAGCATCTTGACCACACAGGCCAACGTATGGATCGTTACGAAAGGCCCGAATTGGTTTTGGGAACTTACGAGTTTGTTGCTACTAAAGATTACTGTCGAAATAATAATTTTCCAAAACCGCCTGCTATTGTGTTTTTAATTGACGTTTCTTACAATAACGTTAAGAGCGGTTTGGTTAACTTATTGTGTTCACAAATGAAAGAGATCATTAGGAACTTACCTGTGGATCAGGGAATGGAGAAGAGTAACATGAAAGTTGGATTCATCACGTACAACAGCACAGTGCATTTCTACAACATAAAGGTAAGGTAAAGATTTAGGTTAAAGTGTCTTGTGTTACTCATTTAATAATATTTATTTATATTCAATCGGTTACAGAGAAACCCCTGCTTCCCTTGTAGGTTGAACAATCTCATAACTAATGTTTATAGGCACTTACATGCGTAATTACGTTATTACCCCTTATGTTCTATCGATACTCAGAGCTGTACTTGTGGAAGATGAACTATGCGTATCTGAGAGTCATTGCATGAAACCGATTTCGTCAGATTATATACAGTAAAGTGCCTCGGAGTAAATTTTAAGGTTGAAATTACTTTGGACCAAAAAAACCTACTGTTAAAGTATTCCACTTTCGTCTCGACAAAGGATGAAGAAATATGATTTTCCTCTCTTGAAGGTCTTATTCTGTGCTCTCTAGTGAGGAAAGTAAAAAACAATTGCTGCGTTAATCTCAATAATGACATTTAAAATTGAAACATACCCCGTATCTAGATTGCTATGTGTCAAACTTCATTATTGAATACGATCATTTTGCAATTTTGATTGTAGTTTCAGAAAAAATTATGTGTAAAACTTGAGAAGAAAGTATTTTTCAACTCTACTTTCTTCTTTAGTTGAACAAATAACTATTTCTTCACCCTTTGTAGAGACGAAAGTAAGTGGTTGTGTCTAAAGTAGTTTCAGAAAAAATTAATTATACAACCAGTAGTAAGTCCGTTTTGGATTATTCATTTATACCATTAGATTAGATACTATGTCTTTAAGGCAACTTCTATTTTGACGCAGTGACGTTAAATTGTCTCTCTCATAAATTTCAAAATAAATTTCTTGTTCTTATATTAATTACCATTTTATCAGCTATTGGCGAAATTACAAAAAAACTAGTAAAAAAAACTATTTAACTCTGCAAATTTTGTGTGACACATCTAGTGCACCAAAGACACAAGTCGCATTTGCAACTTGTTAATAAATAGCCATTTTTATTACAGAGCAATTTGGCGGCGCCCCAAATGATGGTCGTGGGCGATGTTCAAGACATGTTCATGCCTCTCTTGGAAGGTTTCTTATGTACCCCCGAAGAATCGGAAACCGTTATTGAAGCTCTTATGCAGCAGATTCCGCAAATGTTCAATGACACGCGTGAAACCGAAACTGTTCTGCTTCCCGCGATACTCGCCGGTCTTGAAGCGCTAAAGGTAAGAAAACGAAATTTAAAAGTAAAACTAATACGCAGTTGCGCAGGCGTCGGAATGCTCCGGAAAACTTTTGGTCTTTCACTCTACGTTACCGATCGCGGAAGCTCCCGGTAAGTTGAAAAATAGAGACGATCGCAAATTACTAGGAACCGAAAAGGAAAAAACTGTGCTTCAACCGCAAACCCAGGCTTACGTGCAATTAGGTCAGGAGTGCGTAGCGGCGGGTTGTTCCGTCGATTTATTCCTGTTTAACAATGCCTACATCGATATTGCCACTATTGGGCAAGTGTCGCGTTTGACGGGCGGTGAAGTATTTAAATACACATACTTCCAAGCGGATTTAGATGGAGACCGTCTTATAAGTGATATTATAACGAATATAAGTAAACCGATCGCTTTCGATGCCATAATGCGCGTACGGACCTCAACTGGAATTCGCCCTACAGACTTTTACGGCCATTTGTACATGTCGAACACGACCGACATGGAACTCGCTTCTATAGATTGCGATAAGGCGATTGCGTTAGAAATTAAACACGACGATAAGCTTACGGAAGAGGACGGAGTATATATTCAAGTAGCATTGTTGTACACATCTTGTTCGGGACAAAGAAGATTGCGTATAATCAACTTATCGCTCAAAACGTGTGTACAAATGGCAGATTTGTATCGCAGCTGTGACCTTGACACACTAATAAACTTCTTTTCCAAACAATCCGTTTACAAACTGATGGAACATAATCCGAAAGCTGTTAAGGATAATCTCATTAATCGGGCCGCCCAAATTTTGGCCAACTACAGGAAGAATTGTGCCAGTCCAAGCAGTGCCGGGCAATTAATTTTGCCTGAATGTATGAAATTGCTTCCTCTGTACGTCAATTGTTTAATTAAAAGCGACGCTATTTCGGGTGGATCTGACATGACCGTGGATGACAGATCGTTTGTAATGCAAGCTGTAACGACGATGAATATTCCTAACTCTGTGTTTTATTTCTATCCTCGTCTTGTACCGCTACACGAGTTACATCCTTCCGATGGTCCACAAGAAATTCCAGCGCGTATTAGATGTACAATGGAAAAAATGATCGATCAAGGAGTATATTTATTGGGTAATATCTTATAATTACAAACAAACAAAAAATGATTATTAATTTATGTAGAAAATGGCATTCACATGATGATGTGGATAGGTCTCGGTGTTAATTCCGATTTTTGTCAGCAAGTATTTGGTGTTCCATCCTGTGTTCAAATTGATGTGGACAAAGTCAGTCTCCCAATTTTGGATAATCCATTATCACGTGCAGTGCATTCACTTTTACTACAAATTAGAGAGGAAAGAAGCCGACACATGAGGGTATGTTTCTTTAATTAAACACCAAAATATGCACAAACTTTTTTTTAGTTAACTTTAGTACGTCAACGAGAAAAGTTGGAACCAATTTTCAAACATTTCTTAGTGGAAGACAAAGGATTGGACAACTCTTCTAGCTATGTTGATTTCCTTTGTCATATGCACAAAGAAATTAGATCAATACTTAGTTAGCAAAGTAGTGTATAATAATTAAAACTGTTGTGGTAATAATGTATAATATTAATCACACTAAATTCGATACATAATTTTATTAAAGGTATAACTGTTAAATTTTTACAAATGTATATTTCATTTAGGTACAGTTTTTTTATTATTTAAGGATGCTTATAAACTAATCAATTATATTTTAAGAAATTATCATTTGTATGTTTTTTTTTAAATTTTTATGGATACCTTGTCAAACCTACACAATTTATAAATTACTGAAATAAATTTAATTATTCGGATTTATTTGGGACAATTTGAGTATTAATCAAGTTGGGGCCGGTGTCCGATAATAATCTGGAAACATTACCTACGTTTGGAAGTACCTACTTCAACAGGAACAGGAACTTCCAGGTTGAATTTCCACTGCTCTCCATAAACGGTAAACGTTGCTATAATCTGGCTCTGCAATAGGAAGTAAAATGTACAAGGCGCTTCAGACAAACACCTTTATTTCTGTAATTTAATTGTAGAGATGTTAAGAAAAATAACAATACAAATACCTACAAACAAAAATAAGTATAGAGTTAGAAATCCTCAAGATTAGATTTAATGTCACATGAAAGTGGTTTCACTTAAACATTGTGCACACAAAAAGGAAATTAGGTACTATATAACCCTCGAAATCTGTAAATAACAAGTCATTGCACATCATAATAACCTAACTACCACCAATCACGCAAATAAGTATTTATCTTAACATAGGTACATATGGCACCAAACATCAAGTGCCAACAATAACACTGTCTAAACTATTGATTGCCCACAAATTTTAAAACTTAAGTCTATCTTAACGTAGGTATATAAATACATAATGAATTTTTATACCAAAGCAATATGAGTGAAATGATTAAAGTCCAAACGAGAGTATTATAAGCGATAGATTAATATATTGTGCATTAGAACACATAATATCTTTGTGCATAGAAATTCAAAATGATTGCAAGGTTTAGGCGTTTTTGATATGAGCCCTCTCTGTGGAGTTGAAGTTCCTTAAAAGGGCAATGATTTGTTAGTTTTCGTCAAGCTAGCATTTATAAACGCATTACAATACGTTTTGCTGTGGTGAAACACGTTTTTTCTCTAAAAAATGACACATTTTGCTTGTTAAACTTTCTGATGATTATGGCATATGTGTCAATGCCAAAATGTATGTCCAATTACCGCAGAACATAATTGAAAAAATGTCAGTTTCTTTTACAAAAAAAGACACTGTTTGGAATGCGGCGATGTTTCGTTGTATCTGTTTGTTAATATGTCCGAATGCAGTGACATTGACCTTCATGAGACTTAACTCCTCAGTGAGGATTCAAAAATGAAAAAAGTTGTTTAAAAATCAATATCTCCGACATTTAATCATTTCGAAACGCCGTGAATAATAATTAAAAAATAATATAGATTGCTACCCTGTAATTATACGGTATGCCAAATCATTTACTTCGTCTAAAACAGTTCCGATTTAGTATAAAATTTGGTTTAAATCTGACTAGAAGTAAAAGTACTGCAATTGTCAACTTCATGGATAGTGTAATTCTGTACTTTCTTTACAAAGTGAGATATTAATAATTTCCAAAATGTGTCTCGGTCATTACATATTTGCACGAAATGAGCAAGTGATCCCTATGACCAAAGACTGTCGGTTTGTAACCCAACAAGTTTTCCGTTTTATTGCATACATCAATGTTCGATTCAGAAAGCAATAGTAAATATTCAAATGCCGTAGACGATCTCTTCTTGTAAAGATAGTGTCTACTGAATCTTAAAAGAAAATTTAGTTAATTTAATCTCATTACCAATAAAGCTGACAAGGTAAACATACATTTAGGCCAAATCTTACGATTTATAAAGTCGATTCATAGAATGACTTAATAATTAAACATGCCATCATAACGTAGTAGCTAGAATTTTACTAAAATGAGGAGCTATTCTAACATGAAGTGGATAATTTACGTTAAATTCGATATCGCAGCAAATACACCCATAAGCCATTTGTGTCGATACTTTTTGACAAAACCTTACAACACATTCGTTCAGAAATCGTTGATTTTTTGTTTAAAAAAGGAGAATGATTTATTTCAACAACTTCTACTCTATAAAATAGTGATTGTTAAATATATTCGTTTTTAGTAAAATTTTATACAAAAAATATCGACTAAGGTAATAACTTTTTGATAAAAATGTGAAAATTATATGTAGAGATTATACATTATGATTTAAATGTTTATATATGTAAATGTGTATAGTATATAATCGAATAAGAGAGCTATAAATGTATTTTAAGTTATGAACAGTCACATATTAAGTATTCAAAATTTTTTTAATTGTCCAACATTTCTACATAACAGCTAAAGTAGGAATTAGCACAAAATTGTAATATAATAAATTGGCAAACCACTGGAGAAACTTTGCGACATACAATATTGTACCTGCAACAGGAAATTCAAACGAAACTATTATACAAAGAGAACATAGATAAAATGAACCTAAATAACATCACAGCAAAATAACCTTTAAACACAAGGTAAGTAATTGAAACATAACGCCTCATTTATACATTGACTAGATCATCTTTAATTGTATAATAACTAATTTTTGATATCGACTTTCTCCAACAGTGAATAAATCTAATATATGGTTTTCACATAAACACAACTATATTGCAATATTGTGATAATAATTAAAACTATGCGCTGGCATTTGTGACATTACCTTTTATTGCATATACTATAGAACTCATAATTTAAAAAGGGTTCTAAGTACTCTACTTGCGCTTAGAGTAATAAGGCAGTAGTGTATGTTCGGTAGGTAACACCAAAAATAATATATAAATATATTCATTTAACCACTTTCCAAGTTTTGACATAACATACTTTACATACTCACAAGCCCTTATAAAAGTTTCCTTATTAAGAATGACAAATAGATAAACAATACTGTTAAGCTCTTAGTCTTCTCTAGTTTAATTTGGCTATAAATTCTAAATAACAATCTTACATTTTACTTTGTATTGGTGTACTGCTAGCGTTGCAGCAATATTTCTTAATAGTAAATGTTACGTAAAGATGTACTCTGAATTAGTTGTTGCTAATGTAAAAATAAAAACAAAAATTCGATAACATTTCACACAATATAAATATGTCATTTATCAAAATCAACTTGGCGAGATTTCAAGGAACAATAGTATTTTATTTCGTGAAACGGTTCCATAATAATCTCCAATTAAATCATCTAGTGAATAATAGTACATCAACAATAATAAACATCCAATACTGATAATAAAACAGGCCATAAATAGAAACATAAACAAAAAGTACAAAAATAAAAAATGCCAGATTTACACATATTCACACTTAAGGAATACAGTTCAGATGCAATATAAAAGTTACATCAATGCTACAATTCTTAATTTGAAAAGCGTTACTTATGTGCACTAAAACCAAATGCCGCTCCACCGGTGCCTCCGCTGCGATGAAAGTGTACGTTTTGCCACTTATTATCTTTCTTATGCCACACACGACTCTCCTCAGACTGATGTGTGTGAGCTTGCCCATGTCTGCAAAAGTGAATAATAGAAATAACCATTACATTCGGTAGTTTAAATGGCACTTACTTGTCCATGTATTGTGTTAATCGTACATACGCTATACAAGCGGCATCATCTCCTAGTAGATGAACATGTGGATTTAATATCGTAGTATTCACAGCTTTACAATTTTTTCCAAGCACTATAAGAAGTAAAAATCAACAACACAACAACATTTAGGTATATTGTAATAACCACGTACCATTATCAAAATAGAACTTATGAAAGTCCATCCCTTCAACTAAATTCCCCATTGCTTCTGGTTCAAACGCCGTCAAATGAGGATCACATATTTTTCTATAAGTAATAAAAAATACAACTAAGTATCTGCCGAATGGTATTATTCATTATTAATCAATGAACAAAAGAAACAATTGATTATATGATGGGTAAATGATACATAGGAAGGTTGGGGTATAAGTCATGACACCTATTATTATTTGTGGCATCATTACTTAAATGTGACGGAAAAAGTAGTTGCCATACTTTTAGTCCTCAAACCTTCATATTTTCTATGGATTTAGTGATCCAAAGCTGAGTAACATGAATAAAATGAAAATATACTCAAGTCCGAGGAATTTAGGTTTTAAATTACAAATAAAATAGCGCGTTCAACTTTCCAGGTGCAGTACAAGCTCTTATATGGACTAAATAATGCCTCTCTCACTATCATCATACCCATACGTGATTAAAAGGTGTCTGTTACACAGGGTCGACAGCATTATAAGAGGTACAGGCGCCGAACTGCAAGCTGGATAGTTTTAACCCATCTTAAATGATTTGAAGAACAATCCTAATGACCCCAGATCACCTCTAAATGCTTTCACAATTATTATGCGAGGTATTGAAGAATAACAAAGCAGACAACTTACGTGTATGCTTCAAAATCTCCTGTATTAATAGCCTCTATAAGTTGCTCAGTCATTTTAATGATCTCTTGCCTACGTGCTGCGAAAAAAAAGACATGTTAATAGCTTAATAAATAACGTAAACGAAAGAATCTATTAAAAATATACATAATACACCTTAAACTACATAAAAGCTTCAAATATTACCACTGGTTTATATTAAAGCAGGTGCACAGTATTCAGGGTGTCATGCAAAATTACATATATGAAAGTTACATTAAGATTCCGAAAGGTACATAAATAATTTAAGGAGATTATTTGAGACTGAACATAAAACACTTTCTCCTTGTTGCCAGTCTAATTAAATAAATCTATTAAAAACAATCGCCAATGTAGCTAATAGTACAGTCACTGTAGCTAATAGCAGCACATCATTTTGGATATGATCAAGATACCTAAAGCAATGATTTTCGAATAAAACAAAGTGTACCATTAATACTATAAGACTGATAACTGTTGTATTATGTAAAATATAAAATTTGAAACTACGTCAAGTATATTTCGGTAGGGGAAAATTAATTACAAATAAATGTAGCGAAAAGGTATTACTACAATCAGGTTACATTTGTATTATGACAGTCAATTCAATTGATTTCGTAGGTTCATAACAGTTTGCAAATTCATTCTCTCTCATATCGTAAACACTTGGCACCTGCCGACCAACCAAGGATACTCTACGGAGTATTTGTCAAATTATACAAATCTCTAAACCTCTCGCCAGGAAAGATTGCCGGTCACAGAACACTTGATCCCGATCTGCAATCTATGTTTTTCTAAAGATGTGAGAGACTTCCGGGATAGTATCGTGTCAATGTTGAACAAAAAGACTTTTCGTTCAACATTGGCATGTATTCCGGAAGTCGCGCGCATCTTAAGAAAAACTTACATTGTAGATTGACACAAGGTGTGCTGTGACCGGCAATCTTTCCTGGCGGGAGTTATACATGTGTTAACATAAACAATTTTATGCAATGTACACACAACACACACACACACATCACACAAATAATTAGTCACTAATTTACAGGACTCACACACACAAAAACACACATAAAGGATATGATTCATAGCATACCTGATGTTTGTGAGTTTGTGGATAGCTGTGAGAGGGGCTTTTCAGGACACACAATCCTTATTTCTATAAATAATAAATTTTAACCTATATGTTAGTAGGTTGCTTTTAAAATGTTGTTAATGTATCTTTTGCATTGTTCCAGTTAAGACTTGTACTAATTGTTGTCATTTTGTTTATTTATAAATTGCATCATTTCCGTTCTTTTCCATAAAAGTCATTTGGAGTAATAGTCTCGTATCAATGAAAAGTTGTAGGTACCTAACACAGCATACACACCTCATGCTAAATACAATAACAAAAATTTATGGTACAGCGTCTCAACATATTGAATATAATAGAATTACTATAAATACTGTGCACAAAGCTTACCCTAAGCTACCAAAAGTCTTACCGCCCACCATCACCATGTGGTCCATATGGTTAGTTTCCAAGATCAACGATTCATCATCTACTATTATAAAGATTCCTTTACAAGTTTTAACTATACGTACATTCAAAAACTTTTTAACAAGCTGATAACGAAAATATAAAAAAAATACAAAAATTTCTACACATTCAGTGCTTAAGCAAATTGATATGCACAGATTCTAGGCACTTCTTAAACAATATCCAAGGTTTTATGCGGAATATCCCATTTCAGTTAGACTGATGTAAGTATACAACATTTTAATACTAAATGGTTCACGTTTAAATCAACAATAAATTAGAAAATGTTTGTAGCGTGTAATTTGATTGTCATTTGGTTTTTTAAAGGGAGTCATTACTAACAAAGTCTTGTGCATTGTTTTAGTCCACCGATTTAATTCTAACTGTGTAATCGCTGAAATCCCTTGTACAGTGGGGTACTATAATATTGTGGACAAATTTATTCTGTGCAATATTGCTTAAAGCACTAGCAGTATGCCTTCCTCCTCGCTAGGAGGCAAGATTTAGATGACGTTAAGTATGAGGAAAGTAAATTAGTAAGCATAAAATAATGATTTAAATTAGTAAAATGTGTCAAAACGAAAAAAAAACAAACCTGTATTGTCATGCTGAAGCCTTTTGTATTCAATTGTGGAATCCACCCAAATATCGATGTCATCTTGATCGAGTAAGTTACCATTTAGACATTGGTTTTTAAGCATGCATGCCATTTAATAATGCAAGTAAACAAAAAATTAGTAGAAGAACAGTAAAAAAAACACAAGAAGTATATAAAACTAGGTGGCTTAATGAGAAGAGTGCAGAAATATCAGTAAGTAATCATTAAAATGAAAATACGATATACACATTTTATGTAATGCACATCATGGGCAGCAAGCTTGTAATAATGCATAAATTACTAAATAGTTACAAAGTGCCTATAGGTATTATAACAAACTCGCGAATACCAATGCACTCATGTGCCCATTGACGATACCTATAGTGTAGCAATAGAAAATTGGAAACCTGAATATTCACGTTTTCATCTAAATTATACACAATGTGGATGATACGTCCACTGTTACAAAAAAATACTCTTAGGTTCTTAGTTCGTAATGAAATCACGCCTACTGTCGATTTTTCCCCCTATAACACTAAATAAATTGTCAAGCGTGGTAATTAGTATTCTATTTTTTTTCGTTACGCTGCTATTTCACATACTAAAAGCCCTGATTCTGTCCTAAGTCTGTCATCTTGGAAAAATGAGGATCGTTACTGCTCCGCACCTCGTTTATTGATTATGTTTATTGAAAATGCGTACCCTTTCGTACCAAAACATAATATTTATATAAAGATAGAAACCAACCTGGCTTACACCGACCGGTTTAAACTCAGATCATGTAAAATTTTAAAAGTCGAACAGACTTAACATTTTTGCAGTATGATCTTTGCTTGCTCTGAGAATAGGATTTCCTGAATTAGTAGAAATTCTATAAATTAAATTTGGTGAGCAAATATTGATTAACTGGATTCCATTTCCGTAAACGCCTATTACACTATTAGCATTTTATTGAATCTCCTGTCATTGCACCACCTTTTGTGTACTTTAGTGCAATCACTATTCTCACAACAAAATATGAAAACTTGGGAGTATTATAGGTGAATTATTAAAGTGAAAACTTCAAGCAAATTTAATTTGTTAATTTCCACACAAATTCCCTAACCTTGAACATTGTGCACTAAAGCTTGACCGAAATCAAGTACACTGGGCTTAAGATGAGTTGTAGAAATTGAACTAGAAGGTTGATTTGATGTTGCCACTCTTGGAGATTGTGGAGGAGTGCACGGCCCTAAAGTTGCACAGTAACATAAAATATGCAGTAAGTACACGTAAGGCATTTTTTGCGTGGTATCATAAGTTTCTAGGGTGAAATTCAATGTACGATATCTTTTTGAATAGTTTTGACAGACAATAAGAATCTAATGGCGGCTTGACGACACCGCCTTTTCGTTAGTTTATAATGTCCGGAGCAGCCGGGTAACAAACATGCTTGCCCGGTTCATACAGGAATGTTTTCTTGGTTATCGGTGATGTTTGTGCTGGTCTGCTTAGTTAGACATACGTTGCGCAAAATGTTATCTGATAAATGATTGAGTTCACAGTCTATTGCAATTCTGTAGTTATGTTTCGAACTAATTACCACTTACTTTGTTGCATTGGAGTTACACAAACTTTCGGTATTACGCTGTTTGTTAAAACTGCATCTAATTACATAGTAGAGAGATTATAAATACCACGCAAAAAATACCTACAATACTAATTAGATATTGCTTACAAACTAAAAAGCAAACAGAATTTCAATCAATAATTTTCTTCAAAAGAAAGGGACAAATTACATCACATGAACTAAATTATTTTTTGTGTACGCGATAATACATACTGTCTGTGCGTTTTGATGTTCCTAAAATAGCTGCTATGGCAGCCATTATGTTATTAAAACACCCAATTTTTGGGTTGAAAACACAACTCAGAAACGAAATGTTATAAAATGTTATACTTAAAAATCATGTTGAAGTTAAGAACAAAGCGCGTTTGTCATTTTGCCAGACCTAAACGAATCTTAAAATAGATTCAAATAAACGGTGCACTGCTTAATGATGAAACCACTGAAATAATTGTATATGATTAAAAACAGAATTATTTGTAATATTCAATTACTACATCCACTTTTTATTAAGCACAAAATTAAACATAAATATGCAAAAATAGCTCAAGCGAAGCGGCTACATGTTCTTACTGTAATAGAAATAATTATATAAGGGCTACGATAGATTGAAAAGCACCGCGTGTCACAAATGTCTCAATTTGTGTTGAGCACAACAATTAGTACACCAAAATGAAATGTATATTAAGCATCGACGTATTAAGATCATTCCAAGACGTGTATTATTGTACAGTGTATTTTTAGGAACAAACAAATTTTTAATTGAATTGTTTTGGCACTGCATCATTATAACCAATTATAGCATAAACAAAAAAGTAGAATATAAAAGTGAATAGTTGCTTATTGTTAGTTCTTTCAGATTATATATGCTATAGTGGACGATGACCCATACACTGTTTACCATTTATCTGAATCAATTTTCGGGTTGAAAATGAAAGAATATGCAGAAAAGGCAATTTAAGTAAAAATCATTTTTTTGTTACTTTGGGCTATCAAGGAATACAAGTAGACATCCCATTTATAAGAACTATAAAAGGGACAGCGTTTTTCATTGTTAAAACTCACACTGCACTAGTGCAATTTTTATGTACCACATAGGTCATTTTGAAGATGGAACTTAAAAACTGTAGCATACAAATAAAACACTATTTTGGTTCTGTCATCATTTAATTTTATGACATTACGAAATTTAGAAATATAGTTCTCTATCAAAGGCAAAGTGTGTCATTCCATTGATCTGCCTCGGATAAAACCCCTACAAAAAGGGCAGAAGCTTTAACTAGGTATATCTTAAAAAGCGATGCAGTTTAATTGTAACCATCATATGAAGTGAAGTTCAAGATTAATTTAAAACCGCTACCTTAAAACTATTTTAAATTCTGTGGCGAAAACATATAACGTAACAAAAGAGGTTACTAAATAATTAAAAAATAAAGGAAACGGTCTTACTGCAAGTTATGATAAATCCCCAAAATACAATCTAATATAGAACTAACAAAACTATTCTTTAACTATATGTATAGCTTTAGCTATTATTGCTATTAATAATGCAGTGAATAATCATGGGAAATAATTTACCTTCGGCATCTTTCGCAATTACAGTAGAGCTGCGGTCCACTACCCCCTTCTTATCCTCTGAATGTAGCCCGAAACACAAACACATTATCTTTCTATTAGATGGTTATACAACAGTCTTCGAAACATCAATTAATTTCTGTACTGATGAATTATACATAAAACTAGTATGATTTGCTATGAAAAAACTTATAGAGCGTTGCTTAAGTGATAAAATGAAATGAAGCGTTGTTCTAATACCTATATAAAGTGTGATAAGTGCATGATGATTGCAAAACTCTTTATGGTATTGCAGGATACATGCAAAGCATACAGACCACAATCTTTCAAACATTGCACAGCTTTTCAATAAAGCCATCAACATTGAAAGTATTTTATTCTGACAAATAAACCAGTGGTATGTTGGATGAATGAAGTTGAATGACTTTGTGTAGATGACAACACGAAAATAAAATTTGTTTATTGTAATGACACTTTTGATACATGATACATGTACTTATCACAAACTTATGGTCTTACCTTTTACGTCATCATCCTCTAGGGTTGTTGAGCTATCTGTTGATTCCTTGACTTGTGATCCGTCACCTTTCTTCACGACGATACTTCGACCTACAAAACCAATAAGTCAGACTAATACTTTTCCTAAAGGTTTCTTTCGATATTAAAAAAGTAATTATGGAGTTTTAAGCTCTGTTACTAATGAGGAATATATTTAAACTGACTTGCCTTTAGTTATATTACTGTTAAGTAAATTAAAGAATGTGCAGGAAAATTTTAAATGCGAGAAATTTAAAAAAATATGTTATAGGAACAACAAATCATATCAGGCTCAACATTTCACTAAATGATTTATACGAATTGAAAAATTGAGACACAATATTGAACAAATAACGTTTAATATGTTAGGCAGTGTGAGTGAAGTTAATGTGCACATACAAATAAATAAATAAAATGCAAATGTGCAAACCAAATGTCAAAAAATGCGCCATGCAGTGGGCATCTAAAACTGTTTAATAAATACGTACAAACTCACTTTGTATATATTTCATCTCAGGCTATTTAATACGCAATAGCAATGTATGTACAAAGTTTAATAACACAAGCAAGGTGAGATTGTAATACCAAAATGATAACAAAAAGCAACATTAAGTATTTAATTAGTGAAGGGTAGGTAAAAATGCAGGGGTAACAGTGTTCTTACCACCACCACATTCTAGTAGCATCAAGGTGAAGATAGAAAATGAGGTAGGGTGACGTGATAAAGTCCGCCACAACCAACAAAACAAAGTTACAAACTATCTAATGCTCTATACTATTTCTAGTGTGCACAACTATGTGTAAATTTTGTTCCTAATTGTGCCAAAACAATATTGCGTTTATGGATTTACTATATAACAAGAGAGTGCATATTATGTTGTGTGCGTATGTGTGTATTATTATTGAAATGTATTGCATGTTTAACGGCGTATTGTGCACAAGTTGTAGCAAGCGTTCAATAATTTTTCGAGTCAGATCGCATCTTAATTACTTTTTTACATAATAATAAACAATTTTTCGTACTAGAAAAAGAAAACCGTAGATAACTATACTACCATAACTATTATTGAACGCCTGGTTATCTTTTATGCGTATATGTGTACATACAAATATACTCTAAGTTTCTTTTTAAAATGATCAATTCAAAAGGTGTTACTTTTTCTTAGGAAAGAAAATTGATTGACCAATGGATTTCACAGTCTATTTAGTTAACTTCTTATTTACGTTTATTTGCTGCATGGTTAATACTTTTTTTTAATTGTTCATAAGACACCCCGCTGTGAAATATTCTAATGTATAAATCATAGATTTGTTTCCTCAATAACTTTGACTATATATACACTTTACAATTTTAAATTAGGTGTCAGCTTTCAGCAGTTGCTCTGAACTTTTTAAAAAAAAAACTTTATCAACAATTCCCCTTTCCCCTCAAGCAGACACTAATTTTTGAAAGTCAAAAATGTTGAGAAAAATGAGATCCAAGTCCAAGTCATCATTCTAGAAGAATTTCTTTAAGAGTCAAGTTACAGTTTAAAAGTGATACCCCAAAGTGAGAAAGGAAAACCTAATATAACCTATAAATGTGTGTACATTCCATATTGTATGAAAATTCCAAGGTTTTTTTTTATATTAAAGAACAAATAACACCTTTTATATATTTTTGTTGGAGTCCTTATTAAATAAATGTACCTATGTCCAATCTTTCAGTCTTCCAAATAGTTTATTTACTATAATAATTAAATATGGAGGACGAAAGATTGGCTAATAATTTAACCGAACTCTTCTAACAGCAAGAACACTACAAGCAAGGTTTTTAAAGTAGAGCTGCTACCTTAGCTATTAATTGTATTTAAAATCACTTGGTATGATGCACAAATATTTTTGAAAAGGGTTTTTTTATTACAACAATATACAGGGTGAATATTTTAAAACCAAACATAGAGAATTAACATGGGAAAAAGGTTTGTTGTAGATCGTTGCTGCCTATGTTCACTTGGAGGGTTTATAATGACACCAATCAAAAGAAGATTTTTGCCATCTAATGATATACGAATTAGTTCATTTTCAAGTGTATTTCTCATTATTTTATGAAACATGTCATGTTTAGCCATGGAAATTTCCTAAAGAATCGGAATAGGTTTTAATATTGCGATTTCGACTTGAATAACGTTTAAATCGGCTTTTTGTCTTATCAGTCATGGCTAAACATGATTTTGGTAATTGGATTTATTGCCGAATTTTTGATAAAATAGTGAGAGTGCCGGCCCGTGTGGCGCAGTTCAGTTAAAGCTGAACTGTGGTGCTAAGGGTCCCTGGTTCGAATCCGGGTTCGGGCATGGATATTTGTAAATGTATAGTGGGTTGGGTTGGTAGAGTAGCCTTGGCTGAAACCCTGCCCACTCAAAAATAAAGGCAAAATAAAATAAAAACTGAAAACTAATTCCTATATCATTAGATGGCAAAAAAATCTTTTTTCAATTGGTATAAATTATAAATCCTCCAAATTAACATGGGGAGTAACAATGTTAATTGCTTATGTTCGGTTTTGGAATATTGACCAGGTATGTAAAATGAATAAGAAATGTACACTACATCACTAAAGAAAGACAATAATTTACTACACCAGAATTAAAATAGGTATGTTACCAGTGAACAGTAGGTACACCTACTACAATTTGAATCGCCTCAACCACGTATACTTGGGTATGGCTCATTTTTAAAATCGAGTGGTTTAATACTTAGGCGGTTATAATGCGCACCGGTAGGTGTCTACACTGTAATCTGTCAAATTGTGAACGTAGACGCGATACCCTCATGGGAAAGGTCAAATAACAGACGAAAAACTAATGCTAATCTAAGATGTACGTCTTAGAACAGCACTCAAAAAATCCAATAGAGAAATGTAAAAATTAAAAGTCTCGTGTAAATCAAGACACCTTATAAAAAGCATGGTGCCTATTTTCCCACGTTTTTACAGTTCAAACGAATTTATAGGCAGGTAGAAGAATCTACTTTACAAACCTTGATGTCATGGACATTTCAATTATAGCATACCGTTTTAGGTAGTAACTCAGAATGTTACAATTAAATGTTGGTCACGTGTATGCATGCACCACTTAAAAGATTCTAGTAAGTATATATATTTGGTTTACAAACAGAACTCAATTTCATTTATGCAGTGTTGGTGTTACATTATTATAAGTAAAATGCATTTCTTGCAATCAAAATTGATAATCAAGATGCATTTATATGTAATTTTATACACTTAGAGCAGAGATACCCACTGTCTAAGTAATTTATTTGCCAAATTCAGCAAATAGATTTATTTAGCATAGGTATATCTAACCTCTCAGTGAAATTTATTTATTTACTTGAATAGTATATTAAAGAACACAAATATTATAGAGAACTGTGTCTCGAAGATCTTTTCAAATATAAATTTATATATATTTTGTTTGCTTAAACAGAACAAAAGAAACGTTTCCAAATTAAAAGGCATCCATGTCAAAATTCGTCTATGAAAGAAATAATTCTGTTTTCAGATAATGATGATTTTGTTTAAAAAAAAACAACAAACAATTTTGGCCTAAATATTGGTAACTTTTCTTTTTAATTCTGTACTCTATTAAAAAATTTTTCAATCACTTTAAATTGTAGTATTAATGGCGTACAAACTACTGAAATGTGATATTTAATAGCATTTTAGCTACCAATATTGATCCTCTAAGCACACATACGTTACTTTAACTATACATTTTTTAGCAAAGCTAAATACTTACTTGAAAAGTTTCTAGTTGCCAACATTGTTGTGAGAATTGCCCCCTAAAAAATATTAATGTACCTAAATATTATCGAATTGGTTTGCCTTTGCATGTATTATGTAACGTTTGAAACACAAATAGGCAGCACAGTCAGCAAAGAATTAATGCAGGTGACAGTTTAACAACACTTGTGAGTACTTCAATATTCTTATATAACTATAAATTTGACAATGTAATTATTTCAAGTTCCCTGTGTTGATATTATTTAATAATAGTAACCTGCAAATAAAGTTGCCACGCCACAAACTTAAATTATGCTAGTAAAGATGTGCATTTCTTGTCAACTAAGGAACCTTTGGAGTATTATTGGTCCTACAAAAGTTGCTTCAAAATCATTTCCGTAATTGTGCAAGTAGTGAAATGCCCAATTGTGAGAAAGATAATCTAAATTCCCCTTTTTGTAAGATAGTCACTCCAAATGAGCCTTGAACCCACGCCATACACGAACTACTCTACTGATATTTCATAATTTCATAGCTTTACACTGGTATATCGATGTGATTTTATAAGACTGAAAATTACCTTGAGCTTCCGCCTGGCATTGAATTTTTTCAAGCAATCAACAGTTTCTTGCCTGTGTACAACAGATGCAACACGCTCTCGTTGCTAAAATGAAATACATTAACAGAATATACCTAATTATTTAAGAAACATCATACACAAATCCATGGATGTTTAAGAGCTTCGGCTGCAGTAATTCGCTTACTTGGATTTACAGTTAACATTTGGTTAATTAAATTTTTAGCTTCTGGTGTTACTGTGTCCCATTCAGGACTTGGATACTACAACGTATTACGATACAGTGAAGCACTGTGGCAAAACATTGATTATCATTACATCATATGCACCTGCTTTAATTTGTGCATAAAGTCTATGCTGATCTTCATCCCAAAATGGGGGATAGCCAACTAAAAGAATGTACAAAATAACTCCACATGCCCATATGTCTACTGGTTTCCCATATGGTTCCTTTTTTAAAACTTCTGGCGATAAATAACCTGGAGTACCTGCAAAACCAAACCATGCTTGTTGTTCTCCTTGTACTTCAATGGCCAATCCGAAATCTGCTAATTTAACAGCTGCACCTTTGGCTTTGCTGGCTAATAACAAATTTTCGGGCTGAAAGACAAAGTCATTAAAAGATTAGGATTTTAAATTAAATTTTACCTTTAAATCTCTATGTACAACACCATTTTGGTGACAGTGATTTACAGATTCTAATATCTGTTGGATACAATGTGATGCATCGGCTTCTGAATAAAACTCTCTTGCTACAATATCTTCAAATAATTCCCCTCCAGTTACCCTATACATAAATTCAAGTAAATCCTGGCAAATCAATACAAGACTAATATGTACTTACAAATCAAATACTAAATAATGAAAATTTTCTTCCTGTATACTGTCATGTAATCTCACTGTAAAAAAAAAACAATGGAAATTAGTGTATGTGTATACATTTCATTTGCAAGCCTAAATGTAGCAATACTATTGATATTTTTGTGGTTTAAACTATTTAATCAAAACAGATTTTTTTGGCAGATTATTAAAATACTTTTTCGATCATTCGCACTGTAAATTAATCATTCAAAGATACTGGTCAAATATACGTACGTAATAAAATATAACACAAACATAATTATTAGTTACTGTCGTTGCTGAAAAACGCAGGAAAAAGGAAACGCTATGATTTGACCTTTAATTGCTAGTACAAACCATGACATACAATAAAGAAAAATGTACAGCCTGTCGCTACAAATGCAAAACAAATTGTCCATCTACTACATTTCCACTTGCAGATTGGAATACCCAGAAAAGAATATGATTATTAAATTTTATTTGAAAGTAATATAGGCAATAAAGCATGTAAAGAAAATAAGCCGACCAGATCAACATAGGAGTTATAAAACAGTTACGTTGGCCTACAACGCTATCACATTATGAAGAGGGTTAGTCGATTGTTGAATGACATATTTTTATATTCTTAGACTTACAATGCAAACGATTGAAACGAACTTAAGAGTATAAGCATGTAAAATATAAAGCATACGAATGATTGTAATATTTTTGGTTGTTGTAGAGAAAAAACAAAGTAGCTAATGCGAAACTGGAGACCAAACAATAACCAAAGTAATCTGACTAGCAAGCATATTTGTTACACTTGAGATAGAGATACTGTCTGTCCCAGTAAAATTGTATTTTTGTTCCCAAATTTGATACGTACTATTTGCAGCAGTATAAATATAGCATATGACAATATATAATTTATATCATACGGATTATAAAATAAATGAAATTTATTGAATTTGATAATGGTTACATCTCAGTGTGCAAGTCTTTGTATTAGTGTCACTAAAATTACTAGTTTCTTAATCATAACTGTAGAGGCTATTTCACTTTTATAAAGCATAGCCAATCAAATAAAAGAATTAATAATGCAATTAAGATTTACTCTGCATTTGCCTACAGGATTAGATTTTGTTTTTTCTGTTGGCCATTTCTTAATAAATAATGGGTATGAATGAAAGTGAAATGAGCTATCGAAGTTGCTGTATACGTGTCATAACTAGATCATTAACTGTTTCGATGATTTTAAAAATACAATTTCTAAAATCCCCGTTCAATAATGCACAATGGTGTGAACATTACGTACGTTATGATTTATAAAATATTTCTCATTTACTGAGATGTACACTCTGTACGGAAAGAGGTTCAGTACAAAATTTTAAGAAAGATACGAAAAATATAAATAGTAAAAATTTTCCTATTGGGGGTACAATAATGCATTTATAAGCACAGGTATTTATTAATCATCTCAATTAACTACTTATTATGTGACTGGTATCGAAAAGATTTATGAAACAATTTCTTTAACATTTTGTTACATTTAATACCGTGTTAAATCAGAAGATTCAGTATAATTAGTCGTTTGACTGACAATACTACGATGATTTATGAAACTTCAAATCGCCCATAAAGGTAGGTAGGTACTAATGAATGGGTGAATTAACAGAGACTTTAATCAGACCTTGACACGACCAGCCTCTCAAAAGACAGTATTTCCTTAGACACCCAAAAGCGCAACTATGTATGTGCAAAAATGTATTCAGAATCAGTTGTATAGGCCTACCTAACCTATGTTTCAAATCATTAACATTTGAGTGTGACGTAAATTAAACGTTGATTTATATTCCATACCTAGGCATATATAAATTCAAAACCTTCAAAATGCTTGTACACATATGGTCCTTTGTTATACAAGAAACCCTATAAGCACCAAAGAAAATTATAGGTTAAACCAACTTTATACAACTGACACTAACTCATCTACGTGCTGTAAGCATAATCCAACTAAAGTATAAATGACAATGAGATTAATAAAACGATCTTAAAAAATAATGTTTAAACATGTGATTACCTAAATGTTTGAGAACATCGGGATGCGTAACTATACATAAAAATAATGCATTAATGTCTACCTACATCAGCCTTTTATATAAAAAAAAAAAAAACAAAAGCGTCTGCAAATGTAGGTACTTTGGTGTAACAAATAGTTAATTATTAGCTGAAGGTGTATTGTTCTAAAACTATGTGACAAAAATATACAAAAATAATTCAATATTTAACTCACCTATATTTGGATGTTGCAATTTTCTACAAATTCGTGCCTCTCTTTCTAACTTTTGAAAATCTAAAAAAGAATTTAAAACGAATTAGACTGTGAAATTTAAAAGTTTCGTAAAAAATTTTACTTCGACAAATCTACGTGCATTAAGTGTACCTTCCCATATACCTATATGTCGTCGTTTAGGTATGCATAAACAAGTTATTGATTTGGGATCCACTACTAATTGCTTAAATGTACACAAAATGGATAAAATTAAAAAAAAATGTTTACCTCTTGCGGACAACTTTTTTGTATTTATTATTTTCGCAGCAAACTCCAATCCTGTTGATTTTTGAACACATCGTCTGACTACAGAAAATGCACCTCTGTAACAAAATAAATAGACAATAATTTCAAATAGATAAAAAAACATTAAAAAAAGCTGTTCCTCCAATTCAGGGGCTTACGCATAATTTAGAGGCGTATAGTACTCATTACCTACACCCATGCGTAATGAAAAAAATTAGAATAGTAGATTATCTACGTTTGGAAGTCAATACAAATGACAAAACGGTCAACAGATGTCGTTTTGGGAAAAGAGCATTCATGCTAACGCCGCGTTTACAATACAATAAGTAGATAAGCAGTTGGAACTTTGCTGTGCTCGCCAAATTTAGTGGTTAGTAAAGGGTGGGTAACTCTTAAACTCGATGTACACAGATAATAATTGATGCTTGTCGCAAAATATCACCAAATGTCTGTTAAATTAAGTGTATTGAGTAATTGGTATGTGCCAGTTGTGCATTGAACAAAATAGCCAATTTGAGCACTTTCTGTAGAATTAACACCCCTCGTTTTACCCATAACTAAGAAACAAAAGGCTGGTAATTTCTTTCGATCTAGGTAACCATTCAGTGGCTTAACAGCCACTACCCTCAATACACCTGCCCTGTCTTTTTGGTTGACAAAATTCTTGTCTGTAATATAAGGTTTCTTAATGGTAGGTCTTTGCAAGTGACATATCTAGATATTTTTATATTGTTTTAAACTCAATTGCAGGGTCTTCTAGACTTGTTTTTTTCCACTATACGTTTTATGTAGTGTAGATACTTACAAAATATATAAGTATGTATCTCTTAGACCATATAGTACATGGACTGCTATTAGCCCTAGGTATGCTTTCAATACAAAATGGGTGGTCATGGATAGAGGGCACTGTAGTCGTGGGTATGTGAATCTCAGGGTAAACTAAAGTCGTGTAAACACCACCCGGATCGCGTAAAGAGTAGCTTTTATAGTATTCGCGTAGTACGGGAAGCTTTAATTACTCTTGATTATCTTCTCTACATCCACAAATAAGAACAGGTTTGCTTTTTTTGCATATCTAGGCCATTAATTAATTGACGTTTGTTAATTTATAGGTTGACAGTCTCAAATCGTATCTAATCGGACAACTTCGGACAGAGTCGTTTACCCTGAAACTCACATACCCAGGCGATGTCCTTGACCATATTTTCGTTACAATTAGCAGTCCGCATGTACTATATGGTCTAAGATGTATCTGTAGGTATCTAGATACCCAAATAAAAGTAATCTGTTACAACACTGTAGATGGCATTATTGCAACAGTCAATACTGTCAGTATAAATTACGTAGGTATCAACCATCAGCTGCTGACTGTCTCTGGATCAGCACGTTGTCTCAATTCTACATACCAATTTAACATAAGTACTGCTTTTATTTTGGTTACTTAACACTTGACATAAAACATGAACAGATACATTTTACTGTCGCCCAAAAAAAAATGATTAAAAATTGGACGAAAAATTGAACATTACAAACGAACTTTATAAACAAATTACTTGCAAATTTAAGACTTTTAAAATAATTTTTACTACCTCACCGTTCCTGGTTTATGGCAACATTTAACACGGATATTGCAGCTTATTTACTATATTAACCTACACATTATTGAATTTGCCAGTAAGACAATTACAGTAGGTACAATTTACTACCTCAGGTGACATTCTGGATTGAAACGTAATTTTCGGGATCCCTAATAAAGTTTGACTTTGGCGCTTTCCCTCTGCAGCGAGTTGCGTTGCGCCACTGCAATCTGCATGTGCAAGGTGCAAGTGCATTTTTAAGCGATCGGTTAGTCCGTTGATGGTCTGTGGGTTAGTCCGACTGTGGGTAATGCATATGCGCGGTTTTAGACAAACTTACTTCTGTTCAAACTAAAACGCCACTTTCATTAATTAATTAAATCAATATATTATCTAGAAATGGAAAAAGTAATTGTCCTTTTGCTACTCGCTTTAAAAAAGGAGGAATGAGGTTCACATATTCTAATAAATGACATAATGGGCACCACTCCGCCAGACGCGCAGCTATAAAAATAAACACGCAAAATAAGTATAAATAAAATGAAAATGTTAAAAAGTTGGAGGATATGTTATTTTAATCAGTCAGTTAATGCACTTAATGGATGGATACTGCAAAATTAAAGAAATTTGTGTAAATACACCCTCTGCATACTACATGCTTAGGAACATAATACGCTTTGGGGAAAATATGAAATTTTAAAGATACAACCACCTGTCATCGGGTTCAGGGCACAGCCATATATTGATTTTCTAGGGCAATGCAGATATTCAAAAATGTTACCAAAATTGTAACCAGAGAGGAGACTACAAAAAGGGCATCAGAACAGAAAATCTCTTTAATAAACGCCTACAGTAAAGACACTTGCACAACACTAAACAAAATTCGGTTTATTTTCGTATACTTAATCCATTTTAAGAATACCCATTTAAATAGAATTTCCTGAAAAGCAAACAGGCTAAGAAATACACCGGCGCATTTTTTATAGCAGGTCGCGACCGATTACATTAAAATAATACTTACTTGCCCAACTCCTCTTTTAATTCATAATTGTCACTAAAACGAGTACACGCTAAAGGTGCCGCCATATCAACTACTGCAGTGCCAGCGCCAGGCCAGATAAACCTGTATATCTCTCACTCTCTCAAGTGACGTTCTTCTTACATGCGCAAAATTTAATCGATCGTAATTTCCATTAATCGCACTACTTGTTTCATTATTAAGCAAAATAAAGCAAATAGATCGCGATTTAAAATCGTAACAAGTCAATAGCTCTTTGTGCGATATATCGAAGGGAGTTTCTCCAAAATTGGGGAAATTTTCTCGAATCGGCACTAATCGACAATGTTCGTGGAATTTATTCTGTACGAGGAAAGACACAAGATACTTTTCGCAGTTTATCAAAATCAATAAATGTAAACCGTTAGATGGCGTTTAGCACTATCTTTTTGGCGCTTTCAAACAAACGCGCTTAAAAAATTGTCGCTCTCTTACGAGCAAATAAATAAATACGCGCCGCCTCTCACCTATCCCAATTTTGCTAAATCAAAAACTTTGGCGGACATACGTCAAACTATTCCTGAACGTTCATCGGAAGAGGAATAGAGGATGAAGGATTTAGGAATGCATACAAACCAACATTTACTTTTTTAATTTATATAGTTTAAAGAACAAACTAATATAATAATAATAAGCAGCCGTTTTATCGTATGAGTCGAGCGGCGAGTTTTCCAAAGGACAAGTGCGATAAAACAGCGTATGAAACGAGTCATTTATAGAAAAATTGATTTCGCGTGATTTCTATTGTAAAAATTTATTGTGGCCACCACAGATTCTACCCGCACATCTGCGCATGCCCAAAAGCTTTTCAGCTCTTTCTTTTATATCTAAGAACATCATGTGTACCAAATGTGGGTCCAATCTGTTCAACCGTTTATCTAGAAAGACCGACAACTGACATAATCGAGTTGTTGCTTGATTCAGACTCATGGCGCTTCAAAACGTGTACTTGCATTTATGTCACCCTGGTGACTCTGGCCATTCACTGGTCCAGTACAGATTTACTGCATTTTGCCAGCGTCTTATCGGATGCTACCGTTACGTGCACAATAGTGTACAGAGCCAGTATACTAGGTATGTCCTTAAACTAACCAATCATTTCCAATAAAATGCATAAACAGAATAGAACTTTATTGCATTACTAAAATTTTTACATAAAAAACTGCTATTGAACGATAACATAGGTACTATATTCTCTATATTATGATTATTATAGTAACGCAAGTAAAGAAATTTTCACATGGCTGAGCCAAAAAAATCGAAAATTTTAGATCTAGAACAAATTAATCAATGTATTCATGAAGCAGACAACAAGCACTATTTAGATACAAAAGTATAAGTACAATTTTTTTTTAGTGGGTATATATAGGTACTAGCTACAGTTAACAAACAAGAAAATTACTGGGATTACAGGGCTTGCCAGTACGGCTTTGAAGAAATACTGCCCTAAAGTAGCCACCACTTTGGCAATAAAGTTTTGTGATTTGTTTAATGTAGATGTTCTCGTTGTAGATTATTTAATAATGGGGCGTGCAGACCCTCAATAATATGGCACTGTGTGATATATCCAATACAAATAGATATTGTTGTATCGATACCTGAAAAAAAGCCAATTGTAATGAGACAGTTCGGTCATCTCCGAGAAGTTGTGGATTGACATTATAAAGAAATATACGGGTATATGACACTAATAAGCCCTATAGCAACTTATATCCACTCAATAAGTACATACCATCGACGTTTCTCTGTAAAGTATTACACGAGTTGCTGCATTTACCACTCAAATCGGAATTAATACAATGGAGATGGCATAAAAATTACACTTCTACAATTCGGCGCAATACGTAGGACACTGTTTTCGTCATTCCAGTGCATCATATTTATCCAACAGCAGTCACCATCAAACGACATGGTGGGTAGATGTCCTCCGGTGTTGTTGAAGGATAGGTACATGTCGGTTCAACAAAAAGTCGTAGTTGCAGGAACTTTTGCCCAAGCAAGTACATGATTCTCATCATTACATCAACACTTGTAGAAAGCGCAGTTGCCAGTGCTCTATTTAAAGAAAATGTAAAAATGAACGAACATAACATCGTAATCCCAAATTTACCTGGTATACATGATGAAGCTGTTACTCACAAAGTTTACAATAATTGTATGTTTAATTATTCAAATAAGGACGAAATTTAAATTTGCTATATCTGTTCACTTTAGTAGTAGTGCAACGCTTGCTTGGAAAAGTTTGGTTATGTACATATTGGGAATCTCAGGGGAATAGAAATAAATTTAAATTTCCCTTACAAATTTCCAAAGCAATTATGCGGAGAATCGAACCGTGCGCGAATGTTACACTTATACACATTACACATAGGTATATTACAGCACCTCAGCTTAGCACACTGAAGTTACAAGGTTACAACATGAGTTAGTAAAAGATTCCTGCAATACCAGCTGTTCTGTCAAAATCCAATATTTGTAATCGAGAAATGTCAGAAACATGCACCTATTTAAGAGTTGCGTTTTAACTTATTTAGTTTACAAGCTTCGTGTACGTTTTAGTACAAACAGTACAATTCCCGTATTTATATATAGATAGTGGCGTGTGAGGTGTTTTCACTTACGTGGCGAAAATGTGTGGTAAGTTTTTTTTTAAATTCCATAGTACACTCAAAAAACTGAATGGGCATAAGTATAATTGGTACCATTCAGATTAGATGCACATATTTACCTAAAATCTATTTTGAAATTACCTATTTTGCTCTACGGTTTTAAGGTGAAAGTAACAATTTTCAAAAAATTAAGGAAAAATCTTGCCGACTCTTGTTTCTTATTAATTAGTTTATCATGGCACTCCTTATTTAATCACATATCACTTGCTCATGCTTATGGAGAAATTGGGATTAATCGAACATTTTTGGTAGCTTATCAAGAGTGGCTGTTGATTGCAGGAATGCAGATTTTATTAGTACCTACTAGTTAAACAGGTTTAAATTCCTCTTTGCCATGAACATGATTATTTTTAAAGTCAAAATTCTTGCTTCAATGTAGGTACATTTTTGTTTAATTGTTACAATAGATAAGTGAAAGTCAATCAAATACTTGCTAACCGAATGAAAGGGAGAGGTGTAGTTTCTAAGGAAGTATTTTGCATGCCACTCCTTCATGCGGAATTGAAGGACGGTAACAGTGTTACTAAGAACTTCTACTTACACTTCGTACAGACAATACCTGCCCTTTTTTATCTTCAAGGCTGTGTAGATTTTTTGAATAATGAGAAAAGTTAATAGTGCAGGAAATGTTAGTACCTACTTTCTATAATTTAAAAAGTCAAGGTTTCATACTTTCAATTTGTTAATATACCTATTTTTGTCGGCAAAGTATTAAACCTTGGCATTCATTGCTATTCTCCAAAATCTTCTTTTTTCTGTAAATAATTCCCATAGGCAGATTATTTTGTAGATTTGGTCAAGTCACTAATAATAATTAGTCTGTTCATATTTGAATAATTCTACAGAATCTTATCATTTAGACCAAAAATTAAAGTACCTAAGTACAAATTATATTATTTTTACACTTCATCTGTAAAGGAATTAAAAAAAAAAATAATTAAAGAATGAACCCCTAGCAAAAGATGATTACTACTTCAATCATAATCTTTTATTAAATACTAACACAATACCTAGCACAATACCTATATTAGTTTTGTTCAACTTGTTCTGCTTGATCTCTAACTACAATCACAACGGCTCACAAGTCACAACGACTTTTCAACTTTGCCATTTTCATTTAAGTACCATAATTATAAATCATACATCCCAAGTCTGCGTCCCTGCTTAATAGATTAATGAGTCGACTTCAGACAAATTTTCTATATATTTTGCACACTTAGTTACATATTATCGAGATATTATAGTGTCTTGTCATATAGGGAAAAGATCAGATGTGACCTTTGGATCATTGTAGATTCCATACCCACTATAGTAATCGAGATAGTAATTCAATTGATTCGTCAGATATACCCAACTTGACCTTACGTGACAAACCTAATTTGGCTAATTTTTCCTAACAAACTTTCTCTATAAAATTACTAGATAAATTAGGCTTGTTCGTTGGTCTTCTTGAAGTAGCTTCAAGTTCCATGTTTCATTGTTGTCAGTGTTCAAACTGGCTCTCTTTAGTTGAAACAACTATACAGAACAACAAATTGTATTTCAACAGCCATCACTTACAAGAACATTTTTTTTATTTTTTAGGAATCTTTGCATATCTAAACTACCTCACTCCAAAGAGCCGTAAAGAAATTTTAGACTTGCTTGTAAATGGACTCAAAAGACTCGAATATCGAGGTTATGATTCCGCAGGTACGTAAAAATAACTATAATTTCTTGTTAAATTAAGTTGAAATGTTATATAGGGGTTGCAATTGATTGTTCGGATAAGAGAGGCATGGCACTTATTAAAAAAACTGGAAAAGTAAAACTTTTGGAGGATGAAATTAATCAAAGTAAGTATTGTTTTAGTTCTTTCTAACCGCATTAATTGTTCTGTTTTCCTATTACTTGGAGATATGTTAAATCCTACGGCCCTGAATATCACTTGCTATACGCCATTCGAAAGCTCCTAAAAATTAATTTTCCATGAGACGACACATTTGAATAATATAATACTTATTCATAATTTAATTGAAAACAAGGTGTATTTTACGGAATCCATTTGATTAATCAGTTGCTCACTAATGGAAATATTTTTATGCATCAACTCTTGCTTTGGACACAAAATCTCATTTTGTACACTGGATACAATTGTTTATATTACTTATAATGTCTTGATAAGAAATGCAGGGATGGGGACAACGCACTATTAAAATAAAATAAATGAAAATTAAGTTCACCTTTTGTTTTTTTTTTTTTGGTAATTTTAATCATTTACTACCTTTGAGTAGTTAAAGTAGTTAAAAATCTTGGTCAAGTTTGATAAAAAATTCCATTGTCACTTGGTATTTAAGATTGTATTGCAATTTCCATGTATTAAGAAGTAATCATATAGTGATTTAAGTTATGTTAATGGAAAGGTTAAAATTGTTGAACTACAGATACCGATAAATCCTCGTGTGTTGAGTTCTTTTTATTGAATTCTGTGTTTGTGTGTGAACAAAATAGTATGTAACTGTATATACCTACATTTAATATTTACAGGAAGTAGCGAGTTGGGGATGGAAACTGTAACCGATAATCATTGTGGAATAGCTCATACACGTTGGGCCACTCATGGTGTACCAAGTGAAGTTAACTCACATCCTCAAAGGTCGGAGGAAAGTCATGCGTTTGTGGTTGTTCACAATGGTATCATCACAAACTATAAAGAAGTAAAAACATTCCTACAAAAAAAAGGTTATGGTTTTGAAAGTGAGACTGATACAGAAGTGATAGCGAAGTTAATACATCATTTTTACGTACAACATCCATCTTACTCCTTCCGGGAGCTTGTAGAGCAAGTCGTTCAACAATTGGTGAGTTTTCTTTAGTTATTAAAATTCCATAATTTGTTCCGTTTTTCTGTAATAGGAAGGAGCGTTCGCTCTGTGTTTCAAATCGAAACACTTTCCAGGTGAATGTGTGGCAACGCGAAGAGGTTCTCCATTGTTGGTCGGTATTAAAACAAAATCTCAGCTAGCAACTGATCATATTCCCATTTTGTATGGGAAAGGTGAGTTTAATTTACTGTTAATTTTTAATACATGACGATGGTGGAGGCTTAAAATATTTTTATACCTCTTTCAGGGTATACATTGTGGTGGGGCTTTTTTGGAGAAGGTAGGATTTGGTTGAAATGCTTTTGGTTTTGAGTTTTATCTAGAATGTTTAACAATTCCTGTTAATACAAAGTTGATAGATTTCAGATCCTTGAATGATTTGATTTTTAGTGTAAAGTTACATTAAGTATCTGCCATACTAATATTCGTTAAGTATTGCTTGCAAAAATAATATGAAACTATAAACTTAATGTTAGCGGTAAAGCTCATAGTGGTTTTCCATTGCGTTTTCTATTGTTATTTTAACACCTTTACATGGTTACCTTTCTGTTTGTTTGTGTGTCAAAAGTGTTTTTTTTATTTTTCTTATTACATTTAAATTTTATGAAACTTTACTGAAAGGTTCATGGTAATTGATTGTGTACTAATGAATGTGAAAACTAATAGCGTATGCATTCACTTAAGCATATCTCATTATTGAATACTAAAGATGCTTTGACAACCACAAAATTTGTACAAATCTTGAATGAATAGCCACCTATTTACACCTCGATTTACACATTCCTGTGTGATCTTAAACTTATGCATATTCTCACGAATGACATATTAGCTACAATATAAACGAAACGATTGGGATGTAGTCACGTCTGTCCTGTCAAGTTATCTCCAAAAGTATTCTAAATTGGTGTTGTCACTTCACTCAACGAAATCAAGTATATGTTATGTAAAAATATCCGCTCAAAATCATAGTCCCTCTAGCCGGAAACTCTTGGAACTATGATTTTCGGATTCAGCAGATTTTTTTATATAACACTTGCTTTCGTTGAGCAAAGTGACAACATCCAATCTAAACCGTAATTTAACTGCATTAATGATACAAAAGCTTTAAACATCAACAATGCTTTCCAATGTTTTGCCCTTGGCCATTCATTATTCTCAAACAGAGGTGGCCAAACCTTCAATCGCAATCTACCGGTCGAACGTGGCGATCTTCTGAATCGATCGTCACATTTACTTAACATAAAATGAGTGCGCCCAAGCGACCATAAACCTACCATTTTGATAAAGAGTGGGAAGAAGACTTCTTTTTTACAATGTTTAAGGATAAATGGGTGTGCGTAATATGTCGAACTGGTGTTACGGTTACAAAAAAAAAAAGGTAACCTGGAGAGACTTTTTTGAGTCTACATAAAAAACAACTTTCCACCAAAATCAGAATTGCGACGGATTAAAGTAGGAACAAGAAATGAAAGCGCAATTATATATCACTCTTAATAAAAAAAACCCTTTTTCATAGTAGAAGTAACTGGTAGGTAATGAAGGCTCTCACCTGTGTGGAATAGATCAAACGATACAAAAGTTTGGCCATCTCTGTTCTAAAACAAGTATATTTTGAAGAAGCACGTACAGGGTGTATTGTGCTTTTCAGACATGCTGCGGTAACTGTACTAACATTAATTGTTAAATTGTGTTTTTTTAATTGTATTGTCTTCCTTGCATGGACGTGTTTCCTTTCCTTCAGATGATTCGGCTAGAACTCTGAAAGGTATAAACTTTTAATTAACTTTTATTATAATTTTCGTAATAGACAATTTATTTGTATTATATTTGTTTTGTGGGTGAACAGTAACTGAAATTTATCTTTGCATGCTTAGTTAATAGGTCGACTCGTTTAATTTCATTGTCGTAATTTCTTTTTGTTTTTTGTGTTTCTGGTACATCACAGAGCCTGACAACGCACACAAAGGTATACAACTTCTACTTATATTATCGTTCAAAGCTTTAGGTTTGGTTATAATAACATATTTCGCTATGTGTTTCTCAGTGTCACACAAACTTGCTTGTGCTTATTACCATTAACATTGTATGTGTGCAACATGTTTCATGCAACGGTAAGTTTATTATGGATTAGATATCGTTTGGTTATGTGTGTGAATTTTCAGATTAGGTGAAGGTGCAAATCAGCTGGTACTTTAAAATTTAAAAACATAATGGAAGCACTTAAAGGTGATTTTTCGACAGTCTTTTTTCTATTCAGAAAGCTGCTTCCATTATATTATTCCATGTGGATTTTTGTAATTTAAAATTTTCTTATTATAGAGCATAGACCTCACGGACGTGGTGACATTCCGATATTATCACGTGCAGATTCTACCTCGGAGTTTCAACCTCTGGAAGATAAATCGGTCGAATATTTCTTTGCATCAGATGCATCCGCTGTAATTGAGCATACCAATCGAGTCATTTATTTTGAGGTAAGAGCCACATATAGAAAAGTGTTTAAACATGGAGGTTTTTTAGGATGATGATGTAGCCGCCGTTAAAGAGGGTGCTTTAAGTATTCATCGATTAAGACGTTCAATGGATGATCCACATGCCAGGGAAATAACAATTGTTAAGATGGAGCTACAACAAATTATGAAAGGAAATTATGACTATTTTATGCAAAAAGAAATTTTTGAACAGCCGGAATCTGTCATAAATACGATGAGAGGGCGTGTAAATTTTGCAAACCAAACTGTTGTCTTAGGTGGCATTAAGGAATATATTCCTGAGATTAAAAGGTGCCGAAGACTAATGCTTATAGGCTGTGGCACTAGTTATCATAGTGCAATTGCCACTAGACAGTTGCTGGAAGAATTAACAGAATTGCCAGTTATGGTCGAGCTTGCTAGCGATTTCTTAGATCGAACCACACCTGTATTCAGAGATGATGTGTGCTTCTTTATCTCGCAGTCGGGTAAAATTTTTAATTTAAATTGGCCCTTCGTCTAATGCTAATGTTCAGGTGAAACGGCTGACACTTTAATGGCACTACGTTACTGCAAACAACGAGGTGCTTTAATTGTTGGTATAACAAACACTGTAGGTAGTTCCATTTGTCGGGAATCTCATTGCGGTGTACACATTAATGCCGGTCCTGAAATTGGGGTAGCGTCGACGAAGGCATATACGAGTCAGTTTATTTCACTAGTGATGTTCGCGCTTGTGATGAGTGAAGACAGACTGTCCTTGCGTCAAAGACGTTTAGAGGTACTATTACGTCAAGGAGATTCATAATTTAAAAAAATATTTGTTGTAGATCATTGAAGGTTTGCAGAATCTTGACGAACAAATTCGAGAAGTGTTGCAATTAGATCAGGAAGTACGTGAACTTGCAAAAGATTTATATCAGCAAAAATCTTTATTGATCATGGGAAGAGGATTTAATTATGCAACGTGTTTAGAGGGAGCTTTGGTAACTTAAACTACAAAACTTCACAGTTTAAAACTAAATTGACTAATTTTAGAAAGTAAAAGAATTAACTTACATGCACAGTGAAGGAATTATGGCAGGGGAATTGAAACATGGCCCTTTAGCTCTTGTTGATCATACCATGCCCGTTTTAATGATCATTATGAGGGATCCGGTGTACACAAAATGCATGAATGCTTTACAACAGGTAAAAGTCGCAAATTTGAATGTATGATTGAAAAATAAATTGTGTTTTGTAGGTTACTGCAAGAGAAGGTCGCCCTATTCTAGTTTGTGAAAAGGGCGATTCAGAAACTATTAACTTCGCCTCTAAATCTTTGGAAATTCCACGCACTGTAGATTGTTTGCAGGGCATATTGACAGTAATTCCAATGCAACTTCTTAGCTTTCATATTGCGGTACTTCGTGGATGTAACGTAGATTGTCCACGAAATTTAGCTAAGAGTGTGACTGTAGAATAATTTTGTTGGTATGTATTTACTTCTTACTATTAACATTGACTTTATACACTATAGACAAACGGAGAAATAGGGAAAAATGGCAGCCGCTTACTGTAGTGAATATTTGCGTTAAATAGGCAACTTATTAAACACATTGCAATGCACGTACTAATGATGACGTCAAATGGGACGACATATGAACTCAAGCAAATTTATGACGTTTCATTCGTTGAATTTTTGATTCTGGTACATTTTTGTTGGAACTACTCTTAATAGTATTACAAAGACCATTTACAAAATTTAAAGTTCTTAGCAACAATTTAACAGATATGGCCGATGCACAGCGTTTTTTTCCTAATTTCAAAGGATTTGTGTAAAATTAATAGTTCCTTGGGGTCATTAAGGTTTGATGTGGTTTTCTGAGAAGCTGTTCACATTGTGTGCAATTAAACTTTTCGATCGCAAAGTATAGATCAACTCACTCTTCCAGTAATGTACCTAGTTTTATCAACTTCAATGTCCAAGATGGAGTTTTCTAATGACGACTGAAAAAATGCAGAAGATGAACATGATGGCGGTTCTGAACATTTCGTCAAAGCAAATAACACCCGACTCTTTCTTGACGATAAAGTATACTAACTTTTTAGTTTAATTTGTTCGAACTATGCTGAATTATATCCTGTAGTAGATTTATTAGATGCCAAAATCCATTTTTTTAAGGTAGATATTGCGGGCAACACGATATTTTGCCTCCAGAAATTTGTGAGTTGCCAAAGACTTGTATTATAACTTTATGACAAACTCTTTTTCGTCTTGATGCCATGGAGAGGTTTAGCTTTATGCAAAATTTGCGTTCTTACTAATCCGCGCTTGTCAATGTCAATACCTGTCACTGTCACTGTGTATGCACTTGTAGGTACAATAATTATTAATGACATAATAACAACGAGAGTGGCGCTGCGACGATTTGGTGGCCCAGCTCCATACTAACATTTCCAGCTCCATTTGTGTTGCCATTTTTTAAGCCTACACCGTTTGTCTATAGTGTGTAAAGTCAATGCTATTAATAGGGAAAAACAATACAAAGTTTTCTTCTGAGTATAATCACCATAAAATTTGATTCAGTTGTGAGCGGAAAAATACGTTGCACGTAATAATACGTTTTAGTAGCACAGAAAATTCTTCAACCAAAATATTAGGTCCCCAGCGAAAAGGTTAAAACGCACATCACAATGAATATAAACTGTATATGCTTTGGTAAATTAAAGTTCTCTAAATCATTTCTTTTATGTTCATTTTGAATTGAGATTTGCTCTCTTATGTCCGATTATCTTGAGGATAGTTTGTGCTATATTGAGAGAATATTTAAGAGGTTACTTAAATGCAAATGTGGTGTGCACAAGTTTATTTCTACATAATATTTAAAACAACTTAAACCCAGTGCTAAACTTAAAACCAATATTGTGCAACCGAGTCCCAATTGAATTACATTTTGAAAACTGCTCATTTGTAATTTTGTTATAGGTTTCCTTCATTGCTAAGAAAAACTGAGTGACTGATACACCAACGAAACAGTTGTAACAATCCTTCATATTTAAACACATAGCATATTATTAACTTATTATATTACATTACTGTGCCTCCGTTGCATTTTGTTTAGCACTTGTATATTTCTGTATCTCAGTAACGCAAAAGTTTACCTAAAATAAATATAATAAATGCTAACCTGTTTTGTACATAAGATTAGTACCTTTTTATCCTAGAACTCACAAGGGTTTTCGGCTCTGGTAAATTGCAGGGCTTAAATCAAATAGAGGAAGTCTCTACTTTGTATTTTCTATAACTATAACACCAGTACTAGGCTGGTTGTAGACCCCGTCGATCAGTCTTGTACCAACTTTTTGTGACCTTTATGTACCCTTCGTAAATGAAGGGTTATGACATTCTATAAAGAGAAGCAATTTTTACCGCAATGGAAGAACTAAAAATACTCAAGGAGGTGATTAAGATAGAAAAGGTGAGAGAAAATAAGTAAGTCAGAGCTGGTATTTCAATTGTAAAAATTAAAGCTAATGTGACTTTTTCTCCAGCTCGTACAATATGTCTGGTTTCATTGATGATGGGTTGCTAAATATATTCATAGCGTCGTCCAAACCCCTTCTGGTATTTATCAAATTTATGTGTGCTTTCCCTTTGCCAAAAAAAATGCCAATTGTATATCACTGAATATGTGAGCAAATAATATATTGCTTTTACAATTATGGACATTTGAATACTGTACATTGAGGGAGCTATATATGCGCTTTCCATGATATTTCCTTGAACATATATTAAAAATCGAATATCTTTATTATCAAGACGCGAAAGAGCGCAATTATGAAAATGTGATCAATATCCTGTCCCACCACATAACTACCGCGGAACTTTCATATGATACCAATCTGAACAATTCAATATCGGCATCATCTGTGACAGAAGGCTCTGGATACTGACACATTCGAATTGTTGTTCCTTCAGTTGTTCAATTAAACTTTATTCGCCAGGTATTGAATCAGTATTAAACAGTGCGATTGAAGAAATATCATTCGTAATCACCAGCATAAGATGTGGTATAAACCATTCCATAAGCGCGCGTGAGTGAAACAAGATCTCACAAAAATTCGTCACGCCCCTGGCAACGGCTGGTTTTTTTAAAGCCTGCCCTTAGGATTTTACATGCTAATTTTACAACCCTCTTGTTAACTTTTGTCTTCAGCAAAATATTGAATATAGTTATACTCTTTGGTTATCGGGAAAACATGTATAGGACAAAATGACGTAAATTTTTATAGGAAATAATTTAGGTGTTATAAATTTTCCAGTACAAGGTCGTTTTAGGGGGTGGTTTTTAAAACAAAAGGAGGTGAAGCGCTCCCCTGAGACGTATTTTTATTACTGCTAATTTACGTAGACTAAAATACATCTTTCAATGAGATAAACTGATACAGTATTATAAGCTATTCCTTATTTTGTGCTAAGATAAAGTACCTAGTTGACAGTGACATTGCTACTCTCTATAGCCCTTGAAAACAACAAATATTCAACATTCAGTTTAGCTGTAGTATTTTATTTTAAAAAATGTGACAAACTTATATGTGCTGGTTTTGTGATAAAACCACAATACACACTTTGTATGTTTTGCATTTCGAGACATTGTACTTTTCATGCAAAACGTACGGTTGTCTGCATCATGAATTGGGAAAATAAATTATAAAAAGTAGATTTATTTTAGAGTCTTGCTATACACATTAGTAAACACAGTAGTACCTGCTCAATAAAATGATCAAAACTAATGTGCTTATAGCTATATTTATTTAAATCAATAAATTAATTTTGTGAACAAGATTAGATTACACACTGCATTAAAGGAAAAGGGAAACTGTACCCAACACGTCAAATTGTTAGCGTTTCATGAAATGACCGATTTCACTAAGAGACTAGAACACATACATTCATTGTGGTACTTAAAGCATTATCTAACATTTCATATATTACCTACATGTACTATGTGTATCTAGAATTTTAGATGTTTTAAGTACCTATACATGATGTCGGTAGTTAAATTTACTATGCATAAAAGTGCTAAACTGTTTGTGCTATAAATACATCACCCCAATGTATGCACTGGTATAAATATTCCAGTACCTTCGCATGTGCATGTCAATTGTACGTATCGTCATATTGATCCGAGAATTATCAGTGTTCATTTAGTGAGAAAACAATAATCAGAAACTGTATGCACGTATTATAACCTACTACATAATAGGTGATAGCGGAAAATGAATGATGCAGAAATGATTACCAATGTGTTTACAAAGGTGACAAACTCTATAAGGAAAAGATGGTAAAATTTAAGATTAAGGATTAAATTTTCACAATTTAATATAGAATTTATTTAATTTTCTAATAAATAAATTAGTAATACTTATTAATTTATGATACTAAACACGTCTAATCCTTTTCACTTTTAGCCTTTCCGAAATGTTCATTGTACATGGTATAACCTAAACCTAAGGTAAGTGTTCCTACGGCAAGTCCTTGCGCAGTAACTCGTAGTTGCATTAAAAAAATACTTGGACTCATTTTGCCTCTTCGTTTAAACATGTATGCACCATATGCACAGGTGACCGCACATATACCAATCGCTGTTACGATAAGAAACATTATTATATTTTACTATTAATCCCCGTAGCTTACCAATAGGGAAGAATGGTGCATCCTTTGACTTTCTTGCTAGACGCTCTGATTGAGATTCATCATGAAAGAAGGCTGGTGGTGGATTTGCCATAGCCGTTGCTAAAAGATATAAAATTAATACAGTGCATAATTTTCAAAAATATGATGCAATTTAATTAAAAACCTGTTAATAGACAAAATTTGCTTACTCGAAGACATGCTGAATGTGAAATAGGAATTTACAAAACACTTACACTAAAGGGCAGTGGTAGATCTTAACGACGACCACTGATGTAATGTAAGACCTTGGTGGCGCAGAGGGAAGGTCATTTACGAGTTACGTCACAAATCATCTGATACGTGACGTCACTGTAATTAAGGCGAACGTCAGCAAAAGGTGTGTTCGTTTGGATTGCACTTAAGTTCAACCATCGAGGACAAGATGGTCGGTGAGTTGAACGGAAAGGAGATCAACGAACAAACATGAAGTTTCAGTTTTTATAAGAAATGTCAAATGACGTATAAAATACATATGATGTCAACAACAATAAAATTTTACTCTTTATTTGTTATTGTTTTTCAAAATTAAAGTTAATTAACAAAAATGAGTGTTAATGAACCAACTTGTAAATTTGTCTTACTTACATAACCTATTTTTTCTTGTTATGACAAAATAGAGTACTGCTGGGTTACCTTAATGGAAATTTTTATTACAGCAGAGTGAGCAGAATGTAAAGTAATAGTGTTTATACTCACAATTGAAGAGTTTAGGCTCAAAACATTCGCATTTAGTAATGGAGGAGTATGAGTTGATGAAAGATTCTAAATATCGAATGTATGTAGCAGCTGTGGATAAGGCACTCAAAAACTTTGAATCCACATTTGAATGGGCGGACTTAATTTCATCTTTAGGAAAACTAAATAAGGTACATGTCGTGTCGGTTGTGTAAAATGTTTAAATGAATTTTGTAGGTTCTTCTGAGTTATACAAAATTTCCCGTTATCCCTAGAAGGATAAAAATTAGCAAAAGATTGGCTCAATGTATGCATCCAAATTTACCATCTGGAGTTCATTTACGAGCTCTGGAGACTTACGATATTATCTTTAAATGTATGGGTACTAACCGTTTATCGCACGAATTATTTATTTATAGCGCAGGTATAGTACACTTCTTGGAAAATCTCACATTGCCTTTGTATATTTACCGTTATTTTAGGACTATTTCCGCTCCTTGGAAATGCTGCAATGACAGTCCGGCCTATTTTACTACAGTTGTATGAAACACACTTTGTTCCACTGCGAGCAAGATTGAGACCTGCTCTAAGCGGCTTCCTGAGTGGTGTTTTACCAGGACTTGAAACCGGTTCTGACCATTTTGATAGGTGTATATCTTAGTTTTATTTCAATATTTGAACAGATACTTAGGTTATAATGTTTTAGGACAAATGCTCTTCTCGAAGCTGTTTGTGATGGTGTGGGTCCTGCCTGGTTTTATACATGTATTTGGCAGTGTGTCAAAAGCAATGGCCCTATTCGTTTACCGGCCATTACTTATGTGTTAAGTCATTACAGCAGGAAGATTTCAATGGAAGATCAGTTGTTCTTAATAGGGAATGATATAGACATTATGGTAGGTATTTAACATGGAATTGATGTAGCCTAAGTGGGTATATAGCGTTTATCTGTCGTCACTTAATAAAAATGCTATCATAATAGCTTTATAAAATTTTCCCATATCACCAAAACCGATCTTATATAGAGCCAAACAATCTAGAATTTGTTCTCAAATATTTGTATCAATAAATATTTTTAGTTAGGGCCTACATTGTAACTAGTCAATTTAAAAAAAAATTGTTTTTTACAGGTATCTGGTTTATGTGCTGGAGTACAAGACTCGAGCATATTGGTACAAAGATCAGCTCTTGACCTTCTTATGGTCTGCTTCCCTATGCACAATACCCAACTGTTATACACAGATATGATTCGTTTAGTTACTGCAAGTTTATCGACAATTCTGCGGAGAGACATGTCATTAAATAGGTAATATGTGCGCAATTCCTGATCATTATAATAATCTTTGATTTAGACGATTATATTCTTGGTTGTTGGGAGCCGAAGTCAATGTTAATTTATTACACGCAGACCATCCTTTAATAAAAAGAATTAATAGCTTGCCCGAATCTCAGAGTCATACTGCAGCATATTTTGAGCTCTACTCGTACGACATTCTGGCAGAGGCAATTCGAGTCACCTTAATTCAAAGCAGTAGTGAAGTACCATCTGATATAAAACCGTATCGTCTTTTGACGTCATTGTTTGATAAACCTCAAATTGGACCTGTCATAGTGGATTGTGTTTTATTTGAAGTTTTTAGAGCGTTATATTTAACATGTTTGAATCAGCAAAGACAAAAAGGGAGCATATTACGCTGTGTCTCTTTTAATGGCGATATTAGTAGTTTAAAAACCAGCGACGACGCATTAGATAAGCAGTTTGTGAGAAAAAACTGCTCTGAATTGATCAAAAATGCAAATTTATTGTTTAATACTTTGGAATCGTATTATATTTGGCTTTATGTTGGAAAACTGTTTGAAGATGCTATATCGTTAATTAAAGTAAAAAGAAAAGTAGTTAGAGACCATTGCCAAGTGAACGAAATCGGATCTGGTCCGCCAAATTTATTGGAGGTTTGCATTTTAGCACAATTTTTGCTTGACATTATACATTTAGAAACGTACACAGAAAGTTCCTCCGAAATTCTTCCGACGCTCTTTACAAAAGTTATATCAACTGCCCACGACAACATCGCATTATTAAATAAATATGAAATTGCAAAAAGTATGGAACTATGTACAAAAGTCTTAACCAAAATTCAACCTGTTACCGCGAACACATTGAAGAACGATTATGAACAGTCTATCGATACAATCGACCACACAAACAAGAAATATATGGTAACACTTCATCCAGAAGCGCCTGATGTAGAATCTGGCATTGAGAATAAAGATATAAAGGTGGGTCTCGAGAAAAGTAAATCGGACTCAAAAATTAACGAGACCTTAAATAAAAACGAACTTACTGTGGACGTTGGGCATAGAGAAAGGTCTAATAGTAATCAAATGATCAAGAAATTTAGAGTAAGTCCAAAAGTTGAAAAAAAATCTAAAAGTAAAAAGTCCAAGTCCAGTTCTAAGTTAAACGATTTAAGTACAACTCAACAAGATGTTCCGCATAACACTAACGATGAATCCAAATTCTTGTTGGAAGCGCACGAACATTTTTCCTATAATATTACAAGAACTGAAAATAAGCATATAGTAAAATGTCTGAAATTATATAAACAATTTTATATACAGTTTTTGGCATGCAAAATTATGCCTGGTGTTAATTTTGATGATTTTTTTTCACAACTTGTCCAAGATAAAATGAAGAGGGTACACGATTTAGAAAATTTGCTTAATAAATGCTTATCTTCTTCCAATGAATCCGAAGGGCAAACATGTAACTTATCCAAAGCCTCACCGATTGTCGCGAGTGATAGTAAAATTTGCGAATATGAAAGTTCCATGACGTTATCGTCTAATATACTGCTCGAGTTTTCTACATTTCCAAATCTGGTCGACCATTGCGACTATGAAGACAAAATTCCTACATGGTTAAAGGCTCTTATAGTTTGTGCATGTTTCGCACAAGTATCAACCGAAGATATTCAAATTATAGCTGTGAATACACTATTGGAATTAATAAGCCTTGCTAAAAGTCAATATATCCAGTCTCGTCAGAATGGAAACGATAACAAAAATATTAACATAGTACATATGGGATTGTTAAACAATGGTCACGTCCAATTTATTGAAGATGCTACATATATTATTGAGGTAAGTCCGAGTGCACTGACCTTTCTACAATATAGGCAAATTTGATGGTGATCGTTAGACGAAGTCTTTACAACTGTATCATTATTAAATTTTAACAGTCTGGTTGAGGTTTAGGCCATTCGTCAATTGTGAACATCAAATTCTTTAACGCTTTCCTGTATTTGCTCAAATATTAGTTTTTAACGATCCTCGAGAATTTTCTATCTATATATGTCCGTGTGCACGACAACTTTGTTTAGAAACGTCCGATCGCTTTAAAAATTGGTACACATGTTCTTAAGGATATGAGAAAGGTCGCTATTGTTTCTTAGCTACGTAGACTAACGGGCCAAAAAGTTGGAGCCCAAAAACTGCCCAAACGTCTAAAATAAGGGTTTCTTTTATAATTTTTGTTACAAAGAACATATGTGCGGTTGTCTGTGTTGGTAAATATTCCTTAAACCTCAAGCGGCTATGCTAATAAATAAAAAAATAATTTGAGCCTGCACAACACAACTTTTGTATTTGCGCAATCCATTTTTTGTATGTAGGCAAAAAATCAAAAATCAAAAAATTTGTTTTACAAGCTATGCTGATCTATTAGGGCATAATCAACCCTATAATAAAAACTATGGATGTGTAAAGATCTCGAGGATCATTTGGTATTCAGTTGTTTCGGATTTTTATTTCTAATACTGTCTTTTGGTGTATTATTACAAACAGAACAGTTTTAGTCTTTGTATATTTCTTCAACAGCAAATCTTTTTTATCACCTTGGGTTGACATTTCAGTCAGCTCCTCTGCTGATTACAATTCTGCGATCGAAACATGTACAAAGAATAAAACTTTATACCTTTTTTGTGTACTTCATTTTGAGATAATGCATGTGCATGTTATAATTCTAGATAATGTCTCAATTGTTGTGGGATTTAATTGGAACTTTTCGTAATCAAGATAAGGTAATGACTTGTGCCACCTTATTGTATCACATACATAACATATTTTACACCAAATCTTATGTGGAAGACGTAATTGCGAGTTATTTAGTAAATGACACTCTTACTGTTGATTTTTTAAAAAGGTTTATGTTATTATGGTGCTCGGGAAGAGAGCTAGATGTCAAAATTCCAACAAACCAAAACAGTATTCGAAACTTTGATAGGTAACGTAAACCTTGTCAATATATTGTGCGTCTAATTACTCATTATCTTTAGGTCATTATTAAAAGTTTTTGACAATTTTCATCATCAGCAGAAGCATAATTTGAGGTTGTTATCGGAATCTTTTCTAACGCATTGCTTACTTCGCAATGATATAGCAAGAATTATGAATCCGTTTTTTAATATTCTTCTGATGCCTAGTACTGCACGTATTTCTATTCGCCACATAAATATTAGTAAAGAAGATTTGAATGAAGCCGCCACTTCTCAAAAAACTGCCAATGTGGATAACTGGACTAAGGCATACGCTATAAGCCACATTAACGGAGAAATCAAATTTCACATTTCCGAAGATTCCGCATTAAAACCCATAAAAAGAAAAAGTTTCTTGTTTTCTAAAGCTGGAAAAAAGAGCACCAATGTTATTGATATGACGACAAGTATTACGGAAAACTCGAGTGTTGTAACAAAGAAAAATGAAGATTTTAAAAACTTGGAAAATAGGAAAATTGCCGATGTAGACAGTAAGTCCAGCATGCAACTGTTTGTTAATCCTTTGAACTCGAAGGAAATTTATCCATATGGAATCACAGGTTCATACAGCAAATTTGAAATTAGCGATGACCCCAATGTCGCTAGTAAGTAAACATATATTTATAATAAATGTATACAGAGACTCATATAATTTCAGATTCAGAACCTTCTTCTACAGAAAGTTTATCGGAGTTGACACAAAACAGCGGAGAGCTCTTGATAAAATCTTTAAAATATTCTAACACTTTAGATCGTGATTCCAGTTGTGATTTGCAAAATAATTCGTTACCTCTATACAAAAGTGAAGGTGTAGAACAGAGTAAAGTGAATAATGTTCAAAAACATACAGCTGATGGCATTAGTGACAAACAAACGGATTTATTAAAAATGAGAAAGTCTCGAAGTTTTGATGAAACAAATGATAAAAAATTAGAAGACATTGAAAATAATCTTGTCCACAGTTGGTCGTACTGTCTATCAGACTCGGAGCGACTAAATTGTGAAATGGAACTCAGCACAACGGCTGAAGAATTTTTTCATGGTGGAGATCACGCTATTATATCAGAGTTGGTAAACGACATTATTACTAATGTTTGTCTAGCCGACGGTGGTGTTGATGAGCAAACAAGTAAGTTCTTAAAATCTGCACATTTCACATCACGTGTAAGCTGATATCTGCTTTTTGTCCCACTAAACATTTCACCAAATTTATTTCAAAACGCCGATGACCATAGTGCCAAAATATACAACACAAATCGAAAACGTGGGTTAGCTCATTGTAAATTTAGTCTTTTTACACAATTTCAAATGTGTTGGGGAATCGATTAAAATAGTGATTGTCAGCGTTTTGGACATATGGGGTGGTGACTTGACGAATGCACCGTAGAAATTTCAATAGTAATTTTTTAATTTCCAATTATTGGCTTCCCTAATTATTTTAGAAATAAAGTCTTTACGTTTTTTGTAGAAAAAAAATTACGGATCCGTAGTAGGTACATACTATTGTTTCCTATTTTATAAAATCAGTAATGCCATGGAATTATGAAATCAAACAAAAGCGCCTGCATTTACCATTAGTTGCCTTTGTTTGAGCTCGAACTGTCATGGCACCACCGAGTTTCTTAAAAGCGTCAGTTTTAAGTTATCCAATTCTTGGTTTCAAAGTTCAATAAATTAAAAGCTATAGTATTCGTGGATTCGTAATTTTTTTCTCTACAAAAAACCTAAATAGACTTTATCTCTAAAATAATCAGGGAAGCCAATAATCAGAAATAAAAAAATTACTATTGAAATTCCTGTGGTGCGTTGTTCAAGTCACCACCTCGTACATCAATAATCATCAAAAAGTAACAATTTCGGTAATAATAATAATAATAATAATAGTATGGTTGCAATTTTTCAGATGTAAGTGGGAAACAAGACGCAAAACATTTTTCGGTCTATCCAATACACTATCATGTATGTCTGTACTACAATGTATACGATTCGAATGTGATATTATATGCATTACAAACCCTAAAGAATTGTATTGAAACAAATCCTCAACTGTTTGTTCAATGTCTCGCAACAACTGGATTGCAAAATTTGAAACATAACGATACGTTACTTCTGCTGGCTAGACATCGTAAATCTCTGCTTGGTGGCGGATTTATAGGAGAAGTTGGTCAAGAGCACATTAATTTTTATAGAGGATACATGTTTTTGGATATTGTAATCCTGATTTGTTTAAATTATGCGAAAACATTTTATCCACATCTTGAGAGTTCACATTTAACACAAGAAGAAATTGAAAAGAATTTGAGAGTTCAGTTAGTAAGCCTTGAAGTATTGGATATCATTATTCGAAGTATTATCAATAATGTTAATGAAAATTCGAAGGGCTTTTCGAGTTATATTGCCGATATGCTCATGAAATGTAAATTACAAGAGGATTTACTTCACTGTTTATTAACTTCCGTCAGAAACTTTGACGAAGATATGTCATTCGCGGAGGAGATTTTACAATTTAACAGCTTCCAGCTATACGATTCTCATCACAGAGTATCCGAAAATGTTGAAGTTTTTCAAATTCAATTGCTCAGGTAAAAGTTTCCGTAAAGTGAGTATTTAAATTAATATTAACTTTTAGATTAATTCAGTCTCTTATAATACTGGAACATCGTGTATTCCCGAAACAAGATACAAATAACAGCACGTTGCAGCAAACGGTCCCTACATCTGTAGGCAAACAGTTGACCTACACGCCGACCATTTTAATACCCGAACAGCAGATGTTTTTGTCAGCCATTATGAGTGCCCTTCGTCACCAAAATATGAAATACTTGCACGAAAGCTGGTGCAATATGGTGACGACTTGTTTGCCATATTTTGGTCAAAATTTGAAACAAATTACCATTAGTATAATACATCAACTTTGCAATAACATAGAAAAAATTGCGGATACATACAAAAACGTAGAGTTAATGGGGGAATTTTGTGTCGATTACGCAATTACACAGATAAATTCGTTGACAATTTTGTGTCATTATTGCTTAGTGGATTCAACTCAGTGTTCATCTCAACCAGGCGGAAGCACACCTAGTACCCCGATTGCCAATCCTACAGAAATTCTGAACAATTTAGTCAGCGTTTTTTTTACGGGCACCGGTGAATTTAATCATGCTAACAAGCAAAACTCAAACTTCTATCAGACAGCTAGAAAAACTGTGCTAAGCCACATGCCGCGTATTGTTTCTAGTATTGCGAAAATTTGGCAAACTATTATTTCAATTGAAGGTGAATTTAGCGCGGTATACGGGAATTCGAAAATTGTTAAGCAGCAGTTGCTAGAGTTTCTGAGTCCAATTTCTATACATCACGGAGCAAATTTTTTAGCAGCCATTGCGGTTGCTTGGCATGAACGCAGAAATCCTTTTATTTCGCTGAAAGCTGTAAGTTATTGTCACCTTTACCCATACCTTGTAGTTCAATTTACGTATTTCAGATATTACCGGAAGCCAATTCGGCGCAGAATAATTTAGTATACTTAATATCTGCCATAAGAGTAATTCCTTTAGATAATTTGGTACAGACCGTTACTGCTGTGATTCGTAATCCGCCTCCCATTGAAGGTCTTAATAGCGAGATTTGTCTTGATGTTGCGGTTTTAGAATTATTTTATTGGTAAGGCCTTCGTTTAGATTTAGAGCAATATTTGAAATAAATGATTTTGAAGTTATATGAGAAATGCATCTGCAACTCAATTATCCGAAGCATGGAGTTCTTTACTGACCTTGGTTAGGGAAGGTTGTTCTTTAGGCCCTCCTTCGCAATTTTTATTGGCCGCTTTACTTCATGAATTGATGATAAAGTGTTGTCCGTTAGAGGAGAGGAAAGATCAAAAAGATTTACAAGACGTCACCGCACGAGTAAGTGAAATATTGCATTATATCGCGTTATACGTTACCTATTTCAGTTAATCGATTGTATATCCCAAGTTTGTGGCTCGTGCTTGGAACAGACAACGTGGCTTAGACGAAATTTAGCAGTTAGGGAGCAAGAAACTGACAGTTCTGCAAATGTTGTGAATAATATGACCAATTCTGACGTTTTGGTTACTTCTAATCACAGCGTACAAGCTCAACTGGTAAAGACGATTGTGTTGTACTTACTCGCTGAAGCAGTCTTTTTTTTTAGGTTCTTTCTGAAATATTAGCGCCTATTTTAGATATCTGTTTCGGTTCTTCTGAGAAGGACAAAGTAAATCCCATTCTTACATCTTTAATGTACAATATTGTTCCATATTTAAAAACGCATACTTTACGGAACATGCCCAGTTTTTTAGCTTGCTCCAAACTATTAGCTAGCTTAAGTAGTTATCAATATACTCGTAAAGCTTGGAAGAAGGATGTTTTTGATTTGCTACTTGATAACTCGTTATTTCAAATGGATCATTCTTGTTTGAGATATTGGAAAATAATTGTCGATAATTTAATGACTCACGACAATACCACCTTTAAGGATTTAATGGGTAATATTGTTCACGCATTTTTTAACTCGTTCTTAATAACGTATCGTAGGTCGCGTGTCGATGACTCAAACCGGTAGTTTGAATCTATTTACTTCTCGAGAACAGGAATATGAACAAAAAGCTCAGTTATTAAAACGGTTATCTTTCGTAATTTTTTGTAGTGAACCAGATCAGTATGCTAAATATATGCCAGACATACAAGGTAATTATGTACCTACCTTGTAACAGTGTATACAAAATTCTTTTGTTATAGAACAACTGAACAGCAGTTTGCGTTTAAACGTACCCGGCATACAAGCCCAGGTATTTTTATGCTTTCGAGTTTTGTTACTTCGCATGACGCCTGTTCAAGTGACTCTCCTTTGGCCTATTATAATTAGTGAAATGTTACAAGTATTTTTACAAATTGAGCAAGAACTTTCAACTGATACGGAAGAATTTAGGTATGTGTGAAGTATTTTTTTGTAAATTTTGGTTATACTTCTGTGTCTATGTAACTAACTTTGGTTTGTTTATATTGGGATTCCTGGAATGTTGCCAAGCAGAAACAATAACAGGTAATTGGATGCGCAAATTGTATAACATAATCAAACAACCATTATAATTACGTTTAACAATTATTTGGGGAGCAAGACCGGCATTCAACAATTGGTACAACGTGAATTACAATGATATTCTAACAAACTGTGTATTGAAGCATGATAAAATTCAGTTTGCAGCAGATCTTAAACATGCTGTATCCAATTCCACACATTTGTGATAAGAAGCTCTTAAAGCAAATATGTAGCACTTTTTGCGTTGTATTACAATTTGTTTGATATTATTAGTGTTTCTCTTTCCTGTATTTTGCCTTGATCACGGTTTCTTTTAAATATTTAATTACTTTCTTCAATGTAAAGTAACTTGAAGGTTTTTTTTCGCTTTTTATTTACACCATATACATATATTCAAAATAACTAGTAGTATACTTATTACAGGAATAAGAACTTATCTTTGTATATGCTCATAGTTTTATATTCTAATTTCCTTTCAATACTGTAGTTACTACTATCATCAATATTTGTATTATAATTCTTGTTTCATCCTCTAAATGCGCTTAATGAGTTAGGCAAACTTATCTCAAATCATGTGAGTGTAAAATAAACTTCAAATTGCACGAAATATGTAGGCAAAATTGTAGTACCAATTCTTACTCGATAAACCATTATTATACTGTTGTAATACGCAGTTTGTTATGCAGCTCTCACATAAAATTGCTCACGGCGCTTGACGCAAGTTGGACTACAAACAGCAACAATGGTTTACATGCGTTGGGACATCCACATTGGCTCCGTTTGCAACTTTCAACTGCTAAATTATTAGATTTGGCCTTGCTCTTACCTGCCACATCACTGCCCCAATTTCAAATGTAAGTTGCTCAACGCTTTCGAATGTTTATGTACTCACGAAAAGGTTTTACTAGGTACCGTTGGGCTTTTGTTGGTGATAGATTACCTCATACAACTTCGCTAGCAGCACAAGAAATGCCTATTTTTACTCCGCACGTTACAAGAATAGCGAATCTCATGGATCAAAAATTTTTGGATACGCCAATTGAAACCTTACCCAATAAGCAAGATGAACTTCTACTTACTATGAATTCGATAAAGCAACTGAAGGATTTACATTGCTTCTTTAAAACGTTAAGCTTGTGTTCTAATCGTCATCGAGCAGAATGTAATGGATTTGTGAGCAGTGATTACAATTTCCACGATAAACAAATGGATAAGAAATTCAATGTTCTTTTGGACAAAATTAATAAAGTAATTGAAATGGATTTTTTAGATCCAATTCAAAGATAAAAATTTCAATGATAGCTGTAGAAGTAGGTAGTATATATTTCGTTAAGTTTTTGTAAATTTGGTGAAATTGCGTGTCAATTGAGAAAATATAAGGTTGATAAAAGTATATTTTTGTCAGCGATTAAACAACTGTAATTATTTATGAATATACTGTGTAAAAGGCCAATTTATAATTGTGATTTCAAATAATGTGATTTTAACGTAACTGAATATAGATCGGTGGTATACTAATAGGTGTGCGAAATTGTAATCGGTTCCTGATGTTATTTTGAGATTCTGTACATAAAATGGCTAATCTCGAAATAGCATCTAGCTAGAGTATGGATTACTAATTTAGGATTTGTTATATAAATTTAATTGCAGTTTGAAAATTTAAATAAGTTTGTGCTTTTTTGTTTTAATAGTTTGCAACGCTAATTTTTTTGATAAGTGAGAGAATGTGGGGCATTCCAAGAATATTAAAAATTTTCTGGCTGCAATAATAGGAATCTAATATCCTGTAAGTGTGTACATATGTGTTTATATTATAATTACATGAATATGTTTTGCTAAACTGTTTAAATAAACATATATTTAACTTTCCTGCTTATTAGTACAGAATAAGCAATTGTAATACCTGTAAAGGTATCAATGTAGTGATTAATTATTATAAAATTTACTTACTATGTAATAAACATGAGGTCAAACTCCAATCAAATGTTGACTTTACATTATTGCACTCTCCCGCATAGGTGATTGTCGCCTCAATGAATGAATTCGAATAAAGTATCCAAACTAAGAAGTTCTCTAATTGATACCTTTACAGGTATTACATGGCGATCCTGCCATGATTAAATTTAAAGAGACGATTCAGATAGTACAATGGCAATGTCTTCAATCGAATTCATTCATTGAGGCGACAATCACCTATGCGGGAAAGTGCAATAATGTAAAGTCAACATTTGATTGGAGTTTGACTTCATGCTTATTACATAGGTAGTAAATTTTATAATTATTAATCACTACACTAGTCTATAACTTTTGATTAAGATGTCTGATCGAAAAAGTACGAATTGATTTGGATTCTACACACCAACTTTAATAAGAAAAAGAGTTTTCCCAAGAAATTTTGGTACGAATTTGTCCTTTTATCCTTCAACGTCCTCCTTAAATTCGAAAGAATGAGATGGAAACCTCAAAAAAATGCCCTTCGGTTTATGTAATGCTCCCGCGTACTAAGGTTTTCCACGAAAGGGCCATTTCTCTACCCCCTTTGAATTTACAAACGCCCCAATCGTCCCTCTCAGACTCGAAAGTGAGAAGGTTACCTTAAAAAGTCTATTGTGATGATGCCCTTCGGTTTATGTACCTAATGCTCCCCCATCTGTGGTTTCCTATGGTTTGATTAGTTTTTCCTCTCTCCTCTCCGGAACCTTAAGTGAGCGCGAGGAGAGCTTCGGGAACGTGGCTGAGGGCTCCAATTTATTAGACCTAAAAGGTCAAAGGGTGGTGAGTCCGCTTTCCGCGCCTCATGCGTCTCAACAATCAATTTTGCTAGTTCAATAAGGGCACACCCAAGAGAAAGCTGTTAAGTCTTGTGTTATGGTTGGTGTTACAAACAGCACACTATTCACCTTTTTATATTTTAACAATTTCTGTATGTATGAAGTTCGTCGTCAGCTAGTAGTTAATACTTTATGCGGATGACGCGACATTAATTGGAACCAGTGAAGATGTTGATGTAGCAGTCCGGGATGTTGAAAACAGTATTAAACTTGTTGCGAATTGGTGTGTCAGTAATAGATTGAATTTGAATGAGCGCAAGACATCTATTTTACCGTTGTCGTTAAAAAATATCGATACATCTTCAAATTGTATTACGGGTGTATCACTGCTTGGATGTATTATTGACAGCAAGCTTAACTTTAACAAACACTGTGATAATATTACATACAAACTGAATAAGTCAATATTTTTACTTAAACGACTGCGCAGTAGTACGTCAAAAACAGTTATGCTTTCCGCGTATTACGCATTGATTCACAGTACTCTTGCCTATGCAATACTAGCGTGGGGTCATAGTGCTTCATGGAAGTTCATCTTTCGCCTCCAACGAAAGGCCGTACGCGTGATTAACAATCTACAGTACAGGGATGATTGTCGTCAATCATTCTCGGAACTAAAGATCCTAACTCTTCCAAGTCTTTATATTCTTGAGGCCTTGTGTTTTTGTAAGAAAAATATGGTGGAGAATGTGTTACAATCCCAGGTGCATTCATATAACACTCGACAAAAGGATAACTTAAGGGTGACTTTTTGCCGATTGTTGAAGAGCCAAAATGGTGCATCATACCAATCGCAATCTTTATTTAATATAGTTCCTCCGAAGATTAGATCGCTACCCCTCTCAGATTTTAGAATTACACTAAAAAAATTGTTTATTCAACACCCTTTTTTCTCATTTGATGAGTTTAACGACTTCTGTTGGAGTGGTTCGTAATTGTATCAGTCATTCTGTGTTATATATGTTTTTTTTATTATGTTTGTTGTATTATATGCTAGTGTGTTCTTTATCTAATGACGAGTGTAAATGTATCAACATGTCTGCACAATATATATTATTATTATGGTCGGTGTTTCTTGTGAGAACTCAGGTCTAGCCTGGTTAACTAATCGCACGGATTAAAATCAAGTAACGATCAGTGTCTGTGTCTGTGTCTGGTGAAGTTATGTAGGGTCCTAAAAAAAAAAAAAAATCACACATGGGCACAATAAGCCAACGCTATCAGGAAAGAGGAAAACAAAACAAAACAAAAATCATTATAATAATTCCTGTAATTTTATTAAATGGAGTTTATTGTGTAAGTGTTTCTTTGGCTTTGCGTTTGGGTTGAATACGAGTGGGTTGTGATAACGTGGTGTTCTTCGGTGAGGATGGAGTTTTGTGTTTTTTTACTGTGCTAGGACGTGTAACTTTATTGGGTGGACCTGTCTTTGTGGTACATGTTGCCTTACTTGTATTTATGGTGTTTCTTTGTTCTTGAGGTTGTATCTGTGTTGTTGCTTGGGTTATTGGTGGAGACATTACAGTATTTTGTGAGCCTGTAGTGCTTTTAAGGTTGTTGCGTTTCGGTTGAATACGAGTGGGTTGTTTCTGAGAGAGAGGAGTATTGTGTTTTTTAACTGTGCTAAGACGTGTAATTTTATTGGGTGGACCTGTTTTTGTAGTGCATGTTGCGTTACTTGTATTTATTGTGTTTCTTTGTTCTTGAGGTTGTATTTGTGTTGTGGCTTGGGTTATTGGTGGAGACATTACAGTATTTTGTGAGCCTGTAGTGCTGTTAAGGTTGTTGCGTTTGGGTTAAGTACGAGTGGGTTGTGATAACGTGGTGTGTTTCTGAGAAGAAAGAGTAATGTGTTTGTTAGCTGTGCTAGGCCGTGTAACTTTATTGAGTGAGGGCGTCTTTGTAGGGCATGTTGCGTTACTTGTATTTATTGCGTTTGTTTGTTCAGGAAGTTGTGTTTGTGTGGTTGGTTGAGTTAAGGGTGGAGATATTACAGTATGTTGTGTGTCATGTTGTGAGTCTAAAGTGCTGTTTAGGCTTTTGCGTTTGGGTTGAATACTAATGGGTCGTGATAATGTGGTTTGCTTCAGAGGTGAATCTCTGATTGTAGTATATATTGTATCATTTGTTGTACTTGTTTGCTCGGTAAGTTGTATTTGTGTGTTTGTTTGGGTTAGAGGTTGAGATATTAAAGTATGTTGTGTACCGTGTTGTGAGCGAGTACTGTTGTTTACATGTATACGTTGTGGATCATTTGTGTATGTAGTATCTTGTGTTATGTTTAGAAATTTACGAACAATATGGCATGTGTTGATAATGACTGCTTTTTGTAAATGTTTGTATGTGTTTTTGTCTAAACCTAATAGTTGTAAATTGTGGTGTATTGTCTTTGGTATAACTCCGGTAGCACTAAGAACAATGGGAACTATAACAGTAGATTTCATTCTCCATTGCGTCTTAAGCTCGATAGCCATATCGGTGTATTTGCGGTGTTTTTCTGCATGTGTTTTAGTTAAGTTGTTAGTGTTGGGGATGGCAATGTCTATAATACAAATGGATTTTTGTGTTTTATCTATAAGTGTAATATCTGGTCTATTATTGTGGATAGTTTTGTCTGTGAGTAGTGTCCTGTCCCAATATAATTTGTGTGTGTTGTTTTCAAGTATGATCTGTGGCGTGTATTTGTAGTATGGTGTATCTGTTATGAGATTGTGTTTAAGTGCTAATTTTTGATGTATGATTTTAGCTACCTGATCATGTCGATGTTTGTATTCAGTTTGTGCGAGTCGTGTGCATGCCGATATTATATGTTGGATTGTTTCTGATGTTTGTGAACAGAGTCGACAAGAATCATTTGTCACTGTTTTGTCTTTATGTATGTGTTTTTTATAGTTACGTGTGTTAATGGCCTGGTCTTGTATTGCTAACATGAAACCCTCAGTCTCCGGGAAGATATCACATTCAGACAACCAACTGTGCGTTGCTATAGAATCAACACAACCCTGGCTAACCTCTTGTGGAAATCGTCCATGTAAAGGCTTTTGGTTCCATATTTGTATGTTATTTGTGATGTAAGTTTGGATGTGGGTGGGAGTATATTAGTTTCGTGTAGATTAAGTGGTGTGTAAGATTTATCTGCATATGTTACTGTTTTGTGTAAAACTGAAGTATCTGATTTGTTATAAAAGTATTGTCGTAAATTGTGTATTTGTGTTTGGTGCAATAGTTTTATGTCTGTAAGTCCTCTACCTCCTTCCGAACGAGGAAGGTAAAGTCGTATAGTAGAGGAGTGAGGGTGATGTATATGGTGTTTTGTTAATAGTGTACGTGTGTTTCTCTGTATTTGTTCTAAATCTGTATTTGTCCAACGTATAATCCCAAAAGAGTATGTAAGCACTGGTGTGGCATAAGTGTTAATAGCCTTGATTGTATTTCTACCGTGTAATTTTGTTTTAAGTATACTGCGTACTCTTTGTAGGTATTGTGTAATAAGTGTTTGTTTTATACTCGTATGTTTAATGTGTGTGTTTTGCTGAAAACCAAGATACTTATAAGTTTCATTCTCGTCCATGGAATTTATTAAATTACCCTGTTCTAGCTCATAATCTAAAAGTTGTCTTTTACCAGCTGTGATGTGTTGTGTTTTACATTTATCGATTCCAAAGTCCATTTGTATGTCACGTGAGAATGTTTCGGTAATGTGTAGAAGGTGATTAAGTTTTATGCTTGTGGAAGAGTATAATTTAAGATCGTCCATGTAAAACAGGTGTGTAATGTTGTGATGTATTTCGTGGTTGTGTTTAATATTGTACCCAAAGTTAGTAGTGTTTAACAAATATGAAAGTGGATTAAGAGCAAGACAAAACCAGAGCGGACTTAAAGAATCGCCTTGAAAAATTCCTCTTTTAATTTGTATTGGGTCGGTAATAAGTTTTGTGTCGTTTAGTGTAAGTGTTAACGTAGTGTTCCAACATGACATTATGTAATTGAGGAATTGTGTAATATTGTTGCTGACCTTGTATATTGAGAGTACTTGT